ACTTTGCAGGCGCTAGAAAAGCTAGCACAGAAATGCAAAGAAGGCTTGTTGTGTTGGAATTGAGGTCACAGTTAACATATTCAAAATGAGATTTCTTGACTTTTACATCGAGGTCTATAGAAAAAAAAAGCCACAACTAAAGTAGTAGAGCAACTTACAGCTCTGACTCTCTAAATTAAAAGTTTTTATCAGTAGTTTGATGAACGAAAGGTGAAGTCAATCCCTTTCGCAAAAATATATTAACACTTGTTGTACGCGAAGCCTTGTGGTCGCAAAATATATTTACACTTGCGGCGTGCAAAATATATTTACACTTGCAGCGAGGCCTTGTGAACCCCAAACACCTAGGAGGGACCAGAGATTTGATATAAGACTTGCGACTTCCCATTGATGCAATACCAACTGACACCTAGATGAAGTGATATCATCATACTGGGGCCTCACTGGCTCCTGATGAAATACAAAAAGACTCCAGATGGATACTGCACCTGTATTATTTAAAGCACGGCCCCTTTTATTTATATACTCTATGTTATGAAATATTCAAAAACACATGGCAAGATTTCAGATATACGATGCAACTTAAACATCTAGTTACTGCTAACCTGTGATCTAAAGTCTATCAAAATTGACAATGTTATCATTCATGAGTTAGAGTGATATGACCCTTAGAGACCTGAAGTGTCTTTGTCTTGAAGTAGACCAGGTTGTCTTGTCATGAAGAGATAACCATGAAGGCTCACAACAAACATATCAAGAAAATACTAAAGTATAATAAAGTAAACAATTTTGCACTCAAAACAATGATCAGAGAGTGATATCACGGGTGTTAAGCCACGATGATACCATGAGCACATGCCTTGAGGATTCGCGTTGTTTGAACCTACCGCCAAGCTCACTTAACATTAAGCCCCGTTACACAGTCATGATACCACCGAGCAAGCTCATTGCATCATCGGGTCTGCTTTACCCCCGTGGATATCTCCAGTTTTCTTCCAGTGTAAAATCTGATTGCTCTGATGTAAGGTATGTCACATGCCAAGGGTTCTAATCCAGAAGGAGGATGGCTTTTTGGAATATTAGGTTGAGATTTGCCAAGATATATTTTAAGATTGTTAAAATTTTTCAAAATCATCAATTAGAAACATTTCGCTAATCTAAGCTTCATGCTAGGATTAAAGATAATGAAACTGGTACATTTAGATTAAAAAGTGCATTTTTGTTCAAGTATGCCTCATCATAAATCATAGCATTCAGCACTGTTTGAGAGAACAGGTGGATGTTGTGTGTTGTAATGTAATATTACTACTAGATTTTCAGTCTCCTTTCCCACAATTGCCTCTAGTCATTTCAAGGTTGCTAGATCAAATATGAAATAGATAAACTTGAGCCGAGGAATGAAAATGACATTAAAACCTATAGAAGCTACTGACACTGGCGAAAAGTGTCTGGATAACTGGTGCTCACAGGACTAGGTCATTAGACCTTTCAAATGATGTACTTCTTGGTGGTTTGCAATCCTTTCTATAGCGAACACATTATATTCTTCAAATAATAATGAAGAGTACAGTTAAACCAGTCTTATCCAAACACCACTCAGACAAGAGAGTTTGTGTTCTGATTGGCAGGTGTTTATATTTCAAGTTTTTAACATGAAAATCCAAGATGAAAACTGGTTTTATAAATCATTATCCTGAAAGATGAGCAACAGGATAGTACCCAGGTCTATGTTTGGACATATCTCTGGTCATCATCCCTAATTCCTATAACTTCTTTAAAGTACACAGAACCTATAAGATTTTCTAGCATTTTCACTTGGGTGCTCTATCCTACTAATTTTGCTTAATTTTCTCTGAAACATGATCAACATGTCTGTTTGTTTATATTTAGGTTGGCAGACAGTGAGGAAGGGTGGGGTGACATCAGGTCACATCAACTTCAATACATACCACTTGCATACATCTCAAAACCCTTGTATCCCTAGTCAGTTTAAATACAACACACAATTGGGAAGTAATTTGAAATTATAGTGAAGAGTGACAAGTTTATCATTGAGCGAGAAAGATTTGAATAGCACTGCCAAAACAAATCTATATCAAAACTGAACATACAGATGGAAGTTTGAGACAGGACATAAAATAGAGATGTAGCATTCACTAAATCATTTCTATACCCACTTTGTAAAGTTAAAGTTTTGCATCTTGATTAAATGTTGTATATAGTTTTTTAAGATGGTATGGAATTTGTAAATAATTGATAAGGAGCATACAACATTGAGGTACATGCTATAAAATATTTATAAGAACTACACAAATACCATAAACAAAAGGCACAAGTGACATGGGGTCATTCAAGGCAATAGCAACAAGACTATAAAGCAATATCAAATGACCTCATTAAAGTGTCCATGTCAGAAAATCATCATATCAATTTTACCTTTGAAAGTCAAGCAGTCTTATATCTACCCTTCCCAAGACCTACTCAACCTCATCCATACTCTCATTTTAAGCAGCCAAACTGGAAAATCCTCTGTTATAGTCAGAGGAAAGAATACATATTTATTTTAGATCAGGGTAACCATTATATCAGACAAAGTATTTAAATAAATTAAATTTAGATCTCAAATTGATATTTCAACCCTTTCATATTGATTTCAATGTGTGCAGGTCAACTTGGTCTTTAAGAATATGAATACAATATCTGATATTCTGTTTTTTAATAATGTACAGTTTAACAACCTAACACACATATGTGATACACATTCTAAAGCCGCAGTCACATATGCTCTATGGTGGGTGTACGGCGGCTGTAGCTTTAAAAAAAATCGATATAGAAAATCTACATAAGCCAGGGTTGACGTAGATCAAATGTGACAGAGAATGGAAGAGATACAGTAACCCCCCCCCCAATATATCTAATGGCTGATTGTCATACAATAAGTAGTATATGCAACTGAGCAATATATACTTATGTAATGAAAACAACATGTAGCACAGTTAGAATCTGTATTTTGTAGAGGTTAATCTATTTTAATAAAACTATTTATAAGTGGTCCAAAACCTCAGTTCAGCTCATTATCCAGTGGTTTGACTTTGGCCTGGGTTCAATTACTGTGGCAGATAATATGCATTGATCCATCAAGCCAGTTCATGATGATATCACCTATGTTTAACTAGTTTACATGTACTACTAAAGATCATGTTGTACATGTACAAGTAATTCAAAGTAAGTTCTAAAGGCTCTAAAAGTTTACAGCTTTTTCAAGATTTGAAATACTAGGGAAAATTGAATTGTTGCATTTACTGACAGAATATCCATTTGAGCTAATTAAGAAAACTAACATGAGTGAAATTATGAATTTTGAAAAAATTCCAGCTTCAAGGAGATAATTATAACATGATAATCCATTAATATGTTCATAAGTCATGGCGTCTTCAACTGCCTAATATATTACTATCTCACTGATTTCATTGAACTGGATTAAAGCTCAGAGTCTTAATCAGTGTTTATCAGAGAAAAATAAATAACAAACCGTTTTCCTAAAATGACAAATCACATGTGTATCAAGCAATGATTTAGTCTAACATCAAACCCCTCTTCTTCCCATATCCTCCAAACGCAGGAGTCCAGACATCATCTACTCTGTCTCTCCTTCCTTTAGTGGATAGTGTAGTCTGGACCCTTGCATTTGGAGATTGATATCCTTCTATTAGTCTTGCATCAAGCCATAATACTCTCTCATATTCTCTCTCAATGTTGCTTTAAAGGGAATCACAAAGAAGGGAGGAGGGGGGGGTAGAAGAGCTTGATACAATAGTTAATCTATTGAGGAGTCAAGATGATCTTTACTAGTGGAGATGAGTACAAAAATAAGTTAATTACAGATAGTATGTAACGCTATACTATTTTAACCTGAATATTAATCATACATAATCATGGTTCACTACTATAACATCATGTAACAGCCCATAGATTCCAAAAATAATAGTACATTACACTAGGGGCGAGACTAAGGTAGTCGAAGCTCTTTTTTAATGAACCAAAATAAAATATGTGAATGAATGGTAGCTGTAACAATAATATGTCACAACTTATCAGTAAAATAAATAAGAAAATAAGAAAAAAAGAAAAGAAATATCAGAAATTTGGTAACTTAGAAAGATATTTTAAAGGAAGATTGACATATACAATACAGTAAAACCTGTCTGAGGTTTTCTGAATATGCGAGAGATATAGGAGATAATAGTGTTCACATTAAGAGGTGTCCGGAGGTGTTTGAATATAAGTTTCACTGTATATCATGGGTCAGATCCTGTGAGCTTTCTGGAAAGTACATTCATCCTCATTTACCACTTTATCTTTGGCAACTGCTTTCTTCAAAAGATTGTAGAGGTTGTTAATACTATAATAATCTCCAGTTATCTCTTTCAAATGTTATGTAAAGCATTGCTGAGAATGATGTCATAGTGTAGACTATTAACCATATCTAATCTTACATTAGCAATTACGAACAATATATATTTTAAGATCAATGTTCATCCTTAATGAACATGTACTTCATGAACAATCTCCCTAATCAAAACATGTACAAAATCATATCAATATATGAGCATATAAAGTGAAACCTATATATGAGGACACGTCTCCAAACCAAAGATTTCTCAATGTGAACACTTTTTTCTCAGTCCCAAATTTGTTATCTCCATTGACTTACCTATTTGAAAGACTTTTGACTGTTTTCAGTAGGGTTCAGATTAGACAGGTTTTACTAAGCATTTAGTCAAATTATATTTCTACATTCAGCCCCTAAAACTACATACTACGTTCAAATGAACACTACCTACTTAATAAACATACACACTTAAATGTGAACATTTAGTTGACCCCAGTCTTGATCACTAAGTTCTCACTTCCATTTTGTGAATATCTTGACGTCAACAATTTTAACACATTGTTCATGTCAGAGAGTAAGATTTAAGAAACTTGTATCATAAGCTTACCTTGAAGCATACTCCTGTATGCTGTGTCGGTGATAGCAAATATATGTGGGGGTACCTCATGTCGTTTCTTGCCCTTGTAGAGTTCTATCACTTGTTCTGTGTATATGGGGAGACGCTTGTAGGGGTTAACAACTACGCAGAAGAGACCAGAGTATGTCTACAAAGAAGAAAATATCTTTATTTGAAAACTGGTGGCTTGCTTTATGGGGAATCACTTGCAGGGGTTAACAACTGCATAGAATAGACCAGGTCTACAAAGAACCATAGATATTTATTTGAAAACTTGTGACTTGCTTCATCACAAGTTTCATGTATTTGATACAAATTATTACAACAATGCATTGCAGGATAAAAATGTACTGCAGTAAATGCACATGTATTACATATAATAAGTAGATATATAAATATATGTAGGCAACATATTATATTTACATGAATTGAATATTTGATCAAATCTTTGTTAAACGATGTTATTCTATCGAAGCTGAGAGAAAAAATGTTATAGAAGTATAGCTGATCTTAAATTTTTAAAGTGAACTTATTAAAGTTACTTCAAAGACAGTGTAAAACTGGTCAACATGCAAAGTGGTAGCATATCTCAGGTAAACGCAGGTGAGAACAAGAGGATGCTAATTATCACATATACTGTTATCATTCATGTTTATCCTCTGGCTAAGATACTAGCAATGCCATAACATGAATGCTTCCCCACGCAGTTCACAAATGTTACATTTTTAAATGAAAAACTGAGAACAGATGAGAATCAGCAAACTAATTTAAAAGATGAAATGAAGAGAAAGTTCAAAATTATATTGAAATGATTGAAAATAATATGATTTATCACAAGATTTGTTTATATTTCAGAGGAAAGTATGAGAGTATGATGTCCTAAGTTAACTTTTAAACCCAGGCTAATCAGCCACTTTATAACTATTGTACAACATGGATGACTTCTGGAATTTCAACAATTCCTACAAGGAGGATTTGTTTGGTTTATATTTGCCAAGGTCATGCATTGCATTCTCTATGTTGCATTGGTATATTAGACTGAGAATTACACTTTAAAAGAGGTCAACTTAGTTTACATCATTTGTTGATCTTACCATTTTGCAATATAACATAATTATGATAACATTTGTTTCATTGTATAAAAGGTCAAAACTTCATAAAAACTTTGTAAATATAATATTCATGTCTTGGTGCTTCAAAACTCTAGATGAGCCTAGTCACGGTAAATTTCAGAATTCAATGAAGAAAATCTCAAATAGTATATAATGTTTTTAAAATGTAGAAATCCTTAAAAAACATTTACAAATGGTTTGAAATGAAAACGGGTAACAATTTCTTTTAATGATTTTAATGAGCCACAATATTTCAAATGTTTTTTTAGTTGCCCTAACCTTAAAATAATCTCATTATGTATATATGTTGGCATTATGAATATGATCATAAAATGCTGAAAGTCTGATCAATAACTACTAGACAGAGATACTCTTCAAAATATCACTTTAAGGTTCTACATGTATGATACTCTACTTATTTTCTCAAAAGCAAAGTGAATCTTTTTTCTGAGGGAGATTAGACTCAGGTGACCTCAACTTCAACTCTATAAAGCAACTTAAAATGTCAAACAAGGTACAGCTTTGATGACAAAAAGGAGTGTTTAGCCAAGAGGAACGGAGTTTAAAATTTGGTCTGGAAAAGCATGAATGCATGCAGTAATAGAATATGGCTTAGGTTATATCACTCAAATTTTTTCTGAATTTTGAAGAATGCATGCATGTGTATAGTTAAATACATGTATATATTATGTGGTATGGTTGCCTAAAAACATCCCATTTGCATAAAATGACAAATGATAGTGCACAAAACTATTTTCACATTTGTATAGAAATTTCACACATACTTTTTTATACATACTTATCAAAACAGGTGACAAATATTTTTCAGTAATACTATCGAGGATGACTTGATATCAATGAACAGACTAATGACAATTGAGGTCAAAATAGTATAACATGGAGTTTTGTCACATAGATGCACACGGAGGCCTTTATTTATATATATGTGATTTTCTAGGCCTTCAGATCCGATACCCCAACTCATCGCGGGGCAGTCCAGTCTAGTTTTGCAATGAATGCAAATGACAGTTTATCAGTTGCAACAGGTATGATGTAAAAGGATAAATGGCATTAACATGCAAAATGTCCTGCCATTTGTTATAGACGCCAACCACCATTTATTATAGACAATGACTGCTGAAGTGTCCACAAAAGAGTTTGACACTAGATCTATATAGAAGTATGTCATAACTGGTGGTGGCGACATAAAAATAGTGAAATTGAAAGTTTGATGAGTAGATAATATTATGTCACTCTGTAAAGAACTACCTGTAAATAGTAAATACAGGTGGCAGAAAAGTGGGATGGGTCAACTTCCTCTATTTCCTGTATCTTGAAAGGGAGAAATGACTCAGATCGGAGGAACATACTTACATAGATTAGGCCACAATAGTATCTGTCTTTTATATTGTGTAAAACAGAAGCTTCATTAAGACATGTCAATTCAGCCATATCCTCAACTTTGGAAAACTTTGGAGGGTTCATTTTTTGAATGTCATCTTTATTGACCACCACACGTTTGCCAGACTCTTGTATTTCAACCACAATCTCGTCCGCTCGTTCTTCCTTGACACCCGCGGGGACAAACCCCTGGGACTCGTGTGGAACCCACACAAGCTTTTTGGAAGCCCATGTCGCCTGAGCAGCAGGGTCATTTATCATGGACCTGTCCACTTTCAAATACTTCAGATCATCCGCCATTTTGAATCCGGAAGCAACTTTCAATATAACTTTTTAGAATTCCTTTGCAATTTTAGTGTAAATTCGAGTCTTGTCAAACGTTGTTATTACTTCAATGTATCCTACGTATGTTCCAGTATTAATAAAATAATCCGTATGGCGATTCGTCTCGTTTTATCTGATGTATTTGCTCTTCAATCGTACACAATTAGAGTTTCGGTTCACAAGGCCGCCGCCCGCCTTGATTGATAATGTCACGTGACTTGCATTGCGCTTATATCAATAACAACTTACACGGTGTATAACAGTAACGCAACACAGTCAGAGATATGGTATTTGACATCATGGGGGAAAACATCCGCAAATATGTATAATATCAATCAAATACATTTCAGGATTAACAACTTCCCATTATCTCTGGGATTTGGAGTTTGTCATTGAATACTTTACAACATGTAAGCCTGACAAGATACAGAAATGGATTGGAAACTCATATAAATCATGGCCAGTCTCGGGGTGTTAACTCCGCCTACAATGTACTTTTAAAAGTTGCCTCATAATCTTGTAACTTCCAAAATAACACAAAGAATGCCATGGTATGTGCTCCAAAAAGGGAAACAAAATAATGAAATCATTGTGGAATTATCACACGCGGTACTAACTTCGACCGTTAATTTGTATTTTTGACTTACCAGATGCTTGAAAATCAAGGATTGTGAGTCTCATACTGCACCGTTTTTCTTCAAACTTATACCATTAAAAGCAAAACAAAATTGCCTTTCTGTCGGCGTGTTAATTTATTGTAAAGAGTCCCTCGTTCTAGCAGCGTTTTGGTCCCCAGCTGTTAGAAGGCCTTCTTACAGCTGGGGACCAAAATGCCGCTGGAAGTAGGGACTCTGTTTAAGAGAATAATGTACCATCAGAAAGGGATTTTTGTTATGCTTTGAATGGAACAAGTTTGAAGAGAAACGGTGCAGTATGAGACTCGTAATCCTTGATTTTCAAACATCCGGTAGGTCAAAAATTCAAATTAACGGTCGAAGTTAGGACCGCGTGTATCAAACAAGATAAAAAACTTGCTGTTTTTGCCATTTTATGGTGAAGATACTGAAAAATTGATATGTTTGAATTCTGTGAACAATTTTTGCTAGATTTTCAGTTATCTTTCTTGTGTTCAGTTTCCAAGGAATTTTAAGTTTTTGAAATAGGTTGGCATCAGTTATCAGTAGTTTAATTAGCAGCAGGCAACAGGCTTTTTCACCAGTTGTTTTCACAAAATCGCCTGTTGTTTTTAGGGAATTTTCAAGTTTTATATGATAATTTATGATTTCCATTAATTTTGCCTGTTGTTTTCTTTTATTTAGCCTGTTGTGAGAAATTCTAATGAAACCCCTGAGTTATGAACTTATTATATCCTCACTGACACAACGTTAAAAAAAAATCATCTTACTTATCAACAAGATCATCTATAGTTGTATCCAAGGTTTGTAGCTCCATCTATTTAAAAATTGAAAAGTAGATGTCCCCCTTTTCAGTTCCAATCAATAACTTCTATATTTGTTCAGGTATCTGGATTTTTTAAATAGTGCTTTCTCTCAAAAGCTTTTCTCAGCTAGAAAAATTATATTTTCTTCCAAAAACATAATTTAGAGTAACTTTCTTAACTCGTAAAGCACTTTTACCATAATGCACTAAGTTGATCCCTGGTGCGGTATGGCTATGCACTGTGCTTCACTTATCTCAGTAAATTCAAGGTGAAGAGAAACATATCAAAATCTTCTTTGATCTTGTTTAAACTTTGAGTAAAATAAAAGAAACACTTTAAAATACTTCAATTTCTCATAAATTAATCAACTTTTTATTGCACATTCTTTCAAAATATATATCACCAACTATATATAACATCCTTTAGTCCACAATATTTCCATGCACTATTTATACAAATTATAATTTCAAATATCAAACACGAGGTCCATTTTTTACAAACAGAGACAATAGTATTTGAGCCTGGCCATATGAAAACCGGTCTTATCACAAAAATTAGAATTGTGCTACAGAGCCAAAAATGTGCCCAAGATTAAGAGGAAAATGTGCTAAATTCAAATCTGACTTTTTGGTCTATACAAGACCTTGGATTTACCTTGTATATGCAAGGAAAAATTGTTAAGACATAAGCCATGGGTCATTTGAAAGGTCTCTTTGTGCTTTCTAAGATAAACAAAAAAAATCAGAATATTGAAAAAATCTGTGATAAGACCCCTTTTCCTGTGGCCTGGCTCATTTATGTACAATTGCATAACTCCAAAAATCCAATGACACATAAATACTTCATCTTCCTGGATTACCTATGTCATTTTGTTTTTGAATTATAAAGTGAATTCCTTCATAGGATACATTCATCTTCACATTTAAGACAAGTAGACATTGTCCTTTCAGAATTTTACAGAAAGTTTTGAACTTTCTGAATAACTGACTAACAAATTATCCAAAGGTCCTCTGTTTAAGTTTGGTGTTCGCTAAATATTGACAATAGATCTGCCATTTTGTAAAATTTGAAGTACCGTATTCTTTGTAATTAGCGCCCAATCACTAATAAGCAAAATGGTACTTAAAATCCACAAAATTCAGAAACATTGGTTGAAATGTGTAAAAATGGAAGATCTGGAGTCATCACTTTGTGAACCTCAAACTTGTATAAGCAAAATAAAATACTACAAGCTATATATATGTATGGCAGTTTTTTAAATAATCAAATCAGAATAAGAAATATGTGATGTTATAAAATACATTGCTTAGTAACAGAGGGTATAATGGTCCCTTTCAGATATAAATTAAGTTACATGTAGCCTAATAATGTAACACTATGCATGTATCTGAAACATTTGTTTATTTACCCATTTGGCAATCTGATGATAATAATTGTTTGAACATTTACATTGTCTTACTGATGCAATAATGCAAAAATTACAATAAATAGGTTTCTATTCTTATTCTCAAAACTAAGAAAAAAAGAAAGCTGACCTTAAATATCTTACAAATTGACGGCACATGTATAATATTAATCTGCTATAACTAAAATATTGATGACATGAATAATGGCAGAGGTCATGGATTGGTCACTCTACTTGATCACCATAAAATGGGTAATTTTGGCACCCAGGCTTTATGGACCTTTTTCAACTAGGCCTAACTTTTAAATAAATTAAAATTCTTCTAGCTGACAAATTCCCTGGTGCTAAAATTGCTAAATTCTAACTCAAAGGAACAACGCATCCTTCTCAATCATAAATAAAAAAAAGATAAATAATGTTTAATATGGAGAGCAAGGGTCACCAAAAAATTGAAGGAATACAGGTGATTCAAATCCTCCAAGGTAGCCATTTTCTTAATCATAATACAACTAGAAAAATACTGAGGAAATATTTCATTCTGTGGGCAATACCTGTTTATCTTTCAATAATTTTCTAGAGTGTAACTATATTGTGTAATACCCACAAGCAATGGTGCAAGGACAATACATCCTTTCAAAATTTATTGAATGTGCAAGTGGTATTGCAAAATCATAAAATGAAATATTTGTTTTATTATTCCATTGTTGGGCATTCCCCAGAATCAGAATTTACAAGTGATCGATATGTGGGGCAACATATATTTACCAATTCAAAAATTATGGGAGGAGTGAAATGGGGAAATGTGTTGTGATATTTCTGATCACATGATGCTTCAAAGACCAATCAGAATACAGAGATCCCAGCAATGACATAATAATAGCTTATTAAACTATTCCTTCTGGTGTAACAATATTTTCTATTGCATTTTCATCTTTGCCAATTTCCACATCAATTTCTGTTTCACTTTGTTTGTTCTCTAAGGTTCCCATAGCGATGCCATCTGGCTGAGCATTGAAGTCAGCCTGATTCTCTCCAGCTTGGGCAACTTTAGCAAGCTGGTCAGTAGCTTTTTGTTCATGTTTAGGACTATCTTGAACATCAGGGGTGGCACTAACTTGACTGGCTTGAACATTAATAGATTGCTTCCCTATACCTAGGTCTTGGGGTATACTAGTGGTTGTATTAGGAATATTTGATTTATTGTTCGACTCATTTGTTTGTTCCTGTTTTGTCCCAGGAGTTGTATTTCCAGCATCTTTAGCTGTTTTGTTGGTTTTATCTTCAGTTTTGTCTGTCTGGCTTTGTATTGCATATTCAGGTGTAACATGGCTGGGTGTCTCAGTTGGAGGCAAGATTTTAGCACTTGGTATTGTGACATCACAATCTGGAATCAGGGACACAGGGGCTGTTGGTGCAGGCAGAAGGGTCTTGGGGGAGCCTCCGGATGTACTCCTTACTCTAGTGACCTGTAGCTTAGATAGGTTACCTTGGGGTAGCCCTGAGGGTGGGGATTCTGAGGGTGGAGAATTAAGGCAACTTTCTGCCTGGTCTGGGGGTGTAGGGAGAGATCTGGCACGATTCCTCTTGGGGCTGATACTGAGACTCTGTACAACTGATGACCTCGGACTAATTTTTTTAGAGTCCACTGTAAGGGGACTACGACGTGGGGATATTGAGCTAGGGGGTGGGGGTACAGGGCTAGATGAGCTACGAGTGCGTCTTGGACTCCGTGTTCCTGGTCTGCCCCTGAGTGAAGGAGAGCTTGTCCTCCGTACTGGACCTGATGGGATAGGACTTTCTTCGACAGGTGTCCTATCTCTAGACATATCCTCCAATGGAATCTCAATATGCGACACACCATCAGAGGAATTTCTACTGTGACGTCCATTAGCCTCATTTTCAGGTTCAACATTATTCAGGGTTTGAACTGCGAAAGCTGAAGGTGACGTTGCATCCAGGGCTTGTTCAATGTCAGAATCACTGCGATTGGCTGATAAGTCCAGTGATACTGAAGACACACCCACAGGTTGTGATGTCATGGCCTGAGGTTGGGATTGGGCACGATGGACACCCCTGCTTGTATATCTGCAATATATTCCCAAACTGCTCAGTACAGTGTTATTACTTGACATAATCTAACTTCTTCTGAATATACAGCTCTAAAAATACTATCATAATTGTTAGCTCTGCATTTTAGACAAGAAGTGAAGAACTCGTTTTTAAAAATATGAGAATCAAAATTTACCTCTCACTATGACGAGCTTCTCTTTGCCGTGCAGAATTGAATGCTGGAACATTATCAACAGACTGGAAAACAGAACGTTCAACATTGCCCTGCTGTCTACGGGGAATTTGAGAATCTGATGAATTACGTGGAATCATCTGACGCACGCGCCCTGAAATCATAAAATGAATCCCTGATTTTGCATTTTGACTCTATTGAATCATGTCTATCATATTGACCTGGGGTAGATTACCTGAGGAGTTCCATGAGTTCAGAACTCCAGTCTTTTCTTCTCTGTTTGTATCAAATATAAATTTATTTTTAAAGCCATCAACCATTCAACCATTGGGTATAAGGAACAATTTCCAATAACATATTTATACAATAAAATATTTACTTATTAGTTATTTTCTAAGCTAATTCATGAAAGTGTCGACGGTAATCTTCGGCACTTTCTGTGATTGGGAAAATAAATTCCCGCGTAAACTATTGTGTTCATTGTACCTTCCGATTTCAGAGGTAACAAGTCAGATTTTATTCAACCCTGAGGCACTAAACTATATAATTATATCAATGATAAAAGCACCAGAAAAAATTCCATGGTTATGCCTGCTCAAATAGGAAATCAGTGCAAAATGACAGAGCTCAGATTTTTCAAAAGATGCTCTAATATACAACTGTTAACTTTACTCGGTTAAGAACATTTTGGTATTACAATCTTACCAGGTATAGGGATTCCTGAGGCTGATCGAGCATAACTCGGAACATTCGCCATATGAAACTGACCATCTGAACCCTGGTTGGGTATCTCCAATAATCTGGCAATCATTTGCATTTTACGCTGCCTCGCTCTGATTCTACCCTTTGAGAGCCTTTGTTTGGCAGCCATACACCTTATATGGTCATCGAACATAAACTTTGCAGCTAGAAGAGGGAATGGTTTAGCGTGCATAGATTTTGCGGGTTTGTGGATGGTGACATGTAGAGATCTACTGTCCTCTTTGTCTCCTGCGACTTCAACATCCTGTTAAGTAAAAACATATATGGAAGTACCATGTACATTTTTGTATTAATTTCTTTTCTTAACTTTATAAAGTACTCTAATAACCTGTATTGTATCTTTTACCTTTTCATGGAAATCATATATGCCAATGATTCATTTCATTCAAAACTGGCCAAAATCAATCAATAGGAACATGATTTAGAGAGTTTTAGTGACAAAAATTATTGTTGAAATGTTCAAATCTCGACCCCCCACTGCTCCCCCTCCACCCCCCCCCTTGACCCCCTCCCCCTATCCACATCTTAAGGTTGTAAAATAAAAAGGATTAAAAGAGACCCATGGTACCTAATACATGGATACTGCACTAAATAAACAGATAACTATGTGAGAAGCTAATCTCTTGGTAACATATAACCTTAGTATGGAATATTATTATTGTGGAAAAAAACTTTATACCTGTAAAAATCCAACAAATCTGACGACTCCCCAGCCGAGTCTTCGTGTATCTGGCTCCACCAGGATAAGTTGTAGCACATCGATTACTAAGAACCTTCTCTCCTTTTTATTGTCCTTGTTAATGACAGTGCAAGCTATGAGGTCACTGTTATCTGCAACATGAATAATTGCTAGGGTTTATAGGGGTTTCTATATTGATTCGAATTCATGTATCGTCCACTACATATCATGTATGTCATTTTGAATTTGTGTGTAAAGTAATACATTGCCACTAATGCTGTTGACAATACAATGACACATTTATGTACACGTAATAATATTCAGGAAATATAATTTCATTGATAAAATCCTGTGACCAACAGGCAACACTAACTGCATGTCACCAAACTACTTATGGTTAACTTACTGAGATCAAGCACATCGCCAACTTTTACACATTCATCATTTCTTGTCAATGGGAGCTGGCTCTCATCCTGGTTCTGAAGCTTCAGAGAGAGGTCCCGTAGCAGGAAGTATACACGGATTGACTAAAAAACAACATGGTAGATTCAGACGGAGAAGGTCTAAGCAGAGGTTTATTAAAATAGTATCAACAACATATTGTTTATACTTACTCTTTTAACCTAAAGTACATAAATGCACAAGCTACTCTACTGATTTCATTTTTTAATTGTTAAAGTAAATTTTTGATTGTACAACGTTCAGTGAATGTACAGAAAAACATGTGTAAAACAACCATAAATGAATAAAATAATAGAATTTGATATATTTTTAAGATATTTGAACTGACCAAGAAGAAACTTTTGTTTGTGAAACTATGTAAGCCTACATAACCTTTCAGATGATGTAACAGAGAATCAAATAAAATATGTCACCACTTTGGGTGGTGATCTAAAAATGAAGAGAGCATTATAATGTAAAAACTGTCTTACCCTCCGTGCACGCTCCACTTCACCACAGGGCAGCCTCTTGCTGAATTCTATCCCTGTGAGGGGGGTACCAGTTGGAGGCAACAATATGGATGCATCCATTGTTAGATACTCAACATTCAGAGGCTTTTTCTGGAACAGGCAATACATTTAGTGAGTCCATGACCATTATACATTTACTGAAGAGAGTAAACTCATGCTACAAAACCAGCTTACCACACGCTTTTGTTTTAGATTTAATTATTAGAGCATCCCCTTACCTGAAACTCCCTATATTCATCCTCAAACATATCCAGGAATATTTCTTCACTCTGGAATGGAAAGAAAAAGACCTTTTTTATTTTAGGTTCTATTTCTATATTATGTACCAAGAATATTTGTTCTACATTTATTTTTCGTAAAATTTCTCAAACATGAACATACATGCCATGTACTCTGGTATGAATGTGTACCTTATAAAAGTTGCGCAACAAAAGCATGGCTTCCTCTCTAGCACCCTCTATACAGGCAAGGTGACGATCTTGGAGATAGCAGCGGTCTTGTGCAAGCACCAACTGTTTCACTAGGAGCAATGACATCTCTAGCGTGGCCAGCCTCACTTTGGACCCTAAAAACAATAATAACTAGTTACCATCTAAATTCTTAATTGCAATAGCAACTTTATCAAAAAAATTTCAGGAATAAAAAAATTATTGGATCTCATATGAACTTTAATAATATACATGTATGTTCAAGTTTTAGCATAGTAGAGAAGTGCCAAATGTTCTTCTTATGAAGCCCTTCCATAACCCCCCCCCCCCATGTACAATAAGGCTGCTCATGGATATTACTTACAAGTCATCTAAATACCAATAGTGTCAGTAAGAGAAAATCCAGCATAAACTCACCATTATGACAGCTTAGAGAGACAATTTTGATGAGCTGTTCCATGAGTAACTTGTTATACATAGACTTATGCGGAGACTTATCTGACGTCATCAGTACTGTGTCCAACAATTCTTGGTTTATGCCTAAAAAACAAAAGAGAGTACACTATAAAGAGATCCGATCCAAGTACTCCATCTATTATACTCTGATATTCTTTTTGATTCAATTTTTATATGTCAATCAATTTGAAGCAGTATTGTTCCATAATTCAGAAGGTTATATTTAAATATCAATTTCCAGTTTTTATGTTCAATCATGCATACATGTAAGTGTATTAAATCAAGTTGTTTTCCATGCGAATTACAGAAAAGAGCATGATGCACAATGATGCACACATACAATACATTCTTATAGGGGTTATCTTTATACTGCAAGGTTTTTGGATACAAAATGGCCTATATATAAAACAGATGTATGCCAATCCTACTGCAGTTCAAGGTATGTGCTTCCTTGTAGCCTAGAACCTCATTAGGTATGGGATATATAGAGATTATACCACTCTAAGTCCAATTACAGTTGTATAACATGGGTCTATAACAACGATATACAGTGGAGAGTGGTATATCGTCATCGTATACAACTCCTCCGTATACACTCCAGCGTATACCACTGTAGAAGTGCATTCTGGGAACTAATGAATAAAAAAATCATGAAAATTTTCATGATTTCCTAGAATCAAGTGACGTCATAAATGGTTCGAGATCAACATCAGCATTATTGAGTTGGCTATGGGATATTTTTATGGTTTTTAATTGTTATGATTGTGTTCGAATCAACTGTAATTGGACTTAGAGTGGCATAATAAGATTATACAATGGTTCATTCTGTATATCGTGCATTTTATACTCTCGTGAGAATATAATATATTCACTCGTTCGCTACGCTCACTTGTGAATATATCATATACTCACTCGAGTATAAAAACGATATACAGAAAGAACCATTATATAACCTCATATTATCCTATATGAGGTTTAGGATATTGGGATTATCCCGAGGCCAATATAATATATCTGCCCGAGGGCCGTAGGTCGTATGATCTGTTTATCCCATACCAATCACATTGTTCAATTGGCCACGGTTCAGAAACTTTGCAACCAACCGTGGAATTATTTAACATATTCACGTCCAGTTTTGTATTCTTGTCCGTAGCCGGAATTTCCTGTTCAACTCTTTGACTATTAACGGGGCACACTGCTCCTTCCCTTCATCAAACAGATCGCGATTGTCTGCTTTTTTTTCCATTGTCGTTTACAGTAATGCAAAGGTTACAAACAATTTAGAACCAAGAATCAATACGAGAACAGCGATTATGACGTTGCGGGCAGATATACTATATCTGCCCGCTCGGAGAGGGACGTAAAGCTATATCTGCCCGCTGATGAAAATATAAGATTTTACAAACCGGCTTTATGTACCTGTAACACGTCCAAGTATGGGATAAATACATTTATCCCATGGATACTAAATATTTATGGGGATAACAGCACAAGATAATTTTGGTATGTGCCACTAAAATTGTATTGGACTGAAATGATGTGATATCCAATCGTATCCGATGCATACTATTTTTTCATTAGTTGTGAATTTAGGGTCCAAAACGGTTTGATAAATAACAGCCTTGCCTGATTGAACTATAGCTTGTTAAAATGATTTAAATGTAGGTGAAAAATTAAATGTGGTGGAATTTTGCCCAAAGGATTTGGAAAATTATTGGCAACACTTCCATAGGATAAATAGGATATACTATAATTTTCTCAGGCTATCATTTTTATCCACTCATGGATAAAAATGCTATCCCTCAAAAATCATAGAATATCCTCTCTGTATATGAATCATTCACAATATATATGCAGTAGTACTCGTACAACTGATAGAATGAAATAAAATGAGACAAAATATAAGGATGCATTCCTGTGCATGAAAAAAATAAAATAAATAAATAAATCGATAAATAAACAAATAAATATGAACACACAGACTTCAATTTAGATGGAGTAGTTATTATTTTTACCATACTACTTTGAGTTATGAACTAGATGTGTAACATGTTCACTATGATGTTAATAAGACTGGCATGCTTAATGTTGTGGTAGCGATTCAACTATACTATGACCATAAAATAAATGAAATATTATATAATTTAAACCCCTTGAATTTGCTTTTACATAAATCAGTTAAATCAAACATGATGAAGTTAATTATTTTCAGATTACATGTATATAAGTTAAGCCTTTTAAGGATTTTCAAATGATAATTGCTACTAGTGTAATAGCACTATCTAAAGGTAAACTACGAATATAAACTGACAAAGCTATGTACAACAAAATAAAAAGTCTTAATACAGCAAGAAAAGTAAGACCCATCAGTGTCAACATCCCAGTGCTACAAAGATGTGGTGCTCGAATTAAGTACACGTTAATTTGAACCTAAATTGTTCAGGCCCATAGCCAGGCCCATAGCCAGGGTAGCGCAAACACCCTGGAATTTTTAAAGAAGTGAATCCCCCTTGGCAAAAGCTGGAGCCTCTAAGAGCCTCTTGGTAATCTATAACCTAACATAGAATAGTAGGTAATATAGGAGATTATGAAATATTCATTCTTAATCCAGAGGTGTTTGTTAAGAAAATGACATCTTCATGGAGGTCAACGACGACCCTATATTTGGAATATGCTCTTAGACAACTTCATTTGAAATGAACAGCTTTTTTCCTCAATGTAAATACAATTGTAAATTTCAAAGTTACTATAAAACCTGTTATCCGAACACCTCACAATGTGAAAACTTTCTCTTGGTCGCAATCTTCCATTGAGATAAAGAAACCTTGAAATATAACACCTGCTATTCTGAACACTATTTGCTAGTTCCAGTGGCTCCAGTGGCATCAGAGATCACATGTTTTGCCTTATATTATTTCTACATGTACTTGATGGACATAGACTTTTTACCCCCCCCCCAGACAGGTTTACTTCTTTCATGCAGAAAATACAATAACATAGAACTGCTAGGCTACTAAAATTATACAATAAATACAGAAAGCTTACCATCTGTTTAGCAAAATATAAATGTGTTCAAAGTATAAAGCGTTTCTTAAAATTGGAAGCACAACTAGTGTATTATAGTGCAAACATTTCACTCTATTCGACACAACTTTATATAGGGTGATCAGTATACAGGGCGACCAGTAAATAAAGAGAAATCAATATTTTGTAAATTGGAGTGGTGTCAAATAATTGGTAACCCTGTAGAGGAATGTATGTATAACATTAGAAAATCGAATAATAAGTCATTACATATTTTCAAAGTGATAGTTCTATGTCAGTGATCATTAGTACTCATCTAAAAAAAACATTTGACTTGCATACATATTTCCCAAATTAAAAGCATTTGATGTAATCTAGAGTTTTCTTAAAGCATTTGATGTAATCTAGAGATTTCTTAAAGCATTTGATGTAATCTAGAGTTTTCTTAAAGCATTTGATGTAATCTAGAGTTTTCTTAAAGCATTTGATGTAATCTAGAGTTTTCTTAAAGCATTTGATGTAATCTAGAGTTTTCTTAAAGCATTTGATGTAATCTAGAGTTTTCTTAAAGTTATACATGTATTCTCATAAGTAACTGAATTTAAATAATTTGATATCTTACCTTCATTGTGTCCAAGTGCATACAGTAAACACAAAGCAAAAAGTGCCTCATAATCATTCTCTGTGCACTCAAGTGCTGTAAATACTGCCTCCAAATATGGTCTGAAAATACAGCAAAATAATTGTTTATTAACTTAAATCAGTCTTATTCATAAAATATATTGCAAAAACAGGTATTATATGGATTGGCAAATGGTTTTAGACTGTCATATCTTTGACCATAGTTTTATTCTGACATTTATATTACCAGTAAATACTATTCAGAACAATTTCTCACCCTGTAAAGGGTTAAAATAATTTTTCCAAGTAGAAATGATTTAATCTAAACAATTTAGGGAATGAATAGTATCAATAAAAAAAACACTTAACTTGTTTTAATGCTACATTTATTTGAAGATGACTTGTACACACCTGTTTACAAGAGTAAAATCCTTTTGTTTTAAATCAAATGCAGACTCTGGTCTTTCCTCCTCAGTTGAAACTGAAATATCCTCCTCAACAACTGAAGACTCTTGTGTTTCTATAGTAGCAGAGCTTGTTTCCACGGCAACAGGGACATCATCATCTCTTGCGACTAAACTTCTTGAACGTAACTTCTCTTCATCTGTGATATTGGCATCTTGTATAGATGGCTCCACTGATGAGTCATTAACAGACGGAGGGGTCGGAGCCTCAGAGGATTCTGCCTCGACTGTCTCCTGTGTACTTTCAACAGCTTCTGCATTTTATAAAATACATACACAACCAATACAGTATTTGTTTTTGAGAAGTTTTTATATCTTGCACAAAGGATGACAAGAATGATGCATAAGACTCTTCAAATTGGAGACACAAAAATAGTCAGGAAATCTTAGTGAACACTATCAAGATTTTACATTAAATAGAACCAATCTAAAATCTTATTTCTGAAAGTTTCCAGAAATTAATAGTAACTACATTACTATTGATTTTCAACTCAAACACTTCTCTGGTTAGTCATTCAAAGGACTAATTTAGTTATTCAACATGGTAGATTGTTAAAGATAGTTTAATAAAACATTTCAGAAAATTTACCATGCACAGGTTCTTCTTCATCTGTGTAGAATGTGGAATTGCCACTTTGGGTCCCCTCCCTTCTTGAGGCTCCCTCCCCCCTCCGCTGTACCCCCTCCTCTTCCTCGTCTCTATAGTTAGGCCTCCTCAAGGGACGTCCTCCTCCCCTGTTGTTCTCTAGGGTCTGGGCTAGTGGCTCTTCAGGTTCTATGAACCCCCTTGTCCAACCCCGACCCTGCCAAATATAAATATTAAGTGTTTAAAGATTCATAAATTAATTGTAATTCATGAAGATATATTTCAATGGAGACCATAGCAATGTCAATATCACAGGGTTTGAAATGTTTTTAATGTTGGACAAATCATTGTCATAAATGGATTGTCTGACATATCATTGTCATCAATGGATTGTCTTGTCTGATAATTAATAAATTCAGTTATATTAAATAAGATATTGTATGATAATCAACATCCACAAAAAAAGTTGTTCACCACTTCTGGTGGTGACACAAAAAATACAACTCACTGAACATATATCTTAAACATTCTCTCAAACTTGTATACTGTCACAAGGATGCTACATTGAAGGAAAGGGGCTATAATATTACACAGGGTACACCTCACCTTGATCGCAGGGCTTGACTGGGCACTAGCCATTGTGTATGTAATGTCACCATTCAGTATGATGTCAGCGAGTTGTCTCACTAGAGGTGCATGTGAGATGATGAGAAATACCTGAGAGAGGAGGAATAGAGACACCACAGAACTGATGTGTGGACGCTGGTCCTAAAATACAAAAAAATTCTTGTTTGTTTGTTTCAAAATACATTCAATTACAATTCATAGACAGTTGTTGGACATTTACATTATTCTGTGTTTACACAGTACATTCTTTTCCAGTTTATGATTTCAGATTCTTATTAAACTTAATCACATCCATGGATTAAAATCATCAATGGCAATATTTGAAAAACTCAAAACTGTTAGCTGTACAAGCATGTTTCATTTACTCTATTACATTTAAGATGAGCAAGAACAAAGGACAACATATGAAAAACAAGATAAAGAAACTCCTGTAAATCATAAGAACCCCCAAAAATATACAGGGTGTTCTAATAAAGTCTCGTTACAATTACAAAAAAAAAAGTCTGTGTAAAGTGTAAAGAGACTATATGGACACCCCATATATATGCAATATTTTGAGTTATGCACAAATTCTATGTAGAGTAAAACCTGTCTAATCTGAAAATGTTTAGCCAAACAGAAAAAGTGTTCAGATTAGAGAGGTGTTCAGATATACAGATTTCACTAAAAAAGTGCCAACATACCACACGGCTGCTATATTTCTTTCTCTTGGTGAGAGAGTAGACATAGAGAGGAATGAGAAGCCTGTTCAACAGATGGTCTGACAGCACATCATTCAGGGCATCTATCTTCAGACACAAGATGTCATTCAGGTAGTGTAAATGGTCCAAGTGTTCAGCCACTATGTCAGCTAAACGGTCCCTACTCTGATGACTGAAATCACAGTGAATTTTTTTCAATTATCAGTTACTTATGTTGTTTATATGAATGGTTATTACAAACTTGATTCAATTTTTGTAAGGACATTGATTTATTGACTGACCAATACACAGTTTAGAAAAACATGTAAAGTGGAACACCACATCTTTAAAAGGAACAATCCCCCTAGATGTGGATCACTTTTCAAAGATCTGTTAGCATACGCATTAACTAAATATAAAAAATGAACCTGTTCAAGTGGAACACCTCCAAATGGAACACTATTTTAATATAACATGAAATGAACTATTTTGAGGAGATGAAGGAGTTCCACTTAGGTTTAACTGTAGTGTGGACTTACTCAGCATCGTTGCGCACACAACTGTCTAGCTGTAGAATATGGTTCCCAATGAACCATACCAGGTTAGAAAAGTATGGGGCTGCTGTCTTGTCTCTAATATACCTCAGCATTGCTTGGTCCTCCACTGTGAAACATATAATAAGTACAAGTTAGACATGGCATGTGTATCAAGAAGTACAAGGTGTATTATGTTGTTTAAACAGGATTAAAAAATTTGCCTTTATATAGCCTAATTAAGACAATAACAAATCTTCAAATTTTTAATTTTTTGATCATGATATCATTAATTGTTAATAAATCAAAACTTCAGCAAACTCTCAAAAAAGCAACCAATCAAGCTCCATTACTATGGTACCATAGCATATCTGAGAGCTCTTGTACATGGAAATATACCATGGTAGAATATTCTATGGTACCATGCACATATGAGAATACACCATGGCAACAGGCATATTCAATTAAAATATACTATGATACTATGGTAACATGCATATCTGAGCCTCAATCAAGCTGGTCTACTGTATTTTCTACAAAATGTGCATATTACTGCAAGATTTACACAATATTAAAGTCCTGCAGTTTTACAGCTGGCAATTCTTGCCCTCTACTATACAAGTCTTGCAGTTATAGCAAGTATTGCATAGTAAGGACAAGCAAGTCTTGCATACAGTTGTTAGAGGGGCTAGACATCAAAGTCATTTGTTGCCTATGAGGTTGTTACAAAGATGGTTTAGATATACCCCCTCAGACTTAATTTTTTGAATATAATACAATGCTCAGATGCTACAGCCCAGCTGCAAACATAATTCAACTCATTCTATCAACTTTTGACAACATAATACATACACAACAACATTTACATGAAATGGAAGAAAGTATACATAAACATACATGTACATACTGACATATGACTATTTTAAAATTGAGTGGGAATGATAAAGATATCTAATATGTTTTGTGGGTGAATGAAAATCTATAACCTACAAACAATATAAAATATATCTACCAAGACAAAGCTATAGAAACAGTTGATTCAAAATGATTCACTGACACAATAGCTGGTGTTGACCCTCCCCCACTGCTATACAACAATTTTCAAATAAATGACTACATAATGTATTTTAAACACAACATTCAGTGTGCATATTGGGGCCGAGGGTAGCATAACATCAGTTATATTGTCCAAAAATAACAACATTCACCAAAATTGTAAAAAACTACAATACCCATTTAAATACGCTTAACAATAATGTTGATAAAAAAAACTTTAAAAGACCTGCCATATTACATGTAAATTGATGCATAATTTTATTATAAATTTGTATTTCATAAACATTACACATTGTTTCTTTCTCTATTCAATAATGTATTCATGGCCAGTCAATTAAATAGCATAGTTTATACAGGGTGTGCCAGTATACTGGAAATTACAGCAAACATTTCCTTATGGGACACCCTGTCATGGGACACCCTGTATCACATGTGTACAATGATAAATTACAGCCAGTACTATACCAAGAGTATACATTTTACCAAGGCAAAAATAACATATTCCAAAATTGCTCAAAGTGGAATAATGAGGGTGAAGTGGAATCAAAGACAAAGAGGAAGCATCCACCTCTGAATTTTTAAATTATATGTCTCCTTGCCTTTGAGATGCCAAAAATGAATGAGAAAAAGGAACAAAGTTCGTGGCAAAAGTTTTGACGGAGGTTTTAGCCTCATTTGCCTCAATGTAGTTACGGGCCTGACAACATATAACATACATCTACTTAGCTGTCCCTGGGCATTCACACGTCTTATAGTGCATGCTAGAAATGACAAGAAAACAAGATTAGTACAGGGAAAGGGACAGGCTCCTTTACCATTTCTTGAAAACATAAATATTCAAAGAAAAATAGTCTTGCATCAACTCCTTCCCACATTTGTATTTCCTGAAAAAATGCATCTAAAATGATACTTGGTTTATGGACATATGATGGGTAGGGACAAGCTTGATGCAATACCAAATAAAATTGTTAGAAATATGGAAGCAAGCATTCTCATATACAGTGTATTTCAATTTAGGGGAAGGGGGGTTGTGGGATCTGTGGAGTCAAGCCTACCAAGCTATAACATCACATTGGCAGTAGAAACCAATCACATTGGCAGTAGAAGCCAATCACATTGGCAGTAGAAACAAATCTCGTATGCAGTGAAAATCGTCATGATTACTGTTGACCAAGCCTGACTGCGGACTCAAAAAACGTTAGTCTGATCTACCTCTAATAAAGACAAAGCTGTGATATAAATAATGTGTTAATGATATCTAAGCTAGCATATATGCATTCAGGAATTATCTATTCAGAATGTTAAAGTGCTCAATTTTCTAATTGTCAACATGTTCTATATTTTCAGAAATGCAGGAATTTAAACATTTCATGCATGGTTATCAAAGACCAGTTAGCATTCTGATATCAAATAATTCTCTTTCTACATTACGCTGAGCTATGAACGTGAATCTGTCCGTAATGTACCAGTATGATATACTGAAAGGTAGATATGGATCAGGTGACCAGAATTGAGAATTGAGATATGAACGTGAATCTGTCCATGGTGTACAAGTATGATATACTTAAGGGTAGATACGGATCAGGTGACCAGAATTGAGAATTGAGATATGAACGTGAATCTGTCCATGGTGTACAGGTATGATATACTTAAGGGTAGATACGGATCAGGTGACCAGAATTGAGAATTGAGATATGAACGTGAATCTGTCCATGGTGTACAGGTATTATATACTTAAGGGTAGATACGGATCAGGTGACCAGAATTGAGAATTGAGATATGAACGTGAATCTGTCCATGGTGTACAGGTATGATATACTTAAGGGTAGATACGGATCAGGTGACCAGAATTGAGAATTGAGATATGAACGTGAATCTGTCCATGGTGTACAGGTATGATATACTTAAAGGTAGGTAAGAATCAGGTGACCAATAATTCAGGTCCAGAATAGGACAAAGGATAAAAAAATTACCCCCCCCCCTAGTTGACTGTCATTATTCAACCCAACCGAGCCTTGAGAAACCTGAATAAAATGAAGTCTCATATGAAATGACTTGACCCGATCCACCTCCACATGTAGTATATAAGATCATGTTGTCAGTGAAAGGTAGATGCAAAAATAACTAAAATAATTCAATACCCCAAGCTTGAGCTATAATAAAAAAACATATTTTAATAATATGGCGCAATAATTATGAAATAAAAACATAAAATTAATCTTAATTAATTAACTATCCCTATAAACATATTCATTTATGTTAAAAATATCAAAAGGAATAATGTTACATGCATTTTAATATAATTTAACTTATGCTGCAATGTTATATCCAAAGATGTGATATTTAACATGTTTTTACCAAATAAGGTTAAAATACATGTAGCTGTACATACTGTATTACTGGAAATGATTATCAATAAGCCAGGTATATTATATGTTACTTTAACACTAAACAATTAACATATATAACATACAATTCCAACATAGCTGTCTTACATTTTACAATTTATACATACCATGGCCATACACTAAAATCAGTGAATAGTAGTTCTGACAACAGTTTCTAAACATTTTATAAAAGAGCTCTTCTGATTAAGTAGGCCAGAGGATGATATTTAAACTCGATTTTTTCCAAAATATTATAGGTCAAGGAAAGACCTACCTTAGAATGTTAGTTGCGTTTGACATAATACCACTTTGTGAAATCAAATAAATCAAACTGAGCTTCTGGTCTTTGAACACTGATATAAAACTGACTACAGACAAATAATTCATCTCCCTGATATTTCTAACATGGAAAATTTTTTAAGAAATTGTAGAAGTCGTACCTTTGTATACATTTAGTGTGATGGTTCTGACTGCAATTCTGACCATGGTCTCTGAGTGGTTGAAGAACTTGATTGCTTCAGTGTACAACGCAAAGTCATTTGTGTGCTGAAATAGAGAAACATTTGTGAGCTATTTAGTCATTAGTGTGCTGATAGAGTACAAAGTCATTGGTGTGATGAAATAGTGAAACATTGATGAGCTATTAAGTCATTAGTGTGTGGAAATAGTGTGAAGTTCTTGATGTGGTGAAAGAGCGAAACACTGGTGAGCTAATTAGTCATTAGTGTGCTCAAATAGTGCAAAATCATTGGTGTGTTGAAATAGCGAAACATTCGTGAGCAATTTAGTCATTCATGTGCTCAAATAGTGCAGTCATTGGTGTGTTCAAATAGCGAAACATTGGCAAAGTCATTAGTGTGCAGAAATAGTGCAAAGCCCTTTGTTATCTAACTGTGATGTCATTACAGTATTTCCATGGTTATAACAATTGATTTACGAATTCATAACTTTATGAAGTTTTTGTTAATGACTCGAAGATGATTTGTACCAGGTTATTACACATGCCCAGCAGTGCTGAAAAGTGGATTTTATGCATTCAAGACAGCTGGTACAAATTTTTGGATAACCAAGATATTGAGATATATGTCAATCATTAAAGTTGTTTGAAAAGAATTTCAAATGTGCATTTAAGTCTCTACATTAATTTCAATATTTAGAAAATAACTTTAAGCGCTTGTTATAACAGTTTCTAGAACATGATTTATTACCATTTCTTGGGAGTTTATACTTACTTCGTTGTAGAAAAAATGTATCGTATGTTTGTTTAACTTCAGTGATAACGTCTTTAGGAATGAAATGTAATACGCCATCACCTGAAAAATGATCATGAAATATTACACTCACAAAGTGAAAACTTACTTATAAGATGGCTTTTGTACCTGGTTGCACATGAAATCATGTCAAATCAATATAGACACTTCTATATGTAAATAGTAAAAAAATGAGTATGCCAACTAAGACAAAAAATGCTACATTTTAGGTTGTTTAGATTAAGTTAACATTTTCAGAAAAGTTTGAGGAAACATTAGTCATAATACATGTATATCTATTGACATTGACATGGATTTTTCCCAAATTGTACATGTGAGAAAACTTGTGGCAATTTTTGTGTTTCGTAATAATTAAAATATTATTTTATTTGGACTAGTCTTATTATATCAACAACTTGATATAATTCTTACCTCTTCATCAGAAAAGTCGAATCTGTGGATTATGATTGAATTAACATGGTTATTGGACAGCAGGTAATCTACAATACAAAAGACATAAATGTAGGAATTCATATGTGACAGAAAACAAAGTAGCATAAAACTACAAGTCTGTATAACGGTGATATCTCATGTTTTGCTCTAGATTTTACATAAAAAAATCACTTTAATTTAGTTGGTGGTATTAACTGCATAGTCAAAAATCATTAGAGGGAACCATTTTTTTTAGGAAAACAATATTGTACAATGAAAATGTGGTTTACAAGAATGGGGGTGAACTCGCAGTAAATTCAATGGTATGTAGGATAAATGCAAAACTTTTGAACCAACTCCCAAATCGTGTTTAGGAATGTGACTGGCTTATCTTAACACAATGTAAATGTAGTGTTATAAAAGATATACGTTGCTTGAACGAGCTGTTAACAAAATACACCATATATGGGATTTAATGCAAAGAAAACCCTTAAAGTCCCCGTCTAGAGTTTGAAAATATTTTTTTATCATTCATTTACTATTTGTCATGACTTAAAAAGTTATTTTAGAGATTTCTTAAAAAAAAAATTTTTTGAAAAAAAGTTGTGAGCATTTCATTTCTCAAATATTCAAATTTCCCGCCATTTTTCAAAAAAAGTTGACATTTTTTAATCATCAAATATTTCTTAATGCATTTCAAAAAAGATTATCTTTTTAACACCAATGAAAAGATTGAACAAAAGAACACACTATTTCAATAAAAAAAATGCCATATCTAATGGGCCACTTCAATGTTTTAGCATATCAAAAATATTTTGAAACATTAGTGATGTCACTAAGGTAGCAAAAACTTTTTGAAATTGAAATTTTTTTTTCGATGTCAATCTTTTCTAAATATGCTAGACTTCAATAATAAACTAATGTTGATTGTCTAACCAGGTTAAAAGGAAGAATATATCATGTTTTAGATATCATTGTACCATTCGTTTCTATGAGAACTAAAATTTTGAAATGCATTTTTCTCAGAACCATTTTCATGCACTGATAAGTTCATTTCTCGCTTATTTATGAACCGATTTTCTTAATTTTTTCGGCAAAAAACATGCGAGGATGAATGCTATGCATTGATATGAATTGTGGCTAATTAAAAGATATGTGTGACCTCTAAATAAATTCACAAATTTTGGAACAAAAAGTCTATCAAAAACCACTTTTGGAAATTTGAAAAAAATGTTTCACATATCCCACTTTGATAACATTGGGTAAGACTACAATATAAGCCAAAGTGGTTTAAACTTTATATGGGGACTTTAAATCGTGTTTAGGAATATGACTGGTTTAATTTATCACAGAGTAAACACTGTGTTATAAAAGGAATGGTTTGGGTTGTTTATTTGTAGGTGATTGGCCACTTGATCATTGACCTACAGAACCTATAATCATGCAGTTAATGATTCATTCATCATGAATGTCTTTCCTAAAACTATTATCTTTGCTAGTTAGCAATAACATTGCTCAATAATAATTTGTAAAATCACATAAATATCTATAAATCTAGAATATACATTATTTGATTAAAAATATACTCTTGTATTTCTTGTATAAACTGAATATGATTTTAAGGAGGGCGAGTTGCTATGGTACCATTTTTCCTGTTATGTTATACTCATAATCAGGAAGATCTTGGTGAACCTTTTTTCTCATAACCCAAACACCAACAGGAGATCATTGCCACATCACAAGTTCAAACAATTTTATGTTCAAACTAAATACATTATATTCAGTACATAGAGCAACCAAAAAAATTAAATTAAGTGACAAATCCACAAGGGAAATATTATCCTCAATGTTTATGGCTAGGTCCACCAAGATCTGATACTATGCCCCCAACTAGGATTTGAGAATAAAACACCAGTCACCTCCCTTGAATTCAAACAAGAGAGCACTAACCCCTCTTAAGATATTGAAAACATTGCACCAACCAGACATGCTATATACTTACACCATGGGCTTTCAACAATTGAAAGCCCATGCTTACACCAACTTGAAAATTAGAATGGTGAAAAATTGGCATAGTTTAACCATCTTTAGTAAGAATTGTAAAAATGAGGATTTTGTATGAATTTGTGAAAAACTCCTAAGGACAAATGAACATTGTATAAAATACTTACACACTGAAGTCTCATTACTAATATTCTCAAACAGAATGTTAAGAGTCTGTAGGAGTTGCACGCAGATGTAACGTCCTGACTTCTGCCTCATGTAGCGTATGAAGAACGCCAACATGTTCTTCTCTAAGAAGAAACTAAAAAAGTAAAGAATATAATTCATATAAAACAACTGGTAGATATTGGTCCCTCATAAGATGAGCCTTATTTTCTTTATATTTCAGCAATAGAAATGGGGCTTTTTAGACCTCAATTTCAGAAACAGACCTTATTTTTGAGAATAATCTGTACCAAGTTTCAGAATGAGTCAGCCAGTGAATACTAATGGTGATATCTTTATTTTATTTTATGATTTTCATTGATATCATATACATGTATTTTTTATCGACATCAGTGGAAGTGACTGTAGCAAACAAGTGTTAATATTGCCAGCAACAAGAAAATCAATTTAATATCAAGAAAAGGTACAGTTAAACTTGTATATTTGAACACCTGGCTAATCAGAACACCTCCCGATCTAAACACCTCCCAATCTAAACACTTTTTTCTGTCCCATTTTTTCCTCCCAATAACCTCCATGTTAAAGAAACTTTGAAATGTGATCAACTCCCAATTAAAACAATGAACAGTCATATTTCCAAATGCAAAACCTCGAAATTTTAACACCTCTTTATCCGAACATTTCTAGCTGGTCCCAATGGCTTTCAGATAAGACAGGTTTACTGTACAAGATATTGTATTTATCTTATGATCATTTCCAAAATTAATAAGAAATTTGAGTTTTAAATTAATCAACATATTATTTATATGGGGGGATCCTTTTAAAACAAGCAATTCTTCACTGCAAGTAAAAATCAATAAAATCATATCACCACCTTACATATATGCATGGTATAACCAACATTAAAATATTACACTGGTATTAATATCATACATGCTGGTTATTATATAGACATCGCCATATCCATGGAACAAAACATTATAAACATGTTGACACTTACTCAAAGACAGTGCTATCATTCTGGTCTCCCCAGATAAGGATCTCTGATATAGAACGAAGGGTCTCTACCAGTAGGCTCCTGTTGTGTTCAGTAACAGTCTGGTTTTTACATAATATGGCATGAAGGTACCTACAATAACAATGACATCTACTTGAGGAAATGTAGGTAATTTCTCTTCTGAAAACCATGTCCAGATTATTTAGTTGATTATTTTTGCATAATACTTCCCATTATTTGTTTTCTCATCTAAATAGATTTGATCCAATGGATTAAAATCAGCCATGGGGTTCAATGTTTTCATTCAGCCATTATCACTTATTTGAAAACAAAATTGTGACTTCAAGCAGTCACAGTTGAACTGATTTCATTCTAACACTTTATAAGCTCACTATCTATAAAATCCAAAGCACTTTTTGACCTATTACAAATTTATATCTAAATTAGCTCTTATTTTTTTATTTTTTTTATTTATCGTTTTGACAATTTCTTTCAACAAGCTACATGTATGATGGCGTGCACTTGCAACATTACACATTACAAAAAAGAATTCGGTATGTATATAAAAACGAAGTTATAGTTGCGATTAGTTTTTCTATGTCAATTTGTAAAAATGATGGGTCGTGTCAACACTCAACAACCCATGAAATTTGTATTTCCCCAGAAAACTGAAAACAACAACAACTGCCGTTTTATTTACACAGTATTTCTATTTGGAGATTTACAGATAGCGAAAAATCGATGACCATAACCTGTACCCTCACGGAGTCATTAGCAAAAATGTGAAGGGTTCAGTGAATATTTTAAAATATAACTACAAAACAAATAGTGGCAATCACTTTTTAAGACTATTAATAATTCTAAATCTAGATCTATTCATTGTCACCTGACACAGTGGCAATGGATTTCCGTAAAATATTTTTCACTTACTTGAGATTTTCTAACGAATGTGTGTTTTTGGGTTTCCCCATACCGCCAATAAACCAGCCTTTCTGTTTACTAAACATGATTAAATGTATCTAGAGTGATATAAAATAGCTAAACATGGAGTTAATTAACATTTTTTGTTTGAAATTTGACAACGAAATATTTTTCCAATCTCCACCATTTTGACGGAAGTAAAATTAGTTTCTTAGGGGTGATCTGATTGGTCAAAAATTATCATCAGTTCAAAACTTGACCAATCAGCGAAAATATCTCATATTGACTCGGAGGTACATAGCGATGGCGGTGGGAAACAAATCTGAGATTCAGCAAAATGTTGAAAAAGATGAAGAAGCCGTTGGAATGGGATCCATTCATGAAGAATTCAAGGAATTCGACGAAGTGAAAAGTCTCATAGATTCTCTCAAAGATGTCTATGATGACCAGATTGCACTTGAAATGTCATGTGAACGTATCACCCGTGAGTATAAAATTTGATTTTCATGATTGAAAGTTGAATCATATTTGATGATCTCATTTTAACTTTACGACAGGCTAGTCTACGCAATATGGTAACTATTGTCATGCCATGTCTGAAGCAAACTTTTATAATGATCAATATCATTCAGATCCCAAGTGCAGTAGCGAAAAATTTCGAACGGAATGCGTGACATACAGTTGGGGACATAAATAAATGACAGGTGGATTTGCTGAAGTGAGGATTTCCCATGTTAAAAATAAGAGAATTTACAAGAGGCCATACATCAGTGGATGAGATTATACAAAATGTAAAATATACAAATTTTAAGGGATATGTATCTAGACAATATTGGAAATTATGGGCTTTCAGACCACCATAATTAGGAAATGGTGATCGAAAATCGACCTGTCATTTATTTTTGTCCCCAACTGTATACGTAATTCGCGTGAAAAGTCCGAACGAAATGCGTACATTTTTTTCCGGCGTTCGTATTTTTGCTGTGTAGACGATCTTTTTTAGAAATTTTTCTACAGAAATATTTTTGCTTGACAATTACCAGGTAAAATGCGTATTTGCGTGACATTTTCTGTCACGCAAAAATAACTGGCGTGACTTCAAATTCTTCAGCAAATGCGTGACAAATACGCAAATTGCGGGACAGTTGACAGGCCTGCAAGTGCATACACTGCGCAGCATGCACCTGTGTGCTGAGCACCTTGCAGAACACAGTTGACAAATTATGACAAGTAGGCGTACCTCTTTCAAAAGCTGCTGATTGGTTTGATAGAACAGGCATTTGCTCACCCTCTATAGACTGCTAGAGAATTGTGATGGCTGAAACTAAATTACTAAAATCAGCTGCTTATGTTATATCATATGTTCCCTACATCCTCCATTTGCGAAAGTCTGTAAGTTATCAGCTGCTTCTGTGCCGATCAGCACTTCCTCAATAGAAATCAAAATTGTGGATTTGATGGAAATTCATAAAATAACGTTCAAAATTTCCAGATATTCTTCTCGCTAGAAAATGTCCACTCGGGGATAAAGTCCTGATGGACACAGAAGCAGCTGATAACTTACAGACTTGCACAAACAGTGGATAGAAATGTAGGGAACACTTGGAGATATACAGTAAAGTTAGCAGCTGATTTCAGTTTCAGCTGTCACGATTCTATTCTAGGGGGCGAGCAAAGGCTGTTCTATCAGATCATTAAGCCTTTGAAAGAGGTAAAAGTAGGCCTATAGAGAACAACCTTACTTGTTGAACCCTCACACTAAGTCCAATTCTCATCATTTGATTTATCTTACAGTTATAGTTGACAAGTATCAAGAACAGCCTCACCTGTTGGACCCTCACCTTGAGTACATACTCAACCAGCTGTTGAGTATTGCAAGAGCAGACTCATCCCCTCCAGCGCTTATGCATCAAGCTTTCAAATATTTATACCTTATCACAAAGGTAAGCCATTTCCTAGTTTATCATTGTTCATTATATGTATTTTGAAAAATAGTTTGGTGGTGCACACAATATAAACCCTGTATTGTTCCCTGGAGTCGACTGTTCCTTAAATTAACATGTACATCGATTGAAATCAATTCCATGTACAGTTGGGGACATAAATAAATGACAGGTGGATTTGCTGAAGTGAGGATTTCCCATGTTAAAAATAAGAGAATTTACAAGAGGCCATAAATCAGTGGATGCGATTTTACAAAATGTAAAATATACAAATTTTAAGGGATATGTATCTAGACAATATTGGAAATTATGGGCTTTCAGACCACCATAATTAGGAAATGGTGATCGAAAATCGACCTGTCAATTATTTTTGTCCCCAACTGTAGAGAGGTGTTACTTACAGGGAGGTGTTCAGTAGCATTGTATTACTGTACAAATTCATTGCAATTGAAGTACAGTATGTTTCTATCAGGACTCAGGAGCATATCAAATTGTACATCAGAGAAGCCCCCAAAGCATTTGACAAATGGAGAGTATGTCACATGAAGATTTATTACTAAAATAGGATATTAATACCAACTGCATTGATGTTTTCAAAACAATGGTAAGTCTATATTGGTTTATCAATGAACTATTGCTTCATATTCTCTTCCATGTACATGTTTGAAGGAGATATACTGTGTTAAATTAACTGCCTCTGTGAAATTTTGCAGACTAGAGGCTATAAGGTAATTCTACGGCTGATGCCCCATGAAGTAGCTGATTTAGAACCAGTTCTTGCACTGCTAGCACAACAGGATCCTTTAGGATTTCAGGTAAGAGTACCTGTGAAGTAAAATACAGTAAATTCTGTCTAAATTGAACACCACTGGGACAATGTTCACATAAGTAGGTGTTCACATTTTAAGGTTTCTCAATATATGAGTTATTGGGAGTTAACAAAATTGGGACTGAGAAAAAGTGTTCACATTGAGAGGTGTTCAGATATACAAGTTTTACTATTATAATTGCATTCTTCTGTGTATTCTGTGAAATGAATTTTATTTTAATTTTCTGCAATTTTGAAATTGATTGCAGTTATTGTTTTCAACTCTCGTAGTTTTGGGATCAATCAACCATTGTTTTTTATATATCGAAATTGAGATAAACACTTGTGTTATTGTACTTCAGCAGGTAATTGTAAAATATTTCTCAACCTTTCTTGTATTTTATTACATTCCAGACATGGGAGACCAGGTACATGCTACTCCTATGGCTCTCTATTGTGTGTATGATACCCTTTGATATGAACAGGCTGGACAGTAACATAGAGCAACAATCTGGGCAAAAGAGAGCACCTATTATGGATAGGATATTGGAGGCTGGGAAAGTAAGCCAAATATTACAATAAGTGTACCAGATCTCTTTCAACTTGCCCATTTGGTTTGATTGATCATTTGTTAATGTTACCATGAACAAGGTTAGACGATCATGTTTTCTCTATGAACATAATATGCACCTATCCCTGGAAAGTCTGCTTTAGTGTGCTCTAAATATGAAATTGTATGAAAAAGTGACTGCACATGGAAGATTGCAAATCAGGATCTAGGCATCTCTAAATTAATTGAAGATGATGCAGCAGCACAGAGATTCTAGTGTTCATAGAACCCTGGATAAAGCCCTGGACACGTTCTGCACATGACACCACAATGCATACATATATACAAGCCATCCATATGCATACTTATTATTATGTCCCCACCACATAGTGTGGGGCCATATTGTCGGCCTAGGCGCGTCCGTCTGTCCGTCTGTCTGTCCGTCCGTCTGTCTGTCTGTCTGTCCGTCTGTCCGTCCGTACGTCCGGCAGTTTTCTCCAAAACCGCTACAGATATCACCTTCAAATTTTCAGGGATAACTTAGCCATCCATATGCATACTTATTATTATTATGTCCCCACCACATAGTGTGGGGCCATATTGTCGGCCTAGGCGCGTCCGTCTGTCCGTCTGTCTGTCCGTCCGTCTGTCTGTCTGTCTGTCCGTCTGTCCGTCCGTACGTCCGGCAGTTTTCTCCAAAACCGCTACAGATATCACCTTCAAATTTTCAGGGATAACTTATGAGTGCATACAGATGTGGATGAAAAAAAATTAACTCGATACCTACTTCCTGTCGGCCATTTTGAAGTCAAATGCTGAAATCCTTGTCTGCAAACTTTAAGAAAAACGGCTTCACAGTTGCTTTTATAACTTTAACATCTCGTTCAGCTCACTTCATTCTAGATTTGATTAGGTTTTGGACCTGTTAGCTCAGTCACGTCAGCCATTTTGAATGTTTTAAGAAAAGTCAGCGCACGATAATACTTTGTATCATATTGAATGGTGTTTTTCAGTTTTCATACTTTAACTTTTTAGTAGCTTAATAAATAATTTCAGGTGTACTTTGTTGTAAAAGCCTATATTATTGTTAACAGTAGTTATATGTGATAATTTTGTAAAAAGATTTCAGCAAAAACTCATAATCACTTTTTTATTGTCGGCCATTTTGGATTTTTCCATCCTAAAATCTTGCCTGTAAAGTCTTGTCTGCGCGTTTTCAGGTTAACCGTTCGGTAGATCAATTTCAAATTTTCAGGGATGATTCTTAGTATGAGAATCTAGATCTGATTAGTTTTTGGGCATTCTGGGTAAATGTCAAGGCAGCCATTTTGGACTTTCCGTCCTAAAATCTTGTCTGTAAAGTCTTGTCTACGCATTTTCAGGTGAACCGTTTGGTAGATCAATTTCAAATTTTCAGGGATGATTCACAGTATGAAAATTGAGATCTGATTAGTTTTTTGGCATTCTGGATAAATGTCAAGGCAGCCATTTTGGATTTTCTGTCTTAAAATCTTGCCCGTAAAGTTTTGTCTACGCATTTTCAGGTGAACCATTTGGTAGATCAATTTCAAATTTTCAGGGATGATTCTCAGTATGAAAATGTAGATCTGATTAGTTTTTTGGCATTCTGGATAAATGTCAAGGCAGCCATTTTGGATTTTCCGTCTTAAAATCTTGCCCGTAAAGTCTTGTCTACATGCTTTTAGAACGGTTAGGTAGATCAATTTCAAATTTTCAGGGATGATTCTTAGTATGAAAATCTAGAACTGATTAGTTTTTGGGCATTCTGGGTAAATGTCAAAGCAGCCATTTTGGATTTTCTGTCTTAAAATCTCGTCTGTAAAGTCTTGTCTACACATTTCAAGGTGAACTGTTTGGTAGATCAATTTCAAATTTTCAGGGATGATTCTTAGTATGAAAATCTAGAACAGATTAGTTTTTGGCATTCTGGATAAATGTCAAGGCAGCCATTTTGGATTTTCTGTCCTCAAATCTTGTCTGTAAAGTCTTGTTTACATGTTTTCTGGTTAACTGTGTGACGGATCAATTTCAAATTTTCAGGGGTGGTTCTTAGTATGAAGATCTAGAACTGACTATTTTTTGGCATTCTTGGTAAATTTTAAGGTGGGCATTTTGGATTCTCCGTCCTCAAATTGTGTCGGTAAAGTCTTGTCTACTCATTTTTAGGATAACCATTTGACGGGATCACCCATAGGTGGGGACATATTGTACACATTTGTGTTCTTGTATAATTTGTTGTACTCTGCCTACCTTACCCACTGTATGATTCCAGAAATACCTGTGTGTGTTTGACAAAAGCCAGGACGCAGCAGCCTACCTTGTGTCAAGATTCCTTACCAGGCCTGATGTTAAAGAGAAGCGCCTTCCTGACTTTCTGGACTGGGCATTGGTAACCATGAAAGATGCAAATGGTATGAAATTTGATTAGAGGTAGATTAGAAGATATTTTGAAACCTCAGAATTTTTCAGAACATCTTTTTGGAGCATTTGTTCTCTTTGTTTTGTAAAATCATTGTTTTGCGTCATGTCATGTACTGATAGAATGCCTCATAAGACAAAACTCAAATTCAATTTAATGCTGTGTTATCTTTTTTCGTTGAGAACAAATAGATGCCTTCTATAATAAATGTTGTTCCAATGTTCCTTCTACATATACTTGTGTATTTGTTTGATTTATTTGTTGCATTCCCTTCTTGGCTAATATTGTTGTGCAATCTAAATATCAGTATTAACATATTTCTTCTCCCATTTCCTTTAAAAATTCTTTCTATTTTCCTCTGTAATTGAAACGTGCCCAATATAACCACACATTGAATGTGTACCTCTCTGTTGTAATGTGCCTAATATAACCACACATTGAATGTGTACCTCTCTGTTGTAATGTGCCTAATATAACCACACATTGAATGTGTACCTCTCTGTTGTAATGTGCCTAATATAACCACACATTGAATGTGTACCTCTCTGTTGTAATGTGCCTAATATAACCACACATTGAATGTGTACCTCTCTGTTGTAATGTGTCTAATATAACCACACATTGAATGTGTACCTCTCTGTTGTAATGTGCCTAATATAACCACACATTGAATGTGTACCTCTCTGTTGTAATGTGTCTAATATAACCAAACATTGAATGTGTACCTCTCTGTTGTAATGTGCCTAATATAACCACACATTGAATGTGTACCTCTCTGTTGTAGTGAGCACTATGCTAGGTGCCCATTCATTGACTGGAACATTAAAGACATTAGCACTCTTATTCAAACAAGGGAAGAGAGAAGATTTAATACCACATGGTAAGTTCAGTGATTTTGCATGATATATTCTATTTATCCTATAATTTATCTGGACTGGCATATCTAAAGATGTACTCCATTATACAGTGCAATAATGTATAAAGTATAAACCATTTGAATTTTTTATTTTGTTTGGAGTAAGTTCAAATGTGTGAAAAAAGTGATGTCCTTTGAATATATTTACTAAGATAGTGACCAATGTTCAGCAAAATATAATCTCCACCACACTTTGAGCAACATTAAAAAAGTTTCAGAATGTAACTGTCAGATAGTGACCTCTATTTACCTATGGTGCAAATCATTAATAAAAGAAATATCCATTGCAGTGACCACATTGAAGATAATCTATAAGATTAAGACAATAAATAAAATAAAATAAATTGAATCATAAAAATTACTTTTTCAGCACCAGTGATACTTGAGAGACTTGGTACTTTGAATCTCAGAGAGGCTAATAATACAGTATTGAGGAAGATGGGGGTCAAGTTGGTACAAAGGATGGGATTGATCTTTCTCAAAGCTAGAATAGCAGCTTGGAGGTATGTAACATTATAATTCCAAGGAACAAAGTTTGTTAAGGATATGGTGAAGCCCACTAATAGTCCATCTAGCTGTTAAGGATATGGTGAAGCCCACTAATAGTTTGTCTAGCTGTTAGGGATATGGTGAAGCCCACTAATAGTTTGTCTAGCTGTTAGGGATATGGTGAAGCCCACTAATAGTTTGTCTAGCTGTTAAGGATATGGTGAAGCCCACTAATAGTTTGTCTAGCTGTTAGGGATATGGTGAAGCCCACTAATAGTTTGTCTAGCTGTTAAGGATATGGTGAAGCCCACTAATAGTTTGTCTAGCTGTTAAGGATATGGTGAAGCCCACTAATAGTTTGTCTAGCTGTTAGGGATATGGTGAAGCCCACTAATAGTTTGTCTAGCTGTTAGGGATATGGTGAAGCCCACTAATAGTTTGTCTAGCTGTTAGGGATATGGTGAAGCCCACTAATAGTTTGTCTAGCTGTTAAGGATATGGTGAAGCCCACTAATAGTTTGTCTAGCTGTTAGGGATATGGTGAAGCCCACTAATAGTTTGTCTAGCTGTTAGGGATATGGTGAAGCCCACTAATAGTCTGTCTAGCTGTTAGGGATATGGTGAAGCCCACTAATAGTCTGTCTAGCTGTTAGGGATATGGTGAAGCCCACTAATAGTCTGTCTAGCTGTTAGGGATATGGTGAAGCCCACTAATAGTCTGTCTAGCTGTTAGGGATATGGTGAAGCCCACTTATAGTCTGTCTAGCTGTTAGGGATATGGTGAAGCCCACTAATAGTCTGTCTAGCTGTTAAGGATATGGTGAAGCCCACTTATAGTCTGTCTAGCTGTTAGGGATATGGTGAAGCCCACTAATAGTTTGTCTAGCTGTTAGGGATATGGTGAAGCCCACTTATGGTTTGTCTAGCTGTTAGGGATATGGTGAAGCCCACTTATAGTCTGTCTAGCTGTTAGGGATATGGTGAAGCCCACTAATAGTCTGTCTAGCTGTTAGGGATATGGTGAAGCCCACTAATAGTTTGTCTAGCTGTTAGGGATATGGTGAAGCCCACCAATAGTCTGTCTAGCTGTTAGGGATATGGTGAAGCCCACTAATAGTTTGTCTAGCTGTTAGGGATATGGTGAAGCCCACTAATAGTTTGTCTAGCTGTTAGGGATATGGTGAAGCCCACTAATAGTCTGTCTAGCTGTTAGGGATATGGTGAAACCCACTTATAGTCTGTCTAGCTGTTAGGGATATGGTGAAGCCCACTAATAGTTTGTCTAGCTGTTAGGGATATGGTGAAGCCCACTAATAGTTTGTCTAGCTGTTAGGGATATGGTGAAGCCCACTAATAGTTTGTCTAGCTGTTAGGGATATGGTGAAGCCCCTTATAGTCTGTCTAGCTGTTAGGGATATGGTGAAGCCCACTAATAGTTTGTCTAGCTGTTAGGGATATGGTGAAGCCCACTAATAGTCTGTCTAGCTGTTAGGGATATGGTGAAGCCCACTAATAGTCTGTCTAGCTGTTAGGGATATGGTGAAGCCCACTAATAGTCTGTCTAGCTGTTAGGGATATGGTGAAGCCCACTAATAGTTTGTCTAGCTGTTAGGGATATGGTGAAGCCCACTAATAGTCTGTCTAGCTGTTAGGGATATGGTGAAGCCCACTAATAGTCTGTCTAGCTGTTAGGGATATGGTGAAGCCCACTAGTAGTTTGTCTAGCTGTTAGGGATATGGTGAAGCGCACTAATAGTCTGTCTAGCTGTTAAGGATATGGTGAAGCCCACTAATAGTTTGTCTAGCTGTTAGGGATATGGTGAAGCCCACTAATAGTTTGTCTAGCTGTTAGGGATATGGTGAAGCCCACTAATAGTCTGTCTAGCTGTTAGGGATATGGTGAAGCCTACTAATAGTCTGTCTAGCTGTTACGGATATGGTGAAGCCCACTAATAGTCTGTCTAGCTGTTAGGGATATGGTGAAGCCCACTAATAGTCTGTCTAGCTGTTACGGATATGGTGAAGCCCACTAATAGTCTGTCTAGCTGTTAGGGATATGGTGAAGCCCACTAATAGTTTGTCTAGCTGTTAGGGATATGGTGAAGCCCACTTATAGTCTGTCTAGCTGTTAGGGATATGGTGAAGCCCACTAATAGTTTGTCTAGCTGTTAGGGATATGGTGAAGCCCACTAATAGTCTGTCTAGCTGTTAGGGATATGGTGAAGCCCACTAATAGTCTGTCTAGCTGTTAGGGATATGGTGAAACCCACTTATAGTCTGTCTAGCTGTTAGGGATATGGTGAAGCCCACTAATAGTTTGTCTAGCTTGTAGGGATATGGTGAAGCCCACTAATAGTTTGTCTAGCTGTTAGGGATATGGTGAAGCCCACTAATAGTTTGTCTAGCTGTTAGGGATATGGTGAAGCCCCTTATAGTCTGTCTAGCTGTTAGGGATATGGTGAAGCCCACTAATAGTTTGTCTAGCTGTTAGGGATATGGTGAAGCCCACTAATAGTTTGTCTAGCTGTTAGGGATATGGTGAAGCCCACTAATAGTTTGTCTAGCTGTTAGGGATATGATGAAGCCCACTAATAGTTTGTCTAGCTGTTAGGGATATGGTGAAGCCCACTAATAGTTTGTCTAGCTGTTAGGGATATGATGAAGCCCACTAATAGTTTGTCTAGCTGTTAGGGATATGGTGAAGCCCACTAATAGTTTGTCTAGCTGTTAGGGATATGATGAAGCCCACTAATTGTTTGTCTAGCTGTTAGGGATATGGTGAAGCCCACTTATTGTTTGTCTAGCTGTTAGGGATATGGTGAAGCCCACTTATAGTCTGTCTAGCTGTTAGGGATATGGTGAAGCCCACTAATAGTTTGTCTAGCTGTTAGGGATATGGTGAAGCCCACTAATAGTTTGTCTAGCTGTTAGGGATATGGTGAAGCCCACTAATAGTTTGTCTAGCTGTTAGGGATATGGTGAAGCCCACTAATAGTTTGTCTAGCTGTTAGGGATATGGTGAAGCCCACTAATAGTTTGTCTAGCTGTTAGGGATATGGTGAAGCCCACTAATAGTTTGTCTAGCTGTTAGGGATATGGTGAAGCCCACTAATAGTTTGTCTAGCTGTTAGGGATATGGTGAAGCCCACTAATAGTTTGTCTAGCTGTTAGGGATATGGTGAAGCCCACTAATAGTTTGTCTAGCTGTTAGGGATATGGTGAAGCCCACTAATAGTTTGTCTAGCTGTTAGGGATATGGTGAAGCCCACTAATAGTCTGTCTAGCTGTTATGGATATGGTGAAGCCCACTAATAGTCTGTCTAGCTGTTAGGGATATGGTGAAGCCCACTAATAGTCTGTCTAGCTGTTAGGGATATGGTGAAGCCCACTAATAGTTTGTCTAGCTGTTAGGGATATGGTGAAGCCCACTAATAGTCTGTCTAGCTGTTAGGGATATGGTGAAGCCCACTAATAGTTTGTCTAGCTGTTAGGGATATGGTGAAGCCCACTAATAGTTTGTCTAGCTGTTAGGGATATGGTGAAGCCCACTAATAGTCTGTCTCGCTGTTAGGGATATGGTGAAGCCCACTAATAGTTTGTCTAGCTGTTAGGGATATGGTGAAGCCCACTAATAGTCTGTCTAGCTGTTAGGGATATGGTGAAGCCCACTAATAGTTTGTCTAGCTGTTAGGGATATGGTGAAGCCCACTAATAGTCTGTCTAGCTGTTAGGGATATGGTGAAGCCCACTAATAGTCTGTCTAGCTGTTAGGGATATGGTGAAGCCCACTAATAGTCTGTCTAGCTGTTAGGGATATGGTGAAGCCCACTAATAGTTTGTCTAGCTGTTAGGGATATGGTGAAGCCCACTAATAGTCTGTCTAGCTGTTAGGGATATGGTGAAGCCCACTAATAGTCTGTCTAGCTGTTAGGGATATGGTGAAGCCCACTAGTAGTTTGTCTAGCTGTTAGGGATATGGTGAAGCGCACTAATAGTCTGTCTAGCTGTTAGGGATATGGTGAAGCCCACTCATAGTCTGTCTAGCTGTTAGGGATATGGTGAAGCCCACTAATAGTCTGTCTAGCTGTTAGGGATATGGTGAAGCCCACTAATAGTTTGTCTAGCTGTTAGGGATATGGTGAAGCCCACTAATAGTCTGTCTAGCTGTTAGGGATATGGTGAAGCCCACTAATAGTCTGTCTAGCTTTTAGGGATATGGTGAAGCCCACTAATAGTTTGTCTAGCTGTTAGGGATATGGTGAAGCCCACTAATAGTCTATCTAGCTGTTAGGGATATGGTGAAGCCCACTTATAGTCTGTCTAGCTGTTAGGGATATGGTGAAGCCCACTAATAGTTTGTCTAGCTGTTAGGGATATGGTGAAGCCCACTAATAGTCTGTCTAGCTGTTAGGGATATGGTGAAGCCCACTAATAGTTTGTCTAGCTGTTAGGGATATGGTGAAGCCCACTAATAGTCTGTCTAGCTGTTAGGGATATGGTGAAGCCCACTAATAGTCTGTCTAGCTGTTACGGATATGGTGAAGCCCACTAATAGTCTGTCTAGCTGTTAGGGATATGGTGAAGCCCACTAATAGTCTGTCTAGCTGTTACGGATATGGTGAAGCCCACTAATAGTCTGTCTAGCTGTTAGGGATATGGTGAAGCCCACTAATAGTTTGTCTAGCTGTTAGGGATATGGTGAAGCCCACTAATAGTCTGTCTAGCTGTTAGGGATATGGTGAAGCCCACTAATAGTCTGTCTAGCTGTTACGGATATGGTGAAGCCCACTAATAGTCTGTCTAGCTGTTACGGATATGGTGAAGCCCACTAATAGTCTGTCTAGCTGTTAGGGATATGGTGAAGCCCACTAATAGTTTGTCTAGCTGTTAGGGATATGGTGAAGCCCACTAATAGTCTGTCTAGCTGTTAGGGATATGGTGAAGCCCACTAATAGTCTGTCTAGCTGTTACGGATATGGTGAAGCCCACTAATAGTCTGTCTAGCTGTTAGGGATATGGTGAAGCCCACTAATAGTCTGTCTAGCTGTTACGGATATGGTGAAGCCCACTAATAGTCTGTCTAGCTGTTAGGGATATGGTGAAGCCCACTAATAGTTTGTCTAGCTGTTAGGGATATGGTGAAGCCCACTAATAGTCTGTCTAGTTGCTAATCTGTTCATCTTTATCAGATTGAATCACTCAAAGCTATAATAGCACTTTTCATAATTAGTGATGGCATTATTTTTTCAACATTTTTTATACTGTATGTTGACTCTCTGATGCTACAAAAATGACGCTTTGGAGCAAGAACTGTTAGTTCATATGAATCAAAAATCATGTTCACCTTATGTTATTAAAATAGAATGCTCTAGTCAATGAGTCAATGTTCACTTGTCAATGAGTCAATGTTCACTTGTCAATGAGTCAATATTCACTAGTCAATGAGTCAATGTTCACTAGTCAATGTTCACTAGTCAATGGGTCAATGTTTACTAGTCACTGAGTCAATGTTCACTAGTCAATGAGTCAATCTTCACAAGTCAATGAGTCAGTGTTCACTAGTCAATGAGTCAATGTTCACTTGTCAATGTTTCAATGTTTACTAGTCAGTGAGTCAATGTTCACTAAATGTCCCAGTATTGTTTGATGCTTGTCAAATAATGTAACATAACCTCTCCAGGTATCAGAGAGGAAGTCGCTCCATAGCTGGTAACCTTACAAAAGCAGCACCAACAAATGAGGCCAAAGACAAAGCCATTAATGATGAAGAAGATGATGAGGACTATGAAATACCTGATGAAATTGAAGAAGTGATTGGTAATTAAAAATCTTTATTTGTTTTATTTGTTTATATTTTTTTCATTCTCAATATTGAAATCAAGTTCATTTTTGCAAGGGTTATATTTGATTTGAATTTCGCAGTGTCTTCTTTTGTACTTATGGTACTTTTGTTTTATGGTAGAATATGAAAAATATGTCTCTGTCTTTTTATTTCTTGCATAGAATATCTTTTGAGATACCTTATTTGAAAGAGAATGATGAATCATAGGATAAAGTTGGTTTAATTATTTGCGTAAAAAGCATCCGTTACTTATTGACATTATATAACCATGTTTTCTTATTGAATTTTGAATTCTCTTTCCAGAATTGTTGTTACTTGGTCTCAAAGACAAGGATACTATTGTTAGATGGTCTGCTGCTAAGGGGTTAGTTTCTTCTGAAATAAAAGATTGTCCCTAGAATTTTATGTTATATATAATCTGTGAATTTTGGAACTTGATTCATGTGTGTAATGTGTCATTCCCTTCCTACGTTTGCCCATGTGTGCACTGAAAAGGAAGAAACTTGAATGATAAAAATGAAATTCCTTTAGATTATCCATTATTTAACTGTATATCCCTCAATGTTAATTTTTAATATAAGGCTTAACTGAAAAATAGAATATTTTGCAATCTTTCACAACTTAAAGAGAGAATCAGATCTAGCAAACAGGCCAACAAAAAAAATTTCAATGTTAGAAAATTTCTGGCTCATGTCATTCCTTGTCATGTCTATTTTCTTAAAATCCCCAAAGTGCACACTTTATTTCAGGAAGATTTTTACAATAAGGTGTCATTTTTCTATAAGAAAGGTTACCATTCTTATTATTTGGGAGAATTTAAACATTTTTCACCTATCTTTGAACTTTGAATCCATAATAACTTCACCAATTTGGAGATATTGTATATGCGATTGTAAAGAATAGATTAATAGGTCAATTGTACATGTTGCTTGTAATTTTTTCACCCCTAAGACCAATTTAAATGCAGATATTTTTGGTATCAACAATACTGCTTAGTTCAAGCATTTACTTTAATTGATTATTTTATCACTTTATACTCCAGTGTTGGACGTCTGACAGGACGTCTCCCGAGAGAGCTGGCTGACGAGGTGGTAGAGTCAGTTCTGGAGCTCTTCAGTATTGGAGAAACAGATGCGGCTTGGCATGGTGGCTGTCTCGCTCTTGCTGAATTAGGACGTCGTGGTCTCCTTCTTCCATCTAGACTTCCTACTGGTATGGTTTTACAAATCAATTTCCCAATTTATGTTTATGTGTACCTTAAAGGGTGTCATGTTGTCCTTAGCCTTGTTGGCTGGAGTGTCCAGGTTGGCAGGTATCCATGAGTCCACTTGATACATTGATTTGAAACATCCAGAGACGTTTCTCGGTATAACTATCTAGAACAAATTCAAGGTGGCCATTTTTACCTTTAGAATGATATTGATCATTGTATCCCTTATTTAAGGTCAAATAAACTGATTTTCCAAAAGGTTGGCAGGTGGCCATGAATCCATTTAACACATTGATTTGAAACATCCAGAGACATTTCTCAGTATAACTATCTAGAACTTTAAGGTGGCCATTTTTACCTTTAGAAATGATATTGATCATTGTGTCCCTTATTTAAGGTCAAATAAACTGATTTTCCAAAAGGAATTATATTATGGTTGAAGTAATAATGTTTTAAGTATTTCATCAGTGTTGTCTGAGGAAGTTTCACAAGTTACAACATTTTATACTTCACTGGTTTAGAATGAACACTATAACAGTATTAATTTATGTATCATATCTACTGCAGTTGTACCAATTGTCCTAAAGGCTCTGGCATACGATGCCAAACGTGGAAACTTCAGTGTAGGTACCCATGTGCGTGATGGGGCCTGTTATGTTAGCTGGGCCTTTGCCAGGGCTTATGAGCCAGATGATCTTAAGCTATATGTTCAACAAATTGCTTCGTAAGTTAAATCTGTCTTCTTGAATTCGTAATAAAGATTCCTGACCATTTCTTACAAGCGCCCACATTCATTTGACTCCAACATTCCAGAGATCTGATTGATTGCATTCATATTTTCATTGACTCTTTCAATTACATCCATACATCCAGAGCTATATAACTTTTATTGACATCTTGTATCATTGCATGATTACATTAGTCATAAACTACTCACTAAAACTACCATCTACTACTAAACTACTAACTAAAACTACATGATTTGATATATTTACAGAAAGCATACAAGAAAGGCAAAATATTTTAAAGTGTGAGTAATGATTGCATCCATATTCCATTGACTCTATCTATTGCATCCATAATTCCAGGGCTCTCTTGATTGCATCGATATTCGACAGAGAAGTTAATGTTCGTCGTGCAGCCTCCGCAGCCTTCCAAGAAAATGTTGGCCGACAGGGTACCTTCCCCCATGGCATTGATATTCTCACAACTGCTGACTACTATGCTGTGGGGAATAGAGTCCATTGCTACCAGGATCTGAGGTAAAATCAATTGACCCTTATTCACTGATTCGATTGGATTTGAAAACTGCTTACATGTATTTTGGCTAGCTCTATCGTACAAAAACAAAGGCTCAGTGATAATGTAGGACTATGTCAATATATGCAATAAATATATAAACTGGGGTGGTCCTAAATGACATTTTCTTGGTTAATGTTCATTAAACAAAAATTGAACTTTTGGAATTGTTCAGGGGTGAATATATACATTATCATTCAAAATTGAAGCAATTGGTGTTTATCATGTGTTTCCTCTTAAACTAATCAATACAACATAAATGTTTCCAGTGTATTTGTGGCTGGCTTCGCAGAATACACCACAGCTCTAATTGACCATTTAGTAGATGTAAAGATACATCACTGGGATATGTGAGTATGCAATTTATTGATTATTCTGTTTATTTCATACATCTGTGCCATTAATCTCATTTCTTGATAAATAGTATGAGAATCCTACTTTCAGCAGAAGAAAAACGCAGACTTCTATTGATTTCAGTGTTATACAACTGTGGTATTCCTGATATGCAAGAGAAGACATAAACTTTAAACTTTATACAGTAAAAAACACAAACTTTGAATATTTGCATTTTTCTTTCTTCCATGAAACTAAATAGATTTGTCAGAAATATTGCTGTTAGTTTCAGCAATATATTTGTCTCATTTAATTCTGTACAGGTTAATATAGTGTGTGTGTTTTTCAATGCACATGTAGCTTTTGTAATACCAAATTGTATTTAATTGTTTGTGTATTGACTGTATTTTAGGGTTATAAGGGATCTTGCTGGTAGTGCCCTACATAATCTTGTACCTGCTGCCCCAGAATATATCATAAACAATGGTAAATAAATAGACTATAGCATAGCTAAAAACGATAACTATAAACTCAAATGTAACTCAGGCTCAGCATTCCACGGTTCTAATGTCTCAGCAGGGTTCATGACTAGTACTATATAAAGATGAAATCAAGATTGTCCAGTTTAACATATTTAGCATTGCATTCAGTCCATAATTGCCAAGAGTGAAACCTGATTGCCATTGGCAATCAGACAGATATGAGGTTCACCAGTCAGATATTATTTTCAGGCTTGAACCAGACTGATTACTCACAAATTCAAATCCAGACTAATTAGTTGATTTAGAGAAGTCTCATTGATTTGAATCAAAACTCATTGGGGTGCATTTTTGTATAATTTCACAGATTTTGATATTTTGCGAAGTCTGATGAGTGTTGTGTTGAACATGATCCATTTTGCTTTTAATTTTCAGCTTTACCTAAACTTGTACCTATGGCTGTCTCTATAGACCTCTGTACAAGACATGGGAGTGTGGTTGCTATTGCAGAAACCATACATGCTCTGGCAAAACTAGCTTGGAAAGACAATAGGTACCATCAATTTATCTCAAATCTATGTATGATATGTTAAAATTAACATTTTCAGAGGTGTAGCCAGGATAGAAAAGAGGGGAGGCAAATTTAAATAGACAAGCATAACTTAATCCAAAGAGAACATTGTACAACTATGGGACATAATTTCAGTTCCAATCAAAAAAGATATACAAATTGCCTTGTCTGTCTCATAGCTAGCTATATTGTTATAGTCTCCAAAAAAATTTTTGTGGATGGTAATATAGACACTTGGCATTAGGAGTTCAGTGTCCGGAATGGCATCTAATTTTCAATTACTTACAAAGTGGTGATATTTTGTCATGTTAATGCCTTGTTTTAAGTTTTTCATTCATAAAACGTTTGTTAACAGTTCAAATAATGTTCTTTGGTTCATATTTTATTCATTCTATCTGAAATGATATGTTTGCGTCTGATTTTCAGGAAAATCGAGGAAATGGTAGATAGTGCAGTATTGGATGAAATTAGAGACATAACCTCAAAAGTAAGTACAAGTACCACACACAAGCATCCATTACTTATTGATCACCCCTCGTATATGATGAATTACAAAATTGACTCAGTATTGAAGAATGTTGAACTGTTTGGATCAGTATTAATGACTCATTATCCCAACGAACGAAGTTCGGTTGGGATATAGAGAAGCCCTCCGTCCATCAGTCCATCCGTCCATACGTCCGTCCGTCCGGAAGATAACTCGAATATTGGTTGACGGATTTTCTTCATATTTGGTGGAAAGATGTATATTGATGAATAGTTTTACGCAAAAAAAATTTTTAAGGTGGCCGCCGCTTTAAAGATGACAGGACTTTTTCGCAAAAATCATAAATTTTTCATTCTAAACCGAAGTAATTAATATTATTGTTTGAAATTTTGGTAGTATTTTCGCAACATCTATCTATTTCACACATATTCAGTGTTTTTCATCCTGACCCCAGGGGCCGTGTATGGGGGGTCAGGAAAACAGAAATTTTCGCTAATTTTTAGATCTTTCTGAAGTATAGCTTTATTATACTCAAATGAAAGGCACTTAAAAGTAGATTGCAAATATTGTATCTTTTTTCTGATTCGAGCCTCGTAAAATTCAAAATGGCCGTCTAATGTACGATTTCGCAATAATTTTTCGATCCCTTCAACGTATGGCTATATAGTACTCAAATTGAAGGAATTTTGGAGTAGATTACAATTGAGATCACAATGATTTTGTTCGTTGGGATTTGCTACGCCGCGGAGTTGCCATTATCTAGTTGTATACTGTTTTATAATATCCATTAGCTTATTATAGGGAATGATTTCTTAGTAGATAGTACATGTATTTGATTTTGTGTGTTTAATTTAATTTTCAGCTACATGATGCACAATTGTTCCGGGGTCTAGGGGGTGAGATTATGAGGAGAGGGGTCTGTTGTCTTATAAATAAGCTTTCCCTTTCTAGGGTGCCTTACCATGGCCAGCCAGTTATAGGTAGGTTGATATATGTATAGTAACATAATTTTTCATTTTTTGTTTTATTTCATTTTATGCCTCACCCGCTAGTGTTTTTTGTTGTTCAACTGTAACAAATTGGCAGATGGTGACATTTTGCATGTTAATGCCTTGTAAGACCTTCTAAAAGCTCTCTGCAATACACTTTACAAGAAAAGATCAACATTTTATGAAGTAGCAATATTTCAAATTTTAAGGCATTTCCTTTCCAACATTTTTTATTTCCTTTCAATTCAATATTTCATTAATTGTTTGACTTTTTCCTTTTTAAATGGCTTATCTGTAATAATAACTATGTCTCATGGATTTGTTCATGTAGCAATTTCATGTTTCCTCCTGTACCTTAAACTGTAAAACTTTATATATTTCCAGGTATATGGCAGGACCTTATAGATGACTGTCTGTGCCATATAGAACCAGAAATACGGGTACAGTTGTTATAATACACACACGCTTATTATTATTATACTTTGGCAAACAGACATTAGCATGAACCTGTGTTCCATATATTGTTATATATATACAGGGGTGTCTTTGTAGATATGTGTGTCCACAGTACACAGACACTGTTCAATCAAAATCTAGATTACCTAAAAAATCTGTAATAAATTGCAACTAATTATATAAATAGTTAATAAATCTCAAATGAGCAGTTGAAATAAGTGGAAAATGGGAAAAAATGACCATGCACCATGGGGAGCAGCTTTTTAGGCCTTGCTTTATAATGGATGTTTTGTATTTCAAATGAAGTTTTGAAGCAGAAATTTAATTGAACTGAACTGATGATAGAAAAAAACAATGTCTGTTTTTACGTCACCACCACAAGTATATATTGATATTAGTCTCCAACTCTTTGTAGACTGTTTTCTTTGGTTGGTGTTCTGTGTTGATGTTTAGTAGAAGGTGTCTGTAGCAAATGGCAGGTGGTGAATTTTACATATTGTTTCTAGGCTGTAGCAGTGGCTGCCATACCTGCATTCACAACACAATATTACCTGACAAAAGATGGCACTGCTATACCAGATATTCAAGAAAAGGTCATTAGGAAATATTTACATGGTTTACAAGGCAATGTAGAAATATCAAGGTAAGTGAGCTGTTCATACAATTACAATTGCATACATACAATACAATAAAATGCAATGCAATACATAGAACACAATATACACAATACAATACATGCAATACAATTCACACAATACAATACAATATGAAACAATTTCAGTGACTCTGCCTTTATTGGTACAGTGACATTATCCTCGAAATTTTAATATCTTAGATATTTTGTATTGGTCCGTCAGTCCGCCCATCTGTAAGATAACTATAATACTAGTTGATGGATTTTTATCACACCATAAGTGGAATATAGTCGTCAGAGTCATCGTGATCGTTATCTTGGTCGTGATCGTTATCGTGATCATCCCGCATCATCATCATCATTTCAGGAAAACCACTCATCAGGTTTTCTCCAAATTCACACACATGATAGAGGATGTCAAGTTCTAGAGCTGATTAACTTTTTGGTGGCCATCTTGTTGTCTTGCGGCCATTTTGAAGGTTTTTATGTCCCCACCACATAGTGTGGGGCCATATTGTCGGCCTAGGCGCGTCCGTCTGTCCGTCCGTCTGTCTGTCCGTCTGTCTGTCCGTCTGTCTGTCCGTCCGTACGTCCGGCAGTTTTCTCCAAAACCGCTACAGATATCACCTTCAAATTTTCAGGGATAACTTATGAGTGCATACAGATGTGGATGAAAAAAAATTAACTCGATACCTACTTCCTGTCGGCCATTTTGAAGTCAAATGCTAAAATCCTTGTCTGCAAACTTTAAGAAAAACAGCATCACCGTTGCTTTTAAAACTTTAACATCTTGTTCAGCTCACTTCATTCTAGATCTGATTAGGTTTTGGACCTGTTAGCTCAGTCATGTCAGCCATTTTGAATGTTTTAAGAAAAGTTAGCGCACGATAATACTTTGTATCATATTGAATGGTGTTTTTCAGTTTTCATACTTTAACTTTTTAGTAGCTTTATAAATAATTTCAGGTGTACTTTGTTGTAAAAGCCTATGTTATTGTTAACAGTAGTTATATGTGATAATTTTGTAAAAAGATTTCAGCAAAAACTCACAATCACTTTTTTATTGTCTGCCATTTTGGATTTTTCTGTCCTAAAATCTTGTCTGTAAAGTCTTGTCTACGCATTTTCAGATGAACCGTTTGGTAGATCAATTTCAAATTTTCAGGGATGATTCTTAGTATGAGAATCTAGATCTGATTAGTTTTTGGGCATTCTGGGTAAATGTCAAGGCAGCCATTTTGGATTTTCCGTCCTAAAATCTTGTATGTGAAGTCTTGTCTACGCATTTTCAGGTGAATCGTTTGCTAGATCAATTTCAAATTTTCAGGGATGATTCTCAGTATGAAAATCTAGATCTGATTAGTTTTTTGGCATTCTGGATAAATGTCAAGGCAGCCATTTTGGATTTTCCGTCTTAAAATCTTGCCCGTAAAGTCTTGTCTATGCGTTTTTAGGTGAACCGTTTGGTAGATCAATTTCAAATTTTCAGGGATGATTCTTAGTATGAAAATCTAGAATTGATTAGTTTTTGGGCATTCTGGGTAAATGTCAAGGCAGCCATTTTGGATTTTCTGTCCTAAAATCTCGTCTGTTAAGTCTTGTCTACACATTTCCAGGTGAACTGTTTGGTAGATCAATTTCAAATTTTCAGGGATGATTCTTAGTATTAAAATCTAGAACAGATTAGTTTTTGGCATTCTGGATAAATGTCAAGGCAGCCATTTTGGATTTTCTGTCCTCAAATCTTGTCTGTAAAGTCTTGTTTACATGTTTTCTGGTTAACTGTGTGACGGATCAATTTCAAATTTTCAGGGGTGGTTCTTAGTATGAAAATCTAGAACTGACTAACTTTTTTGGCATTCTTGGTAAATTTTAAGGTGGCCATTTTGGATTCTCCGTCCTCAAATTATGTCGGTAAAGTCTTGCCTACTCATTTTTAGGATAACCATTTGACGGGATTACCCATAGGTGGGGACATATTGTACACATTTGTGTTCTTGTTAGAAGAATCTTGTCATCACCATTTCAGGAAAACCGCTCATCAGATTTTTCTCCAAATTTGCACGCATGATAGAGGATACCAAGTTCTAGAGCTGATTAACTTTTGGGTGGCCATCTTATTTTCTGGTGGCCATTTTGAAGGTTTTTCAGAAAATCTTGTCATCACAATTTCAGGAAAACCGCTCATTAGATTTTTCCAAATTCGCACTCATGATAGAGGATATCAAGTTCTAAGCTGATTAACTTTTGGGCAGCCATCTTGTTTCTTGGCGGCCATTTTGAAGGTTTTTTTGGAAATCTTGTCATTGTCATATCAGGAAAACAGATTTTCTACAAATTCGCACACATGACAGCTGATATCAAGTTCTAGAGCTGATTAACTTTTGGGTGGCCATCTTGTTTTCTAGTGGCCATTTTGAAGGTTTTTCAGAAATTCTTGTCATCGCCTTTTCAGGAAAACCGCTTGTCGGATTGTCTACACGATAAAGGATATCAATTTCTAGAGCTGATTAACTTTTGGGCAGCCATCTTGTTTTCTGGTGACCATTTTGAAGGTTTTGCAGAAAATCTTGTCTTCGCCTTTTCAGGAAAATCGCTGGTCGATTTTTCCCAAATTCGCACACATAATAGAGGATATCAAGTTGTAGCTGATTAACTTTTGGGTGGCCATCTTATTTTCTGGTGGCCATTTTGAAGGTTTTTCAATTAAACTTGTCATCGCCATTTCAGGCCAATATATTTGAAGGTTTTTTCGGAAAATCTTGTCCTCGTCATTTCAGGAAAAGCAAACATCAGATTTTCGCACACATGATAGAGGATATCAAATGTCATGTGCCTTGTTTTCATATTTGGTGGAAAGATGTATATTAGTAAAAAGTGTAACGCAAAAAATGTTTTTGAAGATGGCTGATTTTTCGCAAAAATCTTATGTTTTTCATTTTAAACCATAGTAATAAATACCATTATTTGAAATTTTGGTAGTATATTTACAATGTTCACAATATTCTATTTCACATACATTAATTTTTACAGATTTCACTATATATTCTTTTGGTTATGTTTTCAGACAAGGGATATCAAAAGCAATAGGCTCTCTACCCAGATTTATGCTGACTGGTAAGCTAAAGGCTGTTCTCACAGGCCTTGTCCAAGTCACTACAGCACGTAACAAGGCAGAGCAGAGTTGGGCAGAGGCTCGTAGAGATGCTGTCACGTCACTTGCAAAGTAGGTACCTAAAACAACAAACATAGGTTGCTTAGCAACCATGTCATACACTAACCAATCATCTGTTAGAAAAATAGATGATGTATTTAAGCTTCCTATTGGTCATGCTATCGTATAAAAACAATATTTTTTAAATATAAACTTTGATTAGTGCCACCTCCTGCTACCTTTTTACATATACACTCGTAGTGCCTCTTAAAAATCAAAGCACTATGAATAATATGAATGCCATCTAGTAGATAGATTTACATAGATAGAATTACATTTGAAGGCATTGACATATGCATTTAGATTATTCACATATACACATTACACACAGACTCAGTTAAGCTGCATACAATAAACTTGTGCATCTATTCACCTAAACATCATTGTGTTCTGGGGTTGAATCCTTGACTTAACCTTATGTTATAGTTTATGAAATAAGCACTATTTCGATGAAGTAGTTGTTTTAACATTATGATGGCCTCACATCTGTCACTGTTATATGCACATTTATTTTACTCCAGGATCTTCCAGGAACATTTTAAAGAAATAAAACAAAGCATTTTCAAAGTAAAGAACATGAACATCTACCGTCTTTATTTCATTTTCAGTGTTTGTCTGACAGTTGGTATTGAGAAAAATGGTTCCCCTTCAGATGTACTCTGTGAGCAAAATGTACTTGAGATTTACGATGCTTTCTTAGTCGCAATGAAGGATTATTCCCTTGACAGCAGAGGAGACGCTGGAGCTTGGTTAGTATCTTTGACATACCAATGAGCTTGGTTAGTATCTTTGACATACCAATGAGCTTGGTTAGTATCTTTGACATTCCAATGAGCTTGGTTAGTATCTTTGACATATCAATGAGCTTGGTTAGTATCTTTGACATACCAGTGAGCTTGGTTAGTATCTTTGACATACCAATGACTCCCCCAGATAGCCACGATGTACTTAATGTTGTTCATAATTAGCTCATGTTAGATATATTGTCATCTTTATGCTTGGCCTATAATGCCTTTTTGGCGATTGGCAAGCCATCTGATGTAAAATAAGATTTATGAAATAAATGGATTACCATATAAAAAAATGAGCTTGGTTAGTATCTTTGACATACCAACGAACTTGTTTAGTATCTTTGACATACCAATGAGCTTGGTTAGTATCTTTGACATACCAATAAGCTTAGTTAGTATCTTTGACATACCAATGAGCTTAGTTAGTATCTTTGACATACCAATGAGCTTAGTTAGTATCTTTGACATACCAATGAGCTTGGTTAGTATCTTTGACATACCAATAAGCTTAGTTAGTATCTTTGACATACCAATGAGCTTGGTTAGTATCTTTGACATACCAATAAGCTTGGTTAATATCTTTGACATATATTCATTGAGCTTGGTTAGTATCTTTGACATACCAATGAGCTTTGTTAGTATCTTTGACATCAATGAGCCTGGTTAGTATCTTTGACATACCAATGAGCTTGGTTAGTATCTTTGACATATATTCATTGAACTTGGTTAGTATCTTTGACATACCAATGAGCTTGGCTAGTATCTTTGACATACCAATGAGCTTGGTTAGTGTCTTTGACATATCAATGAGCCTAGTTAGTATCTTTGTCATACCAATGAGCTTGGCTAGTATCTTTGACATACCAATGAGCTTGGCTAGTATCTTTGACATACCAATGAGCTTGTTAGTATCTTTGACATACCAATAAGCTTGGTTAGTATCTTTGACATATATTCATTGAGCTTGGTTAGTATCTTTGACATACCAATGAGCTTGGCTAGTATCTTTGACATATCAATGAGCAATTGGTTAGTATCTTTGACATATATTCATTGAGCTTGGTAAGTATCTTTGACATATGCTTTATTCATTGAGTTTGACAAAATGAAAGAATTATACTGACTTCACTGGATATTTTAACCATAAATAGTAAGGTTTAACATCCAGATACATATCTGATTGTAAGTAGAGGTAGTTACATTAGAGGACACATGTTTACCCAAATTATTTTCTCTATAAGTATAATTACCAGTGCCAAAGCCATGGTCTCATTGGGCAATTTATAAACCAAAGATACAAATGTCATTCATTTTATAATGGATAGTTTTGTAGGTAGATAATAATCTCCAACAGAGGGTCATCTAAGATTTTTGATCATGTATCGGAATAGTCATTATGATCGTTAACTTTATATTAGTATGATTTCATACTAATAATGATATCCCACAGGTTATGTAGGTCATATAATTTGATTAATTATTGAACTAATTAAAGGTATTCCCATGACCATTACACATGTGGATATAAATCGTGATTTTACTTGCAGAGTTTAGTTGTGCTTGAATGGCATCAAAGGGTGGATAATAGGAAAAGGATGTTATTGTTAATTGTCATATTTATCACACATTGTTTTCTATCCCACATACATGTTCAATTCTTAAAATCGCGGATTCGGTAGTATTGAATCTCTAATAAAGATGGCGCGAAAGTTTTTCCTTATAAGGTCAAAATATTTCCCATGATGCAGTTCGCGGGGGAACAAAATTTTTCTACCTTGTTTTTCCCCGTTGGTTTAACATGGGGATTTTCATACCCATTTTTCAAGCGATATTTTCGATCGAATCTCCATGCGATCGGAGAAAACAAACTATCAGAAACAATTAGTCTTTTAATAATCTTTATATAACATATATTTTTTTTCATTTTATTGGCTCCTAACGGGGTGAAAACAATGATTGAAAATGGGAGTATATTCCGGAAGAGAAGAAGTCACGTGACTAGTCGCCATATTGGAAAAAGCAATTCCATTCGACTTTCAACACGTTCATGCCAATATTACCGCACTACAAACTGTAACATCGATGCAACAACTGAATAAAAGTACTCATCTTCATATTACATTATAGAGTTACGTTGAAAACCCACAAACAACTGAGCATTTGACCAAAGAAGACACGTCGCTATTATCTAGGTCAAGTTTAGTGGTTCGAAAGCAAATCTTACATACTCGTTTCCGAATTTTGTTGTTAATTGTATAATCTTTTATTGATTAAATCTGGTATACTGACTATTAATTCAATGACAAAGAAGAAGAATTCCGATGGTGTCATTTTTTTATTTAGCTTGCGGGTGTAAAAACAAAATTGCGTAATTAATTTGATTTAGAACTTTCGGGTCTCACAAATAGCTACACGAAATGCATCGTTGAAAAATATTGACCAATCAAATTTTGTCCTTTTTGAGTACATATATGCACCATATATGCGAACGTTCTGATTCAAAGAGCGAACAGCGAAATGGAGAATTAGGGTTATTAGCAAAAGAAGTAAGTAGCTCTCATAATTACTTGCCATATTTTGCCAATGCCAATCACTGATCAGTGCTCTCCACAGGTGTGTTCTCCACAGGAAATTGGTCAAAATGTGCCCATTTTTCATGATTTTTCTCATTTTCAACTGGATGTAAATGGATTTTCAGGTGGGTGTAAGCCTATTTATAAAATCTCAGGTGGGTACTGCACCCACTTGCTTTTTGCTTTTTTCAACAGAATCCATTATTTAATGGATAGTTAAATGTTATATGACTAATGAACTTTTAGGTAACAGCAAAATGTACACCTGAAAATCCATTTTTACCTACTTTAAAATGAGAAAATGGTGAAAATACACCTTCCAGCTGTTGGAGAAAATTCCTGTAACTTTCACAGTAAATCAGTATAATGCTCGACAATGTACAGTAGAAAAATTAGTCGGAAAGATAAAAAATAAAAATGTTACTGCATTTTTATCAGTAATTATTGAATGTCATATTTTGATCAATTGCACTCAGAATGGTGAATTTTTCAGCAACTTGACAAATAATCGAATCCTGTTGAAAAAACTAGTGCTTATGTGTGTATTATAGGGTTAGAGAGGCAGCCATGACAGCCCTACATGATCTCACCAGTTTGTTGGCGTCAAATGAACCTTGTCTCTTTACACAAGAAATGTGAGTACAACTTAGATACTGTTGCTTAGAAATCCAACATAGATTAAAGACTTCAAACGTTAATTCATTGATGATGACTCCAATTTCAGATTGCTATCTGGTTTTGCCAGTCAGTACTTCATCGATTTGGGAAAACCCTCAGGTTCATTATTGTCCTGCTCTAAGCCATGAATGTTCAAAGGTTATTGTTATTACAATGAATACTATGACATTATAATAGGTTATGACAGTAGACTTCGGAATTCATAAATTGAAAAATGTGTGAAGAAACAGACATTTTTCCAAACAGATGCACTCTGATCAGATATTCAGCTCTCATCAAAATTTCAAGAAAACTGGTAACCTGTTCAATTTTTTTATTTTTACAAATGCAAGAGCAGACTAGTGCCAAGATCCGATTAGATATTTGGCATGCTGGGTAAATTATGTGCTGACAATTTGCCCTTCTAAGTGCTATATTTATCACTGTGTTTCTTGTTTTTCAAATAGGTGCACTCAGGTGTTCTGCAGTCTGGTGCAACAATGCTCTGAGAAGATTGACAGAACAAGAGCTCATGCTGGTGAAATATTCCAAAAACTGCTTTATCATAAGTAGGTAGTTTATGTAGCTTTTGTTCTAGACAGCAGCCTCCATTTTTATGTAGTGGTGACATATTGTTATGCTCTCTATATTTTGTGACAGCAGCAGTTGGTGGGCGGCGTCTGTATCAAATTCTAAAAACTTCCAATAACTTAACAAATACTGTTTAGACTGACTTCAATTTTTTCAAAATCATCCACAAGTTCTCAGAAGTTCAAATCTGACTTTAGATTCGAGATTTAACCTTCAATGACCTTATCAAGGTCAAACAAGGTCAAAAAGGGCTTTTTTCAACTTGCTTCAAATTGACAAAAATATTTCAAAATTATCTACAAGTTCTCAGAAGTTCAAATCTGATTTTTAGATTTAAGACTTGGCCTTCACTGACCTTCTCAAGGTAAAAAGGTCAAATGGTCTTTTTCAACTGACCAATTTTTTTTTCAAAAGCATTTTTAAGTTTTTAAGTTTGAATCTGACTTAAATAGAACTCAAATATTGTGAGCAACTAGGTGGTGACATTTTGTCATATTAATGCCTTGTTTATTTAATACACTTCAATAGTTTGAGCATGTAAAAAGGTGATTTTTTAATATGTTCTTAGATTTTTTAGACCATTTATTTCATTGATAAACTTTTCATACACTGTTGCATTTTAATTTTAATGAAGGCTGAGTAATGCAAATTATGTATTTAAAATTTTAAATTTGAAAGTATAATTTCAGACCACCACTTGCATTCATCCCACATGAACAAGAATTACACAAAATATTTCCCAGGTAAGGTTACATTTTCTCCCTATTTATTCTTCTATTCATGGCTGTATAGTAAATTGTGTATATCAGATTTCCTGTCTAATGTGAACGCCTCTCATTGCAGCCTCCATTTTGAATCACCGTACCATAGACTTCCACGTTAAAAAACTTGAAATGTGAAAACCTGTCTGTCGGAACATTTTTGGCTACACTGGTGTTCAAATTAGACAGGTTTTACTGTAAATTGTAAATATTATGCCTCCCTGTTTGTGTGTGTGTGCGTGCGTGCATAATGATGAGCCATAGACAGGAATAATCGAATACATAATTGAAGGTGTATAAATTAATGAACAAATCTGAAGTATCTAAATAAAATAAGTAATTATTTTACTTATGACATTTATTTACTTAATTAATTCAGATTATGCAGTAATTACATTACCACAGATACTAGTTTTCTGCATGAAAAAAATCAAAATTCTGCAAAAAATTCTGCAAGAAAAAAAGCAAATTCTGCAAGGAGAAAATCGAAATTCTGCACAAATTTTCAAAAAAAGTCCAAATTCTGCAATCTTTTAAAACGATGAAAATTGACGTAGCAAGGGATTTAAAAGTGCCGGAAGTCAACTACTTTCTAGGTAAGAACTGCGCGTCATTAGCGAACTTGCTTTAGCGAATTTAAACGTGATAGAATGTTGAATTTCACGGTGAAATCGTACTTGTACTCAATAATGATTGATTGTTGGACATAAACAGACACTCTTCAAATACCCCGCAAAGGTAGGAGATCGTAAATTATGTAATTTCTGGAAATTCTGGTAATTCCGCGGGATTTTCATGAAAATCAGGGATTCTGCAAAAATATGAAGTTTTGTCAAATTCCGTCCACGCCGCGGAATTACGGAATACTAGTATCTATGCATTACATTAGAAGATTACATACATTATTAACTTTCAAAACATGTGTAGGGATGCATCACATGCCTTAATTCAATGAATTTCCAATTTAAGTATGAAAATGAGTTCCAGAATAATTCCTGGTCTCAGTCAAGGGGGCAGAAAAGTAACTGTTTCACTTAATATTTCAGGACAGAAGTGGAGTTTTTGAACTGGGCATCACCAGCTAGTACTTTTCCACTGTTCACCCAACTCCTCAGTTTATCAACCTATAGATATCACATACTACTTGGTCTAACAGTCAGTGTAGGTGGATTAACAGAGTCATTGGTGAGTCCTTGGGTTGTGTAGGTAATATGCCCTGTTAATGTATGTTTCATGGTAATGTATGTTTCATGTTTCATGTGGTCAATTTAATTGATATTATTAATGTGTTGTTATTATTAATGTGTGGTTATTCGCTGTCTGGAGTGAGTCAGCCTTCCATCATAACTATCCTTGACTTATAACATAATGACATAATTTTGTTATGACTCGAATATTAATGATTCATCCCTTGCTTTCTAGGCCTTCACGTATGATTCGTTTGATTTAGAGCTTGTTCACTTGAGGATAAACTCACGATATACAAAATATGCCATTCTGATGTAAACATATTGATCAATAGTAGTTTATTAACAAATGATTATTTCCTCGAGAAATTTCGAGTGCTATATGGTGATGGTATACCACTATTCAGCATATGATCTAAGTATATCACTGTTATACACCCTGTTACACAACTGATATGTCAAACAACTTAATTGACTTAGATTATATGTTTTGTATTATATTCTAGGTTAAACACTCCTCCCATTCACTACAGTTGTATATGAGGAACATCACAGAATCAGAGGAAGAAATGACAACATTTTTGAAAGCAGTATTACAAGTCTTCAAAGATTACCAAAAGGTTGACAGGTGAGAAGAGCAAAACTGATCTTGAACTCTCGAGGCTAGCTCAATTGATCAATATGTTGGTGGGTTTGTGGATTTCACAAATTGTTCATATTATTGCACTTCATCAAGGTTTTTAGTCTAAATCTTGCAGAACTGATCAGAAAATATTGAGAATCTGGTTACAATCAAAATTTCAGCAAAACGGCTTCTCTGTTCAGCTTAAAATTTTTACAGATGCAAGAGCAGATTATTGCTAGGGGGCCATTTTGAATTTTTTGATAAAAAGTGCGATATTTATCAATGTCTTGTTTTTGTAATGAAGATATTTGAAGGATTTTGAATACATCATATACCTATATAACAATTTTGTTATTATATTACTATAATGTTCATCTCCATACCAATCTTTTAGTTAGGAAATAAAAATTTTAGTACATGTAATGCCTAAATATTATTGTTATACATCTGTTGCCCAATTTATCATTAGGTTTTACCGTTTTATCTGTGTGGCGTTTTACCATTTTGGTTCATGCCAGTCAAAAGAAGATTGTGAAAGTATCCTGGGAGCCAATCCTCAATTGACCTTAATGTTAATGTTGTAATTAATAGCAAAATAACCCAAACCACTCAAATGTACATCTTCACAAGATTATGTTGTTCCAAGGCTCATACAAATTATCATGTTGGATTGGATTCTTTCATTAGATTAAACATTTGTGTTTCATCATTTCATTGCTTGTCAGACTGGAGTATATTTTGTTGCTTTGCTGTACATTTAGGCCTGTTTCATCGACTGACCAATATACAATGTTTATCAATTTTACAAAAACAACCATTTTATAATAAAGATGTCATGTTGGTAGGAAAGGAATAATTTAGTCACATATTGTTTTGCTGAATACTGTCTATGTTACATTTATAAGAATTACAATATAATAATGCAACTTGATTTACGTTCATATCAATTCGTGTAATTTCCATATATACATTCATGATTGTAGTCCATAAAAGGTCAGTTCATAAAGATGCATTAATAATTCCTTGTTTTTTAAATTGATGCATGAAAATTAAAACTAAAAAAGTTTAAAAAATCCTTATAAAATGCATGCAACTTAATGCTACCGTACAGTATAAGTATAACCATTGACACATTATATCAGATGTATATATGCTGTCTGTTACTACTCCATTATAAATTTGATCACACTTTATTTTATCAATTATTGTTTTTTGCAGAGTTTCTATTCCAATGTTCAAGATGGTGGATCAGTTGTTATCCAATGGGATGCTGGACATCTTCATTGAGACAGACAGGTGAGAAAAATATATGAGCCTGGCCATAGGAAAACCAGTCTTATCACAAAATTTAAAAAATGTGCTACAGAACCAAAAATATGCTCAATATTAAGAGGAAAATGTGCTAAATTCAAATCTGTCATTTGGTATATATCTGCAAGAAAAATTGTTAAGACATAAGCCATGGCTCATTTGAAAGGTCTCTTTGTGCTTTTTAAGATAAACAAAAAATCAAAATATTGAAAAAATCTGTGATAAGACCCCTTTTGCTGTGGCCTGGCTATTATATAAAACTAGCAAGTCTCTCATGATATTCATATACTGTTCAATCTCCATATATGGAATGGCCTCCAAAAATTGGCAAAAGAATTGAAATTTGAATGTTAATAAGCTGTACATCTGTCCATCCAGAGCAGATTGGGGCCAATATCTGATTGGTTTTGGGCATGCTGAGTTATAAATTACATGTTGTCACTCTTGTGTTGCTGATCTTGAAGGATGGACTACATAGGCCAATTGAAAACTATAAAATGCTATCTTGGCTCTAAATCAACAATTCAGTGTTAAATTGCATGTCCTTTCAATACAATAATTTTGTTTGTAATTATCTTTCAAAATGAATACATCGAAATGTGAATTTACACACATCAAAAAGAATGCAGCAAAACCTGTTTAAGTTGAACGCCTTTGCTACCTCTAAAAACTGTTCCACTTGGGAGATGTTCCACTCATAGGGGTTCATTTAACATTAAATCAGTTGGTCTTGGGACTCTGAAGTGTTCCACTAACAGAGGTGTTCTACTTTACAGGTTTCACTGTACATCGGAATCTGAATTTACTCACATATTTCCAGAAATTTAAATGGGAATATCTTGAATTATGAATATTTTATATAAAACAAGTGTTATAGTGTTTCTTAAGACATATTCTTTGAATTGTACAGTATAGTAAAACCTGTGTATAGTGAACACCCATTGAGCCATGTGTTCACTACAGTAATGACAATCAATTCAGAAATCAGTAGAGTTAATGCAGAGGAAGAGTGTCTACTAGAGACAGGTGTTCACTAGAGAGAGGTGCTCACTAAGGCAGGTTTTACTGTAAAGTGTTGTATATTTATCCTACTCATAATCAGAATCTTGTGTATAGAGTGAATCTGAATCTAAATCTGAGTCCCAGTTTTTGATCCATCTGTATATTGTCTTAGTGTTGTCCTCATGAAGCCACTCCACATCAAGCACAGAACCTTTCTTGAGAACAATATTATCCCCAAATGCATCGACTTGTTGTAATATGTCTAGCAAGGAATAAAGCATGTGGCCTTCTTTGATGTCCTCTGGTTTAAGGTCTTCATTAAGCAACATGTTCCACCAGGATGTCTCAGTGGTGTGTTTCACATGCTGCATGATCCACAGCAGGGCAGCACAATCAACAAAGTTATACAGTTTTATCATCCTCTTAGGGTAATTTATGTCTGGTATTTCCTTCAACCAATGAGTAGTGTATGTATTGGTTTCAATCGTATCAATATTTTGTTTCTCATATGTGTAGAACCTGTTCACTATGTCCTCAAAGCACTGTCCAACGTTCTCATTCTGACAACCTCTTTGATGTTGGTGAAGTAACATTTTGTATGAATATGAAGAAGAAATTGTTTTTATTTTGAGATTAGTTTCAATCAGATGTTTGATATATTTTAATGTCAGGAATAGATGATGGTGATTTGTTGATAACGTGCGTGTATTTGTATCATCTTGGAGTCCTTGATGTATAAGTGATTCAGTCCAGTGAGCAGCTCTATCAATACACACGAAACATGTCACACCCTTCTCACCAACCATAACACACCTTCTGTGTGTCAAACTCATGTTCTCCACTGCGAAAGAGAGATCTATGTCTGTTGTACAGATGGGGGCACCAATTCGTAACCATACACTGGTCCCATGACTGCTCCAATGTAGACTAATGGTTCCCAGTGGGTATGAGGACATTGGATTCTCATTATGATCTTTCTCCCCTATGTACTCATACTTCTCACTCTGACTCAGGTAGGATTCAATGGCCCTACAAACTGCTGTAAGAATTTCTGTAGTCAGTGTACTTGAACCAGGTTGACTCTGAGAAAGAGTCTTATGAGATAATGATATCTGAGATACCCTGTTTGATTCACTTACCCAAGATTGATTCTCTGTAAGGGAATAAGTACTGGCTAACATCTTGTACAGTTCACCATGTTTTATATTGATGAAACCATATCCCTGACCTGTTACCTCACACATATTCCCCACCTCCTCAACGTTGACTGCTGCATCACCTGACCACGCAAAAATTGGAATAAAATCATATTCATTCGGTTATAATATCTTGGTGCCTTCATATGAGCTGCCTCTTCTGATGATATTGCTAGATTCAAATATGGGATTAGGTTTTCCTTTGTTGTGGTAGTAGTGTTTGGGAGTGTGCCTTCCAAAATCTAAACAGAAATCTTTCACAAACTTCTCTACATATTCGGTTTGTTCTTTCAGCTGCTCTGGTGTGTATCTGTTCTTGACATTAACCTTTGATGCAATATATTTAACAAATTCTGCTAAATATTCTACTCCATCTGAGGTAGAAGTTGGTATTTTGTAGCCTTTTAAAGTATCATAGTCTTTTGGATTTGGAAATGGTCCTGTCAATTCCATGTTGTCTTGTGAGAAGATAAATTCAATGTACTGAATACCCATGTTTATCTTATGATAAGCATATTGGTGATTTACTAGTCAAAATAAGAAAAATGTTAAACCCATTAAAGAAACTCAAATTCAAGCATGGGAGCAAGCACCTAGAAACAATCTTCAACTCATTCATTCTTCCTCACTTTGATTATGGTGCCATTTTATATGGCACAGCTTCTAAACTTCTTTTGCGAAGACTCGATAGTCTATATTACACAGCGGCACTCTATTGCTCTGGCTGCATCCAAGGGAGCAGTACAGAAAAGGTCCTAAGTCTCCTAAACTGGCCAACACTTGAATCTAGACGTAGAATACAATCAAATAATTTTATGTTCAAAGTTGCCAATGGTACAAGTCCCTCATATATCACAGACATTTTTGATAAGTATAGTAATGTTAGGAATAGAAACTTGAGATACATTGATCCATTCAAAATGCCCATAAGATGCTCTGCTAGATTCTCATCCTCAGCAATACCTTCTGCAATCTCAAAATGGCTAGAGCTCCCCCCTTCTATTAAAACCAAGAAAACTCTTCATAATTTCAAAAAACACCAACGGCTTTTCCTCCAAAACCCCTCTAAAATTTTGACCACAAGTCAACTCAATCTTTCTAGACGGCATGAGATAGTGTTGAATAAAGTAAGAGCTGACTTATTTTTTAAAGCTCAATTTTATGCCCATAATTTTAACTCTGTCGACAGCCCTAATTGTGCTTGTGGCAGCTCTCAAACCTTAAAGCATATTCTTTTCCAGTGCAATCGCTTAACCTTAGTAAGACAGGATCTCTGGGATAAACTTGCTGAATTAGAACCTTCTCTCAATAATAATCTTCCCCAGTACGATTTTATCTCCATTTTGAAAACAGGAAGCCCAAACTTAAGCATAGATGTAAACTCTAAAGCCATTTCACTGATACTTGTCTTCATTATAGACAATAGCTAATTCCCTCCCTCATGTCTCTCTTTCTGATATCCTGTTGTCCTGTCACACCTGCTCCGGCCCCGGACCCTGTCTGCCTGCCACCCCCAGCCTCTCACCATTCCTATATAATGCCCTCTGGCAATTTAGGGATGCTATTGTAATTGTATTTTAAACTATATCAATGAAATAAATAAATAATAATAAAAAAAATGTACTGAATACTGTTGCTTGAATATTTTGAGAGACTTGACCTTACTATATGTTTGTATTGAAACTGCCATTTTTTATTGAGATTTCGCTTTCTTTTTAAATCCTCAGTATACTTATTTACTTATTATTTATTAAAAATGTTGATTTCTTGTGATCAGCCATTTCCTTTGCCATATTGAATTCCACATACATATAGTGTATAGCTTGATTGTATTCCACATATGTTTTACTTCCTTTCTCATTTCAAATTTGGTACTACATGTATACCTTTTTCAGTGTTAAACATCTATTCAAAGCATGAAGAAGTGTTTACTAGTATTCTGTTTATGTAGTTGAATGGTAGCATTTTCAATGTTTACTTTGTCCAAAGTTCAAATCAAAATCTCAAAAATGCATGAGTGGAATTGAATAAAATAGAGTCCAAAAGAGTGAATTAGAGTGAAAAGGAGTGAAATAGAGAAATACTGGAGAGGTTAAGCTTTGCATATATAATCGAAACTGAACCTGTACGTATCACTCGACCATATACAAATTCATGTAGCCTTCTCATATAAATAGCCGTTCAAATCCAGTGTTTGTTTAGACTACACCATAGCGTGTAATGATTCTATAGTATGTCATTGATGCGGTTTTATAGCTGGTTTTCTAATACATATTTTAAACGAGCTCGTTTCGTAAGATTTTTGGCGCTAAATCATGCATGACATACATCATCGTGTTCAGCAAGAATTCAACTGTGCATCGAAATCAAAATAGACAGCAGAGTGTTCAATAGACACGAGTAAAATGGTTCCCGTTGACCCAACGTCAAATTTCAAATCTCCCGTTCTAAACCCGAAACTCTGAAGCTGAAAGAGTATCTGAAGTAGACTAAGCGCGCATAAAACTATGAGCGCTCGATACATTCCTTTGTTAATTTTTGTACTTTGCGTTCACGGTTACGTTGTGAAAAACATTGTTAGCTTAACCTCTCCACTGAGAAGCATTATGTGAAGAACATAGTGAAATAGAGAGGAATGGTATGAAATAGAGAGAAATGAGAACAGACAGGCATAGAAGGACATTAATCTGAGTAGAGTGAAGTAGAGTGGAATTTGAAGTGACATGGATTAATTTTTAAGTTGACATTTTTGGATTTTTGATATTTAGATTTTCCTTCTTTGAAAAATGTATCAGTTACAAAGTTTAGATAAGTTTTGTGGTCCTAGCCCTTCTTTATCAAAAAATAAGTTTTCATCATCCATCAACTTATTTAATTTCTAATTTTAACCTCAAAATATACAAAGAATGTTCATATAATGTATACATGTATGTGCATTTACTTTAACATTCAAGTTATTTCTAACCAGGAAGTGAAATTTGATCCAAGGTATAAATGGCCATAGCCAGCTTTCCCTCAGGGGGGTTGCGATCTATCTAATGGTTCTATATTTATTTGTTATGGGGGTGGGTGTGTTCGCACTCATCGCATCCCCCTGACTATGCTTATGTACTGTAATGTTCAAAATGTCATGCAATTAGAAACACATGTTTGTTCCGTTGGTAATTTTAACCTGCTGTGGTATTTGCTCATGTTGCTGACATTTTGTATGTTGCTATATGTGGTTATAATTAATACCATAGGAATTAAAGTCTGCATCGAATACTAATTAAAATTATATTTATATTAATACCAATTCAAAAGCAGCCCCCTGAGACTGATAATCTACAGATTGATGATGTCATTGGTTGTACAAATGATGTAGCTGATGTACCAAATTGTCAGGGTTCATCAGAAAGGTCTATTCAGTCAATATAATAGAAAAATCCAATATCAATTCCAAATTTCTCTTTTGTATTTCTGTTTTATTTTTATCATAACAATATATAGCATAATATAAGCAAGATAAGTTTTTATGCCTTGTTTAAGCTCAATGATTTCATTATGTATATATCTGAATGTATTTTGTCGTATATTATGCAAAATTGGTATTGCCTTGTGCGGATTGGTAGAGGGGTGGGTTACACATAAATCTTGTTATCAAAATTCCTCGAGAACTGCTTAACTGGTCAACTTGAATTTTTAAAAGTAGCAAGAGGCGACTAGTGCGAATATCTGATTTGGTTTTGGGCATGCTCGGTAAACTCCTTGACAGCCATTTCACTATATATTGTATGATATTAATTTCTGTTTGTCTTTATGTTTTTCAGCCATCCCCTCATTTTTGAGCTATTAACACTAAGCAAAGCCGAGATCTCCAAATCAGGAGATCCACAGAAGTTAATGGCGAGCGTTGACGTTTTCAGTGGACTGCTACAATTCACTGGGGACATCAGAAAGAAAACTCTTACACAATTAGTAGTCCTATTGTGTCATAAATATCCACGTGTAAGTCAACGTTTGTGTTTAATGAAATTGGATCATAATTATACATAAGTGTATTGTAATATTATAGTTTTGTTTTTCACTTATAAGTTACATCAGGGTTAATAATTACCGCTGTCCTTGTAATTCTTAGTAAATGGATACCATTCTTTTGTTGTTATGCAATTCACAGATAAGTAATTTGAATATTTGAGCTGGAGAATATATCACCACAACAAGTTTATTTTGATACAAACACTTGAGTTCATTCAACTTTTTCTGTTTGTTTCTCTCGACCTTATAAGGTGATAATATGACATAACTCTCTTGGTAGATTATGCTAGAGTCTCCATTGTTCCCAGAACTGGAAATTCTACCAGGTATACTAAATTGTATGATGGTTATTTTGAATTCTTCCAGACTTGTTTGTTCAGGCCCTTAGCCAGCTTCTGCCAAGGGGTCCAATTTTCAAAAAAATTCCACATTTGACAACTTTGGCCCAAAACCACGCAGAACTGTGAAAAACTACATGATTTTGAAAGAATTTTGGGCCACGGGGGTCATTTGAACCACCAAATCCTCCCTGGCTATGGGCCTGACCGTTTGGACTGATTTGAATTGAGTAGCTTCTTGTTATATAAATCTAGACCTGATTTCTCTTTCAGACATGCAGAACAACAGATATGATATCTGTTTTGAATTTTTCACTTCCTCAATCTATCTTCTCGCTCACTATATTTCTCTCAATTTGTATCATGGTGTGATCAAATGTTGTAATAGCAATTGCTTGAAATTCTAAGATACATAATCAATTTTTATAATTTGAAATCTGAGTTGAAGCACCTGTTGCTGTATATCCAGAATATTTTTGCGCAATTGTTACAAAAGGACAACTAGTTGTTGTTTCCATTTTGATACTTATTACATATTTCTTGTTCAACAGGATTTCACCCACTTTGGTCTTAACATGGAGGTACATGATATACATACTGTACTTCCATGGCTTAAATTTCCCTTCCCTTTTTAAGATCCTGACTTTCACAGAGCACAGTAGGCAAACACATGTCATCAATCAAATAATTGGATTTTGGGTTATGGTTTCTGTTTGTTTTAGGTGCGGAAAGTGACTGCCAACAAACTATATGAATCACTGCTCACATATGATGATGTCATTGATAACCAGGATGAAGTTATGATGACCTTAAGTGAAACAAACTGGTGAGTAATCCCTTGTGATGTCACAGTTATTTAAACATACTGGCGAGTAATCCCTTGTGATGTCACAGTTATTTAAACATACTGGTGAGTAATCCCTTGTGATGTCACAGTTATTTAAACATACTGGTGAGTAATCCCTTGTGATGTCACAGTTATTTAAACATACTGGTGAGTAATCCCTTGTGATGTCACAGTTATTTAAACATACTGGTGAGTAATCCCTTGTGATGTCACACTTATTTAAACATACTGGCGAGTAATCCCTTGTGATGTCACAGTTATTTAAACATACTGGTGAGTAATCCCTTGTGATGTTACGGTTATTTAAACATACTGGTGAGTAATCCCTTGTTATGTCACAGTTATTTAAACATACTGGTGAGTAATCCCTTGTTATGTCACAGTTATTTAAACATACTGGTGAGTAATCCCTTGTGATGTCACAGTTATTTAAACACACTGGTGAGTAATCCCTTGTGATGTCACAGTTATTTAGGTGACAGAAACAAATTACATCAGCTTTTCCCATTGCTTATGAGATTTGCATGCTTCTAAGTTTGGTATATATAATGAGTAGATAAAGTATTTTGCACCCATGTGGAATACTCTCTCAGTAATTTTCTTAAATCATAAAATATTGGGTGTAACTTGCAAATACGAGGGCTGTTCCAGAAGTCTGGAAATAAATAGTGTATACTGTAGAAAGGTGTCCTGTTTTGGTTTTATTGTATAACCATTGGTTGGTTGACATTTCATTTTTCAAAAATCTTCAAAAAATTAAATTTTCTCAATTTTCAGTATGTTTTTGCATCTTATATGTTACGAATAATGTACCAAAGAGCGACAATTCGTTAAACCCATCAAAATTATTGATCATTAAAAAACTGATTTTTCAAAAATGATATGATGAATGTCTTAAAGCTGAAAATGAGCGTGGAGCCAACAATTCATCGGCCGGCACCCCAGCCAATTGAGTATTTGGTTCAAATCGGAATACAATTTTAAACAAAACACTCAATGGGCTGGGTGCCAGCCGATGACTCGGGGCAAATGTGACCCAGGCATCAACAACTGCCCTTTATCTCACTCATTTAAGGTTACAAATTTGGTACATTTCCTTCCAAGCTTTTTGCACTTTCTTCTCTCACATCAAATTTAAGCTATTTTCATAATGAGGCTCATTTGTATTGTTGTGTTATATTAGCCCATGATTACATATTAGATTATGTCACATTTGTCATTGAAATCATCATTATATAATGATACATGAGACTAATAAGGCCTTACTCATGTTTCCCCTTCAAAGCGGTTTGCTTATGATACATTTACTTAATAACGAACCCTCTCCTTCATAATTGTAGTCCTGGCCCGAAGCCAATGGGGTTCATATTTTGAAAATTTCAGGGAGTTCACTTTTAACAACTTTGACCCAAAAATGGCCAAAATCACTTGAAAATTGCTCAGAATGGTGAAAAACTGCATGATTTTGATAAAAATTTTAGAAATTTTGGCCAGGGGTCACAACTTTAGATAAAGATAGCTAGTTTTCTACAAATCTTTGAATGTGGACCAAATATAACAGTTTTGATCTGATGGTAATTATTTAACTGTTAACATCCTGTTGACTGCACTTTGTATCTTCTTCAATCTGGAAATTGGTCAATTTTAGAGGGATAAGTGTCAAGATTAGTGTATACATTATTGTTTTCTGATTGGATTAAAGGATAATCTTATTGTTTTTTGTAAGAAAATAATAGTATTATAATTATTTATTACTTTTTTCCGCTATAACAGATTCACTAGCACTGAGTTGACATTGTTTAATTGAACGAAAGTAGAAAGTCAGGTAATATGTATCACTCGCTATGAGAGCAGATGACATCATCCTAATCTGAAAGTATGTGTATGCTAAATGACATTGATGTCAAATCTTAATATTAGTGATTAAATGTTCTAGGGGCCAAATTAGATATAATTAAAATGAAATAACAATTGGAAATTGAAATGAAAGAAACTTGTACATTTAATTGTAAGCACGCCATTTACTTATATTTACCAGGGCCAATAATGCATTTCTTCGGCCCTTGCTCTGTATGTAACATGGTCTTGATTATATGATAATAAAAACCTTTAAACCTAAAAAAAACTAATATTTCAGTATGTATTAGAGATATCTAATTTGTCTTATTTTTCAATTATAAATTTTTGTTATCATATATTATATATAGCATGAGAGTAAAGAATAATATTATATTATAACCTGCTTATTCCATAAGCACGTCTTACTCAATTCTTAAAACAATATATCTAAATTTTACTGATGTCACAGTTCTCATGATTTTTTTACCAATTAATACAGACCATAGAAAATGATTGGATATTTTGTATTGAAATTGCTAATGTGCAGAATTAACATTGTGGTGACATATTGTTATAGTCTCCAACAGTGCTCAGCGGTCGGTGATTGGTGTCTGGAATCTGGTGTCTGTAACAAATGGCGGGTGGTGACATTTTGCATATCATTGCCTTGTTGTTAAATGATGTTTTGGATTTGAAGAACCTTTAGCAACATTTAATGTTATTATTGGCTCACTCAGTGTGCCTATGGGAGCGATTAGGCATCCGTCCGTCTGTTGGTCTGTCCATCCATTGGGCCGACGATCCATCCTTCTGTCCGTCTGTCCGTCCATTAACATTGGCCGCACAAATTAAAAATGTTATTTGTATTGAATCATATCCCCATTCATTTTATGCATATCCATAATACCTATTTGACCTGTCATCGCCAATTCCCAAGTTAGCCCAGTTTCTGAGAAATTGCTGATTTTGACATCAAAAAGTCAAATTTTCTTTGAATACCAGACACTTAAGAACTATCAAATAAGTTGTAGTAGTTGCTGTATATGCAACTTATGTCCTCTAAAGATTTCAAAGCTTTCGGAAAAACAGTTTTTAGTGTTTCCTCTATAACATTTGACAAAAACTACATGTAGTCATTTTCAGGGAACTTTCTCATGTATAAAGTCAATGACAGGTTTTGTGATTGACAATTTTCTCAAAGTTTGCCCTTATACTTCATTATTTTTATTTCTTGCGATTAATTAAATTGTAACTAAATTTAATCATTCTCTACAAATTGCTCACTATATGTCAGCATTTAATTTTTACCATTTTTGAGATATTTGACGTCAAAACATTGTAAAAATAGGTTATTTTTCAACTTCCTGCAATTTGATCAAATTCATTTTAGATTTTTAATTCATTTTTAGTTTTGAGATTTGACCTTTACTTGACTTGATTTGATTTTTGAAATTGATTTGTTTGATTCAAATTTTGGTCAGCTTAATTACAAAAGACCTACTGCGCTTTTTAAAAGTAAAAGTTTCACAACCAAAGGTCAAGGTCATCAAACGAGGTCACAAACTGTTCTATCTAAGTTTCTCAAAGTTCGAGACTACATATCAATATTTTTGGTTGAAAGTCAGGATATACATTCCTCTAAAGATTCTTCACTGTGTGAGCACAGGGCCATGGGTCCTTCATCTAATTATTTCCATCTAATTATCAACTGGTTAGATTCCCAGCACTTATCAGTGGGTGTAACATTAGAAATCAATGATGAGCTTGTTGTTTATGTAGCATGTAAAATATATGTAAATATAGATTCTTTTAGATATCTCAAAGTATATTAATGAGGAAAATAACACTCTTGAGATATGATCTATCACCTCTGAAATGTTATATGACAAAATTGGGATTGAGTATCTATTCATATTTTCATTTCTCTGGATTTTTTATTCCGGTTTATAAATCAATGTCAGTATGATTAGATTAGATAAAAGTAGCTCGCGAATCAATTTAGTCACAATTACATCCTAAGGTTATATCTATTTTGGCAATGTTTTAAGTGGGAAAATTAATTTGAAGCATTATGCAAATATAGATTCTGCCAGTTCGCTACACCTGTGCAATTTACATTGGTAATTTGACGAGAGATTGGTTAAATATAAAGAAGCGGTTCTATAGGTCAAGGTCATATGTGTAGTTCATCACTCTCACACAAACAATGATAAATAAGGTTTATATAATTATGTTGCAATTGTAGAATGAGGTCAATATATCCATACACACCCACTCTTCCACACATGTTATCAATTGTATGACACCTTCTCTATCTCTGTCCTTTTAGAGAGAGATATTATGAGTTTCAGAGAGGAGTTTGTGATATATTTCTTTGAAACTGGCATTCTAAACATTTGACATTATGTATAGGTCATGTACAGTACAAAAGGGTATTGAGGGTATTTTTCTTATGATTAGCATTCAATATATAAATATATATGCAAAATATATGTATGGGTGTAAGGTCAAATTGACCCAATTGTAATGTTAACACTTTGAATTCCAGCCTTTAAAATTGGTTGAAACCATTTATGCATTTTACTATCTGAATAAACAGAATTTTGTGATTCAGTTTGGTGAGATTAAATCAACATATATTTTAAATCACATATATTTTAAATCAACATTTATTTTAAATCACATATATTTTAAATCACATATATTTTAAATCAACATATATTTTATATCAACATTTATTTTAAATCACATATATTTTAAATCACATATATTTTAAATCACATTTATTTTAAATCAACATATATTTTAAATCACATATATTTAAATCACATATATTTTAAATCACATATATTTTAAATTACATATATTTAAATCACATATATTATGTACAAGCAGAACACTTGTCCATATCCTCTAACTCAATACCTTAATTTAAAGGGAACCCCTCTGAGTGAAACACCTGAAAGTTTCAATATTATTGTGAAGAACCAAAGCTGTTCCTCTTACACAGGTTTTACTGTATCACAAATTTGATCAAAATTCTCAAAGTTAGGGCAGTTATGTATAGAAAAGTCTCAGATATATTTTCCTTGCTCAGGTTCCTAAAGTGATTTTATTGGTTACAAAAATTTCTTTTATTCTTGGAATTCAAATGTTAATTCATGTTGATTTATTTGTTGATCAGATTGATGAGTTCTGAGAAAAAGGCAATGGTGTCTTTTAAAAGGGCAGATGATTGTATTCTACAGGGTGGATTAAAATATACTCATTATGTCACCACCACAAGTGATGACATATTGTTATAGTCTCCAACTTTTTTGTGGACTATGTTTGGTATTTGAAGTTCATTATCTGTAACAAATGGCAGGTGGTGACATTTTGCATGTTAATGCCTTGTTGTGTCATTATAGTCGCTTACTCATCCATCCGTCTCTCTGTGAGTTTATCAACAGTTTTCACTTAAAAAAAATATTTTTTATCATTTTCCATGTAGTTTTGTTTGTTCCACCATTAGAATACTTACATTTGAATTGAAAGAACAATCAAATTAAAATACAGCAATAACTGATAGTAAAGTAGTTGTATGCGAACAATTGGGATTTGAAATATACAGTAAAATGCTGTGATCTCCACAGGATCTAATTGCATGGTGCCCCCCCCCCCCTTCCGTTGCTTCATTTTACTTGCCCCATACCCACCCTGTTGAAGTTGCCCGCCTCCCTAGGTGCCCTCTTATTTTAATGCTAACTTTTCTTTATTTCCCTGTTTATTGAATGAAATCACATAATAATTAAATCACAATACGGAAGGACGAATCTTAAATGTTTTCTGATTGACTACAAACTCATCATTAGTAACGAGATACTAATGAAATAATTCCTTACGAATCATGCATCGTAGATGTATTCTGTATCAGGTTTGCTTCATTCTAGTTGATGTTGTGAAAATAATTAAATAATCTCGCACAGATTACCCTAGTGCCTGCTCAGTGGCAGAGTAATCCAATCATTGAGTAATTTGTAATAAAACAAATATAATCTCCGAATACAAAAACATATTATTTATTAAATATTATGGAGAGCAATGGGAAAAAATGGGATGCTTCTTCGAAATGAGCAGCGAAACTTCATAAAAATCCCCCCCCCCACTACAAAAAATCTTGGGGAGATCAATGAAATATATAATTTACAGTAAAAACAAAAGTTGATGTTTCAGCCCACTCTGTATACAGTATTCTATTTGACATAGATTTATTTTTATTTTATTTGTGTTGAACAATTACATCATTCACTTGAGAGAATTGAATATATCAGTGTTGAATCTGCTTGAAGATTGATGAGCTTTTAGTGAATGGAAATGCTAAAAATGCATATCCATGTCTGCAGCAAGGAGGTTTTGAGAATACCTGGGGGAAATTTGCATAACTTTGGTAAAAATTGGCACAAGTATAGTCAAGTTGACATAAGACAAGTTGATCGAATTGGCATACATTTGGTCAACATTTTTAAGTTTGATATAAAAATTATGCAAAATTTGCAACTTGCTGTTGACAAATTAAACTGTCCTCAGTCCCTCTTAAAATTACAAAACCCTCCTGGTGAAAGCAAGTGTTTGGACATTAATAAAACAATAATCTTGAACTCAAACCTGCATTATTGACTGATTATTTTCTACCATTGGAAAGTAAAGCTCATTTAGTCCTGGAGTATAGCGCAAGAGCACTCTACCAGAAACAGAAGACCATGGGTTCAATTCCCACTAGTGTAAAATGACTTTTTCACATCAGCCTAAAGCACAGATTTGAATTATTCAGCACTTTATTAATTTTCTGGCAAACATTGTAAATTATCAGAATGTGATTTAACTCTAGCTCTCAGTCAGGAAAAAACTTACTTAAGTAATGAAATCCAGAAATAAATTTGTTTTTCTTATTATTTTATTAGGTTTATGATGCAATACATTTCTACAACTCAAAACACACCTGCTAGCTGCATTTATACTATTTGATATAAGTGAATAGGGTTTATGACCAATGCTCTAAGGCATCATCTCATATGGTTCACTCTAAAATCTGTGCTGCAAATATTGAATAGTTACACCCACGTGGAGACTTTTAGGATAACATACACATAGTGGAATTAGGGCATTTCATTTTTTTCATTTTAAAAAAAAAATATTTTGATGAGTTGACACGTCATTCAATATCCTATTTAAAAGTTTCTTTGAAACATAAGCATTTTTTGCAATTTTCAAATAGCTAAACTTCATTATCTGACGCTGCTTTTCATATGGACAAGATAAATCTTCTCATCAAAATTCCAGGAAAACTGCTTACTTGGTCCTTGGTGACATAGCCATTTTGAATTTTTTTTTTAGAAAAAAGTATGATATTTATCATTATGTGTCTTATGTCTTGAATTTTCAGGGATGATGAATTAGATGTTGTAAGACCCATAAGGAATCAACTCTGTGAACTGATGTCTATACCTACGCCAAAATTGATCAAGGTGAGTTATGAATACATTATTATTAGTTTTGTATGCGCAAGTGCGAAAGGGAAACAACTAAAAGTGCAACACTAAAAGTGCAACAATAGGTAACAACAAAGAGAGCAACTAATTATAAAGAATACGAACCCATTCATTTATGATGGAGGTGCAACAGAAGCTCAACTTCCCGTCTACAATGTCATAATCTAATTTAATTGAGCACATTATAATTATCTTGATATGTTGTTCTCAAGAGCAGAATGATTAGCTATTGAATCCCCATGTCCATTTATTCATTTGTTTAACTGGAATCCAGGAACAACAGGAATACTAAGTCCAATTTTTCATATTTGTGAAATGGTTTTATGCAAAATTCCCCTGAGATAAATGTTGCAGTTTTACACTTTAAACTGTTAAACTAAGTAACTGTAACTGATTGCAACAATAGTACTGTCTTTCTAATACAGGCCTCAAAAATTGAGAATTAAAAGTGAAAATCTGTGTTAAGTGTAAGATCTCTACAAAATAGTTGTAGTACTGTTTAGATACATAAACATCCATAATCTACATGAACACTCAATCTTTTTTCCAGAAAGCTGCTGTACCTGCATCCCCAAACTGATAGCGGTTATCAGTGATTACAAACTCCATCTCTTAGACACTGGATGGTGTTGCTTAATGTATTCAGTCGGATATCATGCATAAACGAAGGACTCAATTGGTCTTCCCCCGAGTAGATAGGGGGGGGGGGTCCAGACTCCAGAGGCTTGATGCAAGACAAAGATTTTACTTTGAAAAAACATTTTTAAGGGGATATGGATATTGATTGACTCTATCCTCCATCAATTAAATGTTAGACCTTTTGGGTATTGCAATGAACCTAAAACTGTGAGGTGACCTTTTATTTATAGTCATTATTTTTCTCTTCATTGTATATTTTGTATATTGAGCTAGAATTTTTGTACATATTGTCTATGTATTCATTTTACTGAAAATGAAAGTTCAATGAATTGACTTGCTAACTTATCATGGATACATTTTTCAAAATAAAATCCAATTATATAAATTATGCTGTCTAAATAAATTATTAATTTATTAATTAATGATTCAATACCTTATGACAGTGGAGATGCTAGGCTCAATTGCCCTATAATGCGGTGATTATAGCGTAATAATTGCCGTATGATGCGACAATTTTATGTAAACGGTTAAAATTTGAATTTTAAATACTTTACCGAATAGAATACAATCAGCGTTCAGCAGGTTTTCAGTAAATGTAAGTTTGAATTTCAAATATGTATTGTTGCTAACATAATGTAGATATTATTAAAGTATCAGATTCTTGAAACATAGGATAATTTCCTATGCTAAGGGCTGATGTGAAAAAGTCAGTCCACCTCGGTGGGAATTGAACCCACAACCTACCGATTAGATCTCGGATGCTCTACCAGTTGAGCTACGGAGCCGACTGGCTTTTACACATCAACACTGCATATATGGCTTCTCTGCCATGACTTACATGCCCAGTTTCCTGGACCCTCATAAGGTTTACCTGTCTTTCCAGGTTGCCAATCACACTATTCATGATGTCACATGGTCTTTCCCCTGCGCCATTCCCGGCCGACTAGGAATTTTTTATTAGTTTCTTGAAACATAGGATAATTTCCTATGCTAAGGGCTGATGTGAAAAAGTCAGTCCACCTCGGTGGGAATTGAACCCACAACCTACCGATTAGATCTCGGATGCTCTACCAGTTGAGCTACGGAGCCGACTGGCTCAGAGAACACATACTTCTCAAAGTTCTTGGAAATTGTGATTCAATATGTGTTAATCGTTATTTATTTAGAATATTTATTAAATGAGCGTTTAGTGCATCAATGAAGATGGAATTGATTTTTTTGCATTGACATCAAATATTTGTGCCAATCTTAGATTTGTATGCTGGAAATCATGATCCTATGTGGGCATTTGGAGCTACAGGCCATCAAAGTGGATGCACGTCAGATCACGAGTTTTATTTAATTCAGTAGAATACAAAATATGCGTTAGATATTTATGAGTGCTTTATTCAAGTGTACTCCACGTAATAAATCGCCAAAATACTTTCCTTACAATTTAATGACATGAAATAGTTTGTCCTAGATATCGTTTATTTCTACTCTAGGGCACAAGGGCCGATTACAGCCTGAAACTCCCTGAAATTGTGAAATTGCAACAGACCCCCGTGTACATAACTTCGGCAATATTAAATAAAGAGATGGTATCAATTTTTTATTAGAAGAACATATATAAAATAAACGTTTCTTCGCGTGCATTTAAATTCTACCGTGTGCAATTACTCCCGTGGGTTCTCAAAATTTCACTTATTTTAGGCAAAAGACAAAAACGTACTTTGGGGTTTAGGTGCTCTTCAGACATTCCAGAGGCGAGAATAACATAAAACAGACAGGTTTTCAGGTTTATTTTATTGTTTTCATAAAAACATCGTCTTAGCTTCTTGCATGCATTTTGGGTTTGATTCATCCTTCACACTGACGTTTTAGAGACGTATGAACGTAGCAAGTGCCATTTCTGGAAACTCAGTTTGGAGTCGGGAAAGGGACTTGAGAATGCAGGAAAACTGACCAATCAGGATGCCCGATTCCTCAGTATTTCTTCAGTGAATCTTCGATTATGGAGAAACTTTTTCACGCTCGAATTCCACCTATCTATTGCATGTTTTGTCAGCTTCACTATGACATTATGCTTTTAGAAATCGACCGAGAAATGGCGGAGAAAAAGACCGATAAGTGTAATTTCTAAAACGGCGAGTTTGGAGAGCTAAAGTAGATTTGGACTGCAAGAAAGCCGGCCAATCAGAACGCAGGATTTCTTATGTGAAACTTGGAATTTGAGAAATCGCCTTTACCCTCTATTTCTTCAGTTTTCTCGCAATTTGGTCACTACAAAGTGGAACCATCAGAAAGTTTTAGTTCCGAGCAAAACCATGGTCTTATTTATTTCGAAATCTGTCAACTAATAGCAGAGTTATAGACTAATAAATGCCATTTTTTAAACAGCCAGAAAGTGGATCCAGAGTGCAACAACGTTATGCAAATGAGCTAGACGTATCTAGGTTAGTAGGACATGTATGTGGGTTAGTAGGTTTGCTCTGTCAAGGCCGCGCATGTATCACTACATAAGCAGATCTTGGCCGTTTCAACATACTTCATACACTGATACAGGTATGAATCGTAACGTGTACTTTCGCGGAATCCACGCAGATTGAAAAATGCTGATACAATCATATTTGATCATTTTCATTTACTAGTATTACACCTCAATTATATTATAGCGGAAATATTACATTTTGCGTCTGAAAACCTACTTACTTCAACCTGAGACTAACATAAACAGATAAAAGGAATTGTAAACTTTATCCGAGTGTTGTATCTCCCGTGTCGCGCCAACCGCGCCTATTAGATATACAGGGTGGGCCAAAAAAAAAAATACCCAACTTTAAATCAGGATAAAAATAGCTATGTTCAATATGATACATTGATTTATATATCATTTTAAAGGTAATCCATTTTCGAACAATTTGGTATATAACACTATGTCATGAAATCAATATTAAAGTTTTATATACCTATTTGGGAGGCCGGGTCGGTATTTAAGGTATCCAGATTTTAGGGAGAAAATAGTAAATCTGCAGAATAATGTTAATTTTTATTTATAGAATATCATTTTGTTAGATGAATACATGCTTGTATATTTGCATATTGTGTGACTAAACTTATTGTTTATGAATTTTAGTGTTGTTTATTATCAATAAGTACTCAAAGGGGGTCTGTTAAAAGACATTAAACGTATATGTGACGAGGATTTTATTTTCCAACAAGACATTGCCTCATACCATAGATCAAAGGAGACATTGGCATTTCTTTGCAAACAAGGTGTCAATTTGATTGATCTCCGATCGATGCTAAATTAAAAATTAACACAATCCCGCAGATTTACTATTTTCTCCCTAAAATCTAGAGACCCCAAATAGCAACCTGGCCTCCCAAATAAGTATGATAAAACTTTACTACTGATTTCATGACACAGTGCTATATACCAAATTGTTTGAAATTGTATAACCTTTAAAATGATATGAGAGGCTATGTACCATATTGAATGTAACTATTTTTATCCTGATTTGAAGTTGGGTATTGTTTTTTGGGCCCACCCTGTATATAGTCTCAGCTTCAACATAGGACGAGGAAAGACATGTACATCATACAAACTTCATTCAAATACATACAGTAAAAAATTAATAATTATAAAGAAATTCTTCAAACCTTTATTGCAATTGCAAATGCGCGAAGAAGACTTTATTTCATGTATTTGGTTCCGTAATACTTATTAAACTATATGCCTTCATGCACATTAGACTGCCAAGAAAGCCTTTTTAAAACGATCTATCACGGGCTTAAAGCCCATGGATCTACTACTAAGTTTTGTATTCTACCGTTTCCCGTAACAACCCATCTCTCAAGGAAACATCTTTTTAACTGAATCTTCCACAGAATTCATATCGCAAATAAACATTATCGCGTAATATAATTAACAATGTTTTGATTAAATATACTGGCCATACTAACTGATTAATAATTGATATATCTTGTTGATATCATACTATGTTCAGTCTATCTTTGTAATTAAAAATCAGTGATTTAAATGCTATACCTAATTTTGAATATTGTTTATCCAAAGTAAGATCAGTTGTCTCAGTACGTTTGAGATATCAAACATCGATACTTTCAAGAGAAGAATTGATTATTTTTAAGTACTGCACTACGCTGGAGCCTAGAAGATATAAAAATGACTTTTTAATTTAAACCAGCGTAAAACATGATTGAATTTTGAATAATAATATTTGCTTGAGTTATGTTATAGACCTTCCTAGGCTGTTGTATTTGGGCGATAATAAAAAATAAACACTCTTAATAAAATTGACGCACGATATATGCTTTAATAGCGCTGAGTTGCAAGACATGCGCGTTTGGAACTAAAATAAGACGATACGGCAATTGCCGTATCGTCGTTCAATTGCAGTATGATACGGCAATTGAGCCCATCGTCTCCACTGTATGATGTTTTGTTTTTATTGCTGAATAATATGCTTCTCTTTAAGTGTCTATAATGTGTGGTAATCAATAATAAAAAAATGTCTCCTAAAATATGCAGAATCCTTATACTGTCCCTACATAAATTTCTGCTGTCATAATATGAATTTTTGAGGGGACGGAGTATGCAAATATGACATGACAAGCATGCACATTAAGTGAAAACTTGTTAGATTTTTATTGCATTTGAAAAGTGCTTTATGTTACCACCACAAGTGGAGGTGACATAATTGTTATAGTCTCCTACTTTTTTGTGGATGGTGGTTGGTGTTTGGCGGTTGGCATTTGTAACAAATGACAGGTTGTGACATTTTGCATGTTAATGCCTTGTTGTATTGGATTGATAGGCAGGTGCAATACAATAAACATTGCCATCAAATCTATTGTTCTCCAATGATGACATAATAATTCCCATGGTAACAACAATGAATATTCATAGCTAAAAACGCTATAGGAATGCAACCCTAGTAGTTAGCATTTACACAATTAAATAGCACTGTGCCCTACCACATTGTCTTACCCTTAGCTGATAGATTTCACACACTAAATATTACAGACTACATTTTCATTGTGGTTCCATTGAGGTCTTAAAAGGGGAGTGAAATCTAAATATAGATTAAATCATCAATCAAGTGATTGAAATAAACTTAATGACATTATATCTAACGTTTATGTATTACAAATAGATTTAGATGTTAGAGTTTACTATTCCTTTAAGGGATGTCAATATTTCATTTTATTTCACCACCAAGAACATTCTAGCTTTAAGCCCTTATGACCCCCCCTCCTGCATTACATGACATTATTGTCATAGCCACTGACTGTGATCGGTTTTCAGTGTTGGGAAAGTGTTGCCCCCCCCTCATAGAGTCATCTAATTGGTAGTAATAGTATACGCATGTAAAGAAAGACAATATAACACCTATTTCTTCTGCACTTATCCACTCCCTTCCTCATGTTTCAAGCCAACAATAACGTCATTGCTTAAACATGACACGTTAATGAGCACATTGGGTACTAGTTAACAATGTGGTCATTTTGAATTCCATGTGTGATATAATGTGTGATGATGATATATTTAGCACTTTGCGTCCTGTTGCCTTTATAATGATGAAGCATACTATTACAATAGATTTCTTTGTGGATGTGTGTGAATAACATTTACAAAACATGCTGATGCTCCTCTCTAACTGGGTAATACTGTATATATTCTTGAGAAAAGTGTGTAGGCTACCAACTAGTCTCGTGCGATCTTTGAAAGAAATATAGACATTGATTTATTGAATACCTAAAACTTTTTTGGAACGTGCTCTCGGATCAAATCCATTGGTGCCTATTTCTTCGGCTGATTTTAGTTTTACTTGAAAGAATTCAGATTGGGGAGGTGTTTGGATTAGCCAGGCTTTCGGATATAGTACACGTTTTACTGTATTCCAAATAAAATTATTTCACAATTTCATTCATATATGTACCGATTCAAAGTATTTTATTTATATACTTCACAAGTATTCATCAACTTTTTAAGTACAGCATTCACCCATAAAATATGTTTGTTTATATTGATATATCGAGTATGTGACATGTACATACAGTTGTATATCATATCATAGTTTTAAGTAGTCTTATATCAAGTATTTGGACCCCTGTCCTTTTATCTGCTTCGACTCTAGCTGTTTAGGGGAAGATCAAAGGGGCTTGAAGCAAGACTATGTTATAAAATGCAATACCCTTATAACACCATATATTGTATTATCCTGAAGTGAAAATAATTCTACCTTTATGTACACTCCCTCTCATAAGTTTGGCAACTGGAAATCCCCTTTGGATCAATTATAAAAGCCTGTTATAATTGCCAATTCAAAAATTCATCAAAATCATAAATTTCCAAACTATTTTAATTAAAGAATGAAATTAGATTCAAACATTGACATTAGTTGATAAAAAAATAAAAAAAAATAAATAAAAAAAACTTCCAGTTGGCAAACTTATCAAGGGGAGTGTCTCTATGGTTATAAAAAGCTTTTTGCTGATTGTCCGCAAATATCATCATCTTTCAGTATTAACCAGTACTAATGGAAAATGAGATTATCACTTTCCTGAGTTATTTTATACATTGCTTAAATACATAATAAAACAAAGTAAATGCCTATAGAGATTTTTATCAAATTATGATATGTCACGTTAACCATCCCTTGATAGCCCTTAGAAATGAACATTTCTTAAAGCCTCATCTATAGCTCCTGCCAATGTCCGAGTCAAAAAATAACTCAAATTATCAACACTATATTCTGAAATGAACTATGTTTTTTAAGTCTCAAAATGGATTGTGGTTCACATGGGATAAGCTTAATAAAGAACATTCTTGATCCTAACACTAAATAAATACTTGAGTCCTAGATTGGAGATAAATTACAGTTTCAGTCTCAAAAACAAGTAAAAGCCTATGATTTTTATTCTTAAAAAGGTTCCCCAAATATACATTCACGGTGCCCATGTCAAGCTGCGCGCCTACTTAGGCGCGCAGTTTGTTTCGATCACAAACTGCGTGCCTAAGAACATTGCATCATTTAAGTTGGAGTCTCTATTTTGAAACATAATTTAAAGACATTTATCCTGCATTGTTTTCTTGTTCAATGCGTTCATTCTGTGGGGAATATACGAATCTTGCAAATACTAGCAAAAACTATGTGCAAATAAATCTAAGTTTTAAAACATAAGCAGATTAATGGCATTTTCGTCACTGATTTAACGGGAATTTATACGTAAATCGATCTAGCACTTTAAACATAAATGACAAATACTTTAGACTCGTTTTATATTTAATTCCTTACATATTTATCATGTATAATTCAAAATATTTCGAGATGAAACAGATAATCAGGAGATTAAAAAGAAATAAAGCACAAACTGCGCGCCTATTTTAGCCAGAAATTACAAACTGTGCGCATACACTATTAAAACTACATATTTTCATTGGAATTTCTACAGAGGCACGTGTAGGTGTTTTTTACGTAGCTTTGGAAATTTTGCTTTATCGTCAGATTTTATGAGATTTTCATATTGAAAGTCAAAATGTATGATAGAAGTGACAATTAAGTTGGGAACGAAAAAAACTTTTATTTTCATATCACCATCTTGGTGGATGGACTCTCATAGTGTTTCAATTATGAGGTTCTACTATTAGACACATATGTGCCTTGTATGGCACTTATGTTTTCTAATAATACAAAACAAACTTGGATAGGCAAGTAGTTTTGAAATATTAGGCACGCAGTTTGGCAAGAAAAATGTTTAAATCACGTTTATGGCGTATTTTCGTTTTGAACACAAACTTTGCTGCTTTTAATCAGATGGAGTGATCTTATATATTCTAGCATACACAGATACAATGACTGAATAACCGGCAAATGACGATAAAAAGACATAGATATAACTTTACACTGTAAATTTTGAACACAGAAGTTACTTAAGACCCTTATATTGAGATAACTAGGTTTACATCGGGAACAACATTGGGTACTATGAGTAAATTAAGTTCATCTTCACAGAATGGTACCATCTTTAGAACGAGGCTAACCTTGTATTTTTCGTATTTTGGCTCTTTTTGGGAGTCGTGTCCTCCCCGTCTCACATTTTGAAATATGCGCGCAGTTTGTCAGAGTTTCAAACTGCGTGCCAAGTAGGCACGCAGCTTGACATGGGCACCGTGACATTGGTTTCCCTCTAAAAGTATTACCATAATTGAATAATACAATTTGTTTTTGAATTACTATACACTCCCCTCAGTACATTTGATATACATTTTGAGGGGGTGTACATACACTCTGATAATCGGATTCATCGTTGGTTCTGGCCTCTTAACGACTGAAACACTGTTAATTGCTTTAATTTGATGCCATTTAATTTGGCGGATTGACACATCAAATATGGATATCGATAGGGATAACTAGCAAGGAAGCCGCGTGGTCAAGTTACTCTTTAAATTAGTGACATATAATTAGTCGTATAATGGGATACAATCATTAAAAATGGGATTACAATCAAAACATTGAAAGAATTCTTAATGAGACTTAAGGTCCAGGGTATTTTTCATAAATTCACGGATCGGAGACTTAATTTGGCGGTTATACATGATTAGTAAATTCAGTTATTGAAATTCAGAAATTCATTTAATTAACAAGTCCATCATAAAGATTTTTATAAAAAAAACTTTTATGAAAAATTAATTTTCCTTACCAGTAAAATAAAATAAAATATTTGCACAGTTTTTGTGATCTTGCCCATGTCTATTTTCAGTTTCACACAGTTTTAAGCTCTTAGATTTTACTGCGGCTCAAGCTGATTGCCAGTTAGATTCCACATAGTGTCTTCCTTTGAATCTAATCGTACATTGAGTCTAGATTTCAAAGTTCCATTTTATGTTTATATTCACAGGGTGGGCAAAAAATGTGTAACTTTTTTATAATTTAGGTATTACATACATACAATAAACTAATCAAATGGTGGCAGCCAAAAATAGATTTAGAATATTAGATCATTTTAAGAAGTTTCATTTTTATCTCACCACAAAAAGTGGTGACATATTATTATAGTCTACAACTTTTTGTGGATGGTGTTCGGCAGTTGGTGTTTGTAACAAATAGCAGGTTGTGACATTTTGCATGTTAATATTAGATATTGTGTGGGATAAATATCAATTTTTATGGTTATAAGGATATAGGTCGGATATCACATGGAGATACATTTAATACTGAGTAAATGTTAACTTTTTATTTTTTGGAAAAACATCAAACAAAAATAATGAATGGACATCGAAACTCATACTGGATTTTCTTTGGCTCATTTTTAGGAGTTGTCGACGAATCGTTTGTCTATATATTGATAGATAATAGCTGCAGTGGTATGAAATGTGCAATGAAACATGTTCATGATGTTAGCGCCCAGTGCCGCCCACCCTGTATGTCTCTAAATTCTTTAGTCTTAAGGGAGAGAAATGTCATGACGCTACAAGTACATCATCCCATACTTAGACAACATTCTGATGTTCATGTACATTTCAATAATTCTCCAATAAAGATTGTCTCGTGTTCGTCTTGGCGGTGGTCTTTCGTTCCTCAACAAGCTCTCTTTAACAGCATTTGTCCACGTTTAACTCCCAAGTCTTCTTAATCAACGCTACCGTCTCAATCATACATTAACGTGTTTTGTGTTAATGTTCCCTATGTAAATCATCTAAAATATCCACCAGTGCTGCCAAAAGTCCCATCTTCAAATCTGAAATAAAAAAGGATTTGCATTTTTCATTACAGCATAGACTATCTAGGTAACATGCGATTACACAATAAAACCTGCAATAAAAAAACATAATATTAGATACTTATGTCATTGTAAATGGGATCATTCCGGAAACGTGACCATTACCCGATTACTCAAGTGTAATGTACATGATGTACACCCCCTCCAAATATATGGCAACTCATTTCAATTAGCAAGGATAGTCTTTTGTTTTCTTCATTTATTACCCTTTATTAAATCCTCCTACATTCCTCTTACAATCCCCAAACATAAACAAACGTCCGAACCAATATAATTTTAAGGCAGTTGAAGTTGTCACAATTATTCAGGGGAGTGTAATCTTATTGATTAATTGACCAATATAAAGTAATTTGAAATTATTTGAAGATTAAGGATACGGATTATGGATACGGATATCCTTTCATCCCAACTATCTCTTAGACACTATTTGTATGGCTTGCCAATCCTGTTATTACATGGCAATGTGATAACAGTGAAATATTTGCAGCCTCGACTTGAAAATTTTGTTCAGAAACGATTTAATTTCATGTTTCACGTGGTCCATTAGGGTTTTAACACATTTTTGGGGAAATATGAATTTTTGTATTTTACCTTTTTGTGAATTCCTAGTCGGGATGCTAGGCATATTATTCCTTTTTCCATATGCGTGGAAAAATCTTGAGTATGCCATGTGCTGTGGTAGTCCCCTATTTAGGATTTTTATATTTTTTAGTGATGGCTTTGTTCGTATTATAAACCATCGTTTTTCCACATCGAGTCTATTTAATCCATCGTCAAGGTTGTATTCTTGGTCCTGCTTTTCTATATTTTCTGAAAATACATCGAACAATTGTTTCTTTTAATGCTTGTATTATTTAGTATTCGATAATTTGATACACCTTATCTAAATGAAAGCTAAAATATTTTATAGTTACAGCCGAACGTCACGGCAAATTTTCGAATCATACGTCTATTGTTTATTCCTTCATTTTGTTGTTGCATTTATTGTTCTTTCTATCGGCCGTTGTTTGATGTGATTTGTGTGTTTTGGTAACTAGCAAACATCTCATCTGGTTACTTCATATATATACAAAATGACTATAATGTTTTATAAAATCACAGTGCTGGTTTAAATGAATAGTTAATACAATTTATACAGTTTTTAATAAGGTATAATTCATATCTATCACTTATAGTACACTGGGCCCGTAGGCAGCTTTTGTCAAGGAGGTTCAGTTTTCAAAGAATCCATTGGGTTCACATTTGACAACTTTGTCTCAAAACCACTTAAAAATGAAAAAAGTGGAAAAAGAAAATCTTGGATTCGATCTATCCGACCCCTCCCCTTTGTTACCAGACAGAAGCTTATTATTATTCAATACTTTTCATAACATATAATTTACATATCTCAGCCTGACATCCTCTTGGATGTACTATATATATTGTTTTTTTACATTTTCTAAATAGACAACTACTGCTTAAACATTAAATACTAAGTTTTGCAATTCTCTCTTTGACATATTTTGCAATTTATTTCTCTTTTATTCTGTTTGTTATTATATCAAGTTATTTCTGGATTATGTATTTACGTTTTTAGTCCACTAATTATATAACCCTTGCGGCAGTGAAGATTTAATACATTGTGTTATAATGGAATAAAGTTGTCCATCGACTAATGCCATTTCTAAAGCATTGTTGAAGAATTGTGAATATTATGAAATGTATGTATAACTGCAAAAATAATATTTTGAAATGACTTTCCATATCAAGTGCTTCTGTATATTATTTCTAAAGTTACCCTAATTTCAACGAACCGTACAACTGTAGTGTTACGTCAAACAACCTTTTTGACGTCTTCGGTGTATATTTAACTCTGATACAGTAGAAACATTGAATTTTTCCGAAAAAATAGTAACACTGAAATCTGTATAAAAGATTCTTCAAAATGATGTATATGGTGGTAAGTTTTTTAACAAGGCGGAGATAAACGTTTAAATGTGCCAAAAGCCCGTATTTCCCGTGCACGTGCCCGTCATAAGTACAAGATGAGCTGATAACCTAATACCGTACCTATTATTTTATAAGATAATTAGTTAGTAGTAGTCATCTTAAATTTCGAGTAACGAACTTAATTAAGTTTTCATATTAATGATTAGAATCACATAGGTAAGTGAGCATGATGTATGGAATGTTATTTGAAGAGACTGGATGGATCGAATGCAAATTGCTCAGATTCTACCGACACGACCCTTTTCAATATTATCATTTCGCATCTTCCTACACTCGTAAATAAAAGATAACCATTTGGTCTAACTTTCTAACAAATTCTCGGGTCATTTAAGATCTTCTTGACAGTAAAACTATTTATGTATTTGTCAAATTAAGAGGGGATTAATTAATACTAAGCTATCGACATTAGGGTACTCAGTTCCCAGTTTTCTATCGATATCATTTATAAACATCTAATACGTATATGGACATATCGTCAGATTATTGACAGGCAACTATGTTTTCTTCGACTATTTTTGATGCAGCAGTTTCGAATTGACGACAAGCAATCCATCCATCAATGTCCCGTTGACAGTTGAAGGCGGCACTGATGCTGTAGAGTTTAAGTATCTATATAGCTTTAATTAATCGTATAATCAATTTAATATCGCTTTTTTGCTCAATTCACAGTTTTTTGCAGTTAATTGATGAAGACTTGCCATGAGTAATGTCTACAGATGGCCCCATTTGCCTTTTTGGAGTACTAGATTTTATTTCATTTTGGGGATCACTCCCTAAACATTTTCCCGTTTCGAAGTTGCTCAATTGACAATGCCCATGGGTTTAAGTACTCTACAAGATACGCCGGACGAATCTTGGTTTATGATAATGCTTTCTAGAGAATCTTCATTTTGGCTCAATTTTATGTATTACTACGCTTCCAAGAATTGATGTCTTGTTGAGCTAAAAATTGCACATACGACATCGTGACCTGTTCAAAGCGCTGATATAGTCTTGTGAACAGTTGAAGAGAAATGTACTGATATCTGAGAGCATCTTGCATTTGTTCGAGTACGCTTCTTAAAAGAGAGCTTCATCTTCGTCTTAGTTTATAACTAGACTTTGCGCGCAGGGTATTTAGATCTAAAGACGAAGCCATCTTTTTAGAAGCTAAGGTTGTATTCGCGAATGCAACTTTCGGCTGTCGGCTACCGGAGTAACCTTCTTTATTTATGCCTAACTCATTTAAATATGAATCGAATAGTGGCAGGTACAATTCACATTTTAATGATTTGGTCATAAAATTGTAGGTTAATCCGTCAGCCGACAGCAGGCAGTTGAATTCGCGAATACAAGGTACGTAAGTCAAACGATTGCGACAGGTAGCTAATATGAAAAGCTACTAAAGTACACATATTGCAGAAGTCTCAGAAAATCCTTTCTGGAAATCCCATCTCGAGTATTACATATTTTCCGAAGGTTTTATAGATTTATGTGAGAAACTAACATTGTCATAAAAACAAGTATATGACAAAAGCAGTTTTGTATAACACCGGCTGCTTAGTTTGATAATATGCAATATTTTTTCTGATTTCGAACCTATACTAAGCTGCTAAGCACACTTTCCAGGCCTGACCTTTTGGGAGTTGAGAAGAGTTGTCAAAATATAACATAATCGAGTAAAATTACGCACCATCAGGTCCTCTACTACTACTTTAAATAGCTTTTCTTTTACGTCTATTACTTTTACTATTATTTGATGTAACACAAAATTCAATAAAACCAGTAATTTCTTGTTTGACAATTAGCACCTCCATTCCAATTCCAATTTACTCTTGAAGGAGAGTAGTAGACTTCAAAGATGGATGGATTTATCATTACAAGCCCTTTTTAAATAGACATAACTTTGTTAAAACATTCGTTCGCGGATGAATACGCCAATACTCACCATATGGCTGTTGCGCCGGTGAGTGTTGTGCGTATCAAAGAATTTGAAGAAATTACCAGTCGGATATTATTTCCATCTTTAAAAATGAGTCTTCTATCATGTCGTTTTTGGAAGAACCCAGAGATGTGACGAGTGTCAGAATACGAATTTATAAACGAAATTGAATTTAGCTTTCCGACTTTTGGTCGCAATATTTACATCTTGATTCACAATGTTTCAGTTGCTCCAACTTTATGTAACCACTTTAGTCAACCTTGGAAGTTTCAGGGGAACCACATAAACAATTTGAAACTTTTCCCCACTTCTTTTTCAAATGCCCTCTGAAAGAACAACAAAGAAATAAATTAATAACAGATACTTTAGGGATATATGGGGACTTATTAATTCATTTCAGAACTCAGCAAGACAAAATTCACTTTTTTCTTTTTGGGGATCCATCATTAACCCAATTAGAAATGGATAATCTATTTTCACTGGTTGCGAATTATCTCATTGAAAACACAACCAGAATCTAAATATTTTCCTGCCTATGACCTGTTTCCAATTTTCAACATACTACCCCCCCACCAGGATATCAGCAGCCCTCCTATCTTTTGTTTCATTGCAAGGCATTCTACCATTTACAGGTGACATCCAGGTTAAAATGAATATTGTACTTTATTGTTTATTTATATAAGGGGACATCTAATGCTTACAGCGCTTTGCCCCTTGTAATTGTATCTAAATGACTTGTGCTTACAATAAATATGAAAGATGATAAAAAAAAAACTTGGAAGTTGAAGATGTAATGATATTTATACATACTATATCTGGTTAAAACTAGACCCTAGGCTCTTACCTCTTCAATAGTTTAATTTATCTTCTTCCGTTTTATAGAATTTACGTTCATGTCCAAAGAGAGGTTCATATATCTTAAAATATATGTTCATGGCGAAAGAGAGATTCATATATCATAAACTATATGTTCATGTCCAAAGAGAGGTTCATATATCATAAAATATATGTTCATGTCCAAAGAGAGGTACATATATAATAGAATATATGTTCATGTCCAAAGAGAGGTTCATATATCATAAACTATATGTTCATGTCCAAAGAGAGGTTCATATATCATAAACTATATGTTCATGTTCGAAGAGAGGTTCATATATCATAAAATATTTGTTCATGTTCGAAGAGAGGTTCATATATCATAAAATATATGTCCATGCCCAAAGAGAGATTCACATATCATAAAATATATGTTCATGTCCAAAGAGAGGTTCATATATCATAAAATATATGTTCATGTCCAAAGAGAGGTTCATATATCATAAACTATATGTTCATGTCCAAAGAGAGGTTCATATATCATAAAATATATGTCCATGTCCAAAGAGAGGTTCATATATCATAAAATATATGTTCATGTCCAAAGAGAGGTTCATATATTATAAACCATATGTTCATGTCCAAAGAGAGGTTCATATATCATAAAATATATGTTCATGTTCGAAGAGAGGCTCGTATATCATAAAATATATGTTCATGTTCAAAGAGAGGTTCATATGACATAAAATATATGTTGATGTCCAAAGAGAGGTTCATATATCATAAAATATATGTTCTTGTCCAAAGAGAGGTTCATATATTATAAAATATATGTTCATGTCCAAAGAGAGGTTCATATATCATAAAATATTTGTCCATGTCCAAAGAGAGGTTCATATATCATAAAATATATGTTCATGTCCAAAGAGAGGTTCATATATCATAAAATATATGTTCTTGTCCAAAGAGAGGTTCATATATCATAAAATATATGTCCATGCCCAAAGAGAGATTCTTATGTCATAAACTATATGTTGTTCATGTCCAAAGAGAGGTTCATATATCATAAAATATATGTTCATGTCCAAAGAAAGATTCTTATATCATAAAATATATGTCCATGTCAAAAAGGAGATTCATATATCATAAAATATATATTCATGGCGAAAGAGAGGTTCATATATCATAAAATATATGTTGTTCATGTCCAAAGAGAGGTTCATATATCATAAAATATATGTTCATGTCCAAAGAGAGATTCTTATATCATAAAATATATGTCCATGTCAAAAAGGAGAGTCATATATCATAAAATATATGTTCATGGCGAAAGAGAGGTTCATATATCATAAAATATATGTTCATGGCCAACGAGAGATTCATGTATCGTAAAATATATGTTGTTCATTTCCAAAGAGAGGTTCATATATAAATATATGTCTATGTTCAAAAGTTCATATCATAATTATTACTCGCCTCTTGGCTTTAGAATGTCTCATTTTTCATTCACAATTTCTTGTTGTTTCATTGTTGTCAAAATCAAAAGGGAATACAGAAATGGCATATCTATTAATTAAATAAACTCATATCATTGTAATAAGTTGTTTCAAAGTGTTTGTCTTCGATCCTACTCTATGTAATTAGACTCCTAATTACGAATACTGAAAAAACATAAAGCACCCTCCCCCGTGTCACGATATTGCTCTTATTTCCCAGAGGAACCGTGCATGAAGTCAATTACATCGAAAGCAGTGCAGCTCATATGTTTTACTTTTACGTGACAATAGTAACGCAATTGTAAATGTTGCAATACGGAAGTAATTTATATCTCGTCGAATCGTTTATTGGAATCGTTTCAGGTTTACCAGAATCGTGCAAACAAAGTACATCTCATATACCTGGAATAGGATAATCATCGCTAATATGTTTTTCCTAGTAAAAAGGAAGAAGCTAGCGATTGCTAAATTACTTGTACTAGTTGTTATTAGAAAGGCACAAATGGCAACAATTAAAGTCCCCGTGTTAAGTTTGAAAATATGTTTTTATCATTCATTTATTATTCGTCATGACTTCAAAAGTTATTTTGGAGATTTTTGAAAAACAAATATTTCTTGAGAAAGGAGTGGTATCGATATGGAGAACTGAATTCAACAATGTTTTTCTCTTAAACCCATTACTGAAAACATTCTGTAAAAAAATCGGTATTTATGCAATGTTGACTGATTGACAACAATTTAATGCGAAAATTATTTAGAAATATTTTATATAACTGTTTTTGTTAAAAAAATTTTGTTTTTTTAGTGCAACTGTTTTTGCTCATTTCTACCAATTCTTGAGAATGAAATGAAATGTCTTTCCGAACCTTGTTGGAACAAAATAGCATATACAACATGTTTTTAGTTTTTTAGCTCAATATTATAGTTATACAAAGGAATTTTTGGTTGATTTCAAAAAAAGTATTCAATAAATTAAAACAAAATCCCCCAAAATAGATAAAAATCAAGATAAACCTTTATTTCATTAACAAGATACTTTTTTAAAATCAACCAAAATTCCCTTTGTACAATTACAATATTGAGAGACCTAAACATGCTGTGTTTATGTCGTTTTGTTCCAATGAGGTTCGGAAAGATGTTTCATTTCACTCTGGAAATATGATACCAAGAACAAAACAAGTGTTTGATGTGTTTTCTAAAACAATATAGATGAAAGTATATATATATATTTCAAATTATATTGTTACCATTCAAAAGATGACCATTAAATTGACGATGTGTTAAAATTTTAGATTTTTTATGACTGGTTTAAGAGAAACGTGTGTTCAAAAAGTTCTCCATATCGATACCACTCCTTTATTGAGATTTCAAGATGCAGTTATGTATAATTGTGCTCTTGAGTAGTGTTATTTCTGGTGACCAAGCTTGTAAATAAGGAATCATATCGAGCAAGTTGACAACCACTTCTCCGTAAATACATTTTTCAACAAAATCACAATATTCACAAGATTCTAAACGAAAATAAAACTGCATGGGCATATGTTTTTCTTAGTATAACTGAATCACCATGTACAAGAATTTAGGCTTGATTTTTTACTTTAACCAATAGATAAGGTAATACATAGTTTTTCCAATTCTTTCGTTGTTCTTACTCCTACCTGTGGATCCTTGTTGGGTCCCCAAAACTCCTGCGTGGCATAAACTTAATAAACATGATAACAGTATACAACTTTGTAGCATCTTTCTATTCAAATGGTTCTGTTGCAGATGATCCAGAGAAAGTTTCTTCAATAAGATTGTACACACTGATCTTGGTGATGTAATTTTATGAAACATCCTTTTCTGTCGTTCAGTGTTCCTATGTACGTCAATTGAAGAAGTCCGATACCTGCACTAGTTTTATATGCCGTTCACCCCCTCGTTCCCTACCTGCGCATGTTTGCCATGTTATGCAATTAAATCAATGGATTGATTCTGATACGTTGCGCATCGAATGCCATTTGGAGTGTAATTAGTACCATTCGCAGATAACCCCATATTCAACGAGAAAGTGGCAACTCCAATGAGTCGCAAATACTACCGACGAATAGAACATTTCCAGAATCTAAAATGACTTTCTTTTGTTAAATATAGCCTAGCACTGAGAAATTTAGAAACTTGAAATATGAAATACACTCTTAAATACACTTTATTGGTTATAAATGAGTTCAACCAATTTTCCGCATTTTGGGCTGCCAAACGAATCAGAAGATTTTGGAGATAAAAATCACGAACACAAATTTCTATTTTTTGTATGCGTCAAGTTTGGGGTTTCAACACCATATACTAGTACCATATCTTTTCATCAATATTTTCTACAACAAAAGAAGTCAGTCGACGAGAATACTCAGAATATACTATTCCGCTAGTGTATATTAGTCTTAAATTCTCGTATAGACTCTTCTGGTAGAGTAACTGACAGACGGACGGTTGGACACTGAATATCCAGGATGTAAAAATTGCAACATGAATATTAGTCATTTTCTCATAGAATATTGATCTAATGAATATACATACACAAAATACATTTCAACACGTTACATTTTAAATTCTGCGTTCTATGGTAACCATGGCCATCTATGTCGAGGGTACCCAAAGAAGTCAAAAAAGAAAGAAATAGTGCAAAAGAAATAAAATAGTGTAATATTTTCTTTCTTAATTCTTTCATCCCGCATGACACAAAATGACACCCGCCCCCATAATGTGTCATAACTTTTTTGACTGAAAAGATTCTGACTTGTTTTTTCGCACATTAAAACTACACTCCATTTTGCAATTCCACAAGAAGTTTCCGATGCACATTTATGACTGTTACAAAAATGTGTCATGTATTCCTTAGCTGGCACAACTGGATCTTACACAAAAAATGACACCCACCTACATAATTTTGGAAATAATCTAATTTATAAGTTAATTATTTTATCAATGACAACTACATTATTTTGTTTTTAATTGAATGGACTTCATTTTCTTAAAAGTACAAGCCAAAATCATGTGCCAAAAGACAATTCTATATGTTAATAGACAAACAAGTTATGCAACGTAAGGTTGGTGTCATTTTTTGTGTCACCCTGTACTTTGGAATACCACCACCTTTTGTTACATTTAATGCATTCTTGTATATTATTATGTCAGTGTCTTTTTATGTTTTTTATTTACTTACTTTATTTTTTATTTTATTTAATCGAAATTCAAGATAAATAAAAGATAATACTGGCTTGGGCAAAGCTATCACATACATTGCCTTAGCAATGCACTAATGCATAACATACATCCAAACCATATTTTGTGTTGGAAAAATGAAGAAGATTGGCTGAAAAATTAAAAAATAACCTAGAATGCTGTATTTGATGAGCTAAAAATCTGAACTTGTGTTTCTTAAAATTCATATACCATAGATACATGTGTATACGTACTTGCAAATTTGAAGGCCAATAACCACCATGATGAAGTCACAAACAACAATGAAAAGAGAAACTTTTATATTTAAACATACCGTATTTCAAAACCCTACAACAAGCAATGCTTGAAAATATCTAAAACCATTTTGATATTGGAACTTATAAAACAGCAATATTTACACACAAACCATGGATTGAACAACAACCCACAAGTAACTATAAGAGTCGAACTGTCATCTATTGAAGTCCTCAACGCCAGTTATTTCCTCCAGAATTCTGCATAGAAGAACCATCTATTCTACTGTACTTTCACCTGATGGATGGTGTCATTTATTTATTTCATCCTGCTGAATGCAGGAATGTATAGAGCATAGGCAAAGGTCGATAGAAATATTTTTTAAATAAAGATGGCATGGTAATCGATCTGTGTTTAACGTATACATAAAAATATTGGGTGAGACTTGAGATAATGTATGCGGCGCCAGTCAAAATTGAAACTTCTGATTGGGTTCGAAGCCGAGATGCCCGGATATGTCCCAGCAAAAGCCGGAATTCACGTGATTTTTCACGAAGAAGGGGCGGAGTTTAAGCGAGATTCATCGAGACTTCTTCGTGTCAATCGTGTCAATCCCTGCATTGCTTATTGTTAACTCCACCTTTTTGCCCATATATGGAGTTGGAGATGCCACTTGCGAGCGTGAACAGTTCAGTCTAGAAATAGAAATTTCTTAAGCGATGTCTTTCTTCAATTTTTCTACACGATATCTCGATCAATAGTGGACATATTTGTACCATTCTTTCGTCAAAATGAGGGTATCGCTGGAATACATATTTCCAATCTGTTGGTCAATAGATTTATTCATTGATACTGGCAGGAATTAGATCGTAATAAACATGCTAAAATTGTAAAACTTGGAACGTTTGACAGTAATCTCCGAGTAATGTATGAATTGCATCGGGAGAAAGCAGGAGAAAAGATGGGACAGTCTGTTGTGTGGAGTTTGCAAAGCAATCCCGGATATAAATGACGTCATCTTAGCAGTTTACATGGTTTCGAAAGTGATATATTTTTGTGTCGTAGTGATTAGTTTGAATTATGTCGATTATTCGATTGTTATATATAAATAAACATCGATCTTCGGCGAAGATAAAGTAAGAACAACATATATATCCGAGAAACATGTTGGTAAGTACAGTATTTCATTTATAATGGCAGAAAATCAAATTGAATCGAAATCGAATTTTCAACTTTTTCAATTTTTTTTCGTTCGATTATTTTGATTTTCAATTTGATTTTTACATTCTATCTTCTTCGTCCTGCGGGACTATACTAGGCATAGGCCCGGAACATGTATAACATGAGTCAAATTCACTTAAATAGAACATGCTGTAAGCTTTATTTCTTTACATTTTTACGGGCCTATGCCTGGGCTATAACTCTAGGCCTAGACTACTAGATCTATAGGACTTAGACTAGCCTAAAGCTAGAGCCTTAGATCTAGCTCTTTCAGAGGCTGTGACTGATATGTTAGAACAGCCTTTAGAGCCCCCTATCAACCGCTTCAAAATTGTGTTAGTGTCCTCCTTGCGAAAATCGAAAAAAATTAAAAGGTGCTTCTGTGCCGAACAGCAAATTCTCATTATACATTGAGAAGCTACTCTTTACCAAGAAACCAAAAATGGAAGTTTTGACGGAAAGACATGACGTACAAGTCAAAATCTCTGAATCTTGCTAGGTACATGACAGATAAAGAGAATTTAAATCCTGATCGGCAAAAAAGCGGCTAATAACTTACATATTTTCTCAACAAAAAGCACTGATGTAGCTCACATTGGGAGATAGTAGTAAGCACTTGAAGTTGATTTCAGTAGATCAGTTACACCTGTCATGATTTCAAGGAAAGACACAAAGTATCCGTCAAAAGAGAAAAGCTTACATAAATGCGAGCAAAATCTGCAGATTTATTATAGCTATTGACTTCTCGAATATGTTGAACGCACAACTCTAAACAATACTTGAAATTGAATAAAATTGACAAAATATGAGAAGACAGTCTAAAACCTAACTGGGAGAGCTGCCATTGTTTGCCCGGAAATCTTCAGAGATTTTGACTGGTACTTTGTGTCTTTCCATCAAAATTGCCATTTTGGTTTCTCGCTGGGTAATTCACAGATGAAGAGAAATCTTGATTGACAAAAATACAGCTGATAGCTAACAGCTTTTCTTAAACAGAAGATAAAGGAAGATATAAAGGAACCTGTTATGATTTTGAAGCGGGTGATAGCCGATAGGGGGCATGTTAAGGCTGTAAGTAGAGGGTGTAGCCGAATAAATCTAACCCAAATAGAGTTTAACACATCTCAGTATAGGCAAAATTAAAATTCATTAAAGTTTCATCACTTTAGCATGTGTACATTTGCTGGCCTTCTAATATTTTGCCAATAGATTTGTTAGGCTTGATTGCAAATTCTTATGAAATATAAGAGTGTATGGTTTCAATGTACTGTACTCCCGATATTTTTCGCGTGCAATTTAGTTTCGTGCTTTTCGCGATTGTGTAAAAATCACGAAAATTAATAGTCGCGAATATCGCCAATTAAAGGCTGAGGTGCAACATGCCATTGACTAAGATCTAGAGATTGTAAACCTTATCCAAAGTATATGATATTGGGTAGGTGTAATTACTGTAGATAAGATAAATTAATTTTGAGGATTCTGATAATAATGGAAGTTAAACCTTTGATATCCGCAAAATTTAATGGCCGCAAAATTGGTATTTCTCAAAATTCATGAAATTTAAACTCGCAAATTAACCGGTAGTACAGTATTTGCATGTGGAATAATTATGATATTGAGAGCATTGATGAAACAAATGCAATGAACTGATTTGATTGACCAAGGGAGCATTGGAATTTTGACCTGAAGTTCACATGATTGTTGCTATAGGCCTTATGATTTTTTGGAATTCCAGTAATACTATTAATGTCTATTATACTTATACAGTAAAACCTGTCTTATCCAAATGCCACCGCTACAAATTAAAAACATTCAGATTTAAACGTCTGATTTCGAGGTTTTTGCATCCGAAAGATTCTTGATTTTGAAAAAATATTAATGCATTTTCACTTAATATTACTAGCATTGTAGGCGTTATGATTTTTTGGAATTCCAGTAATACTATTATACTTATACAGTAATATCTGTCTAATACTTATACAGTAATATCTGTCTAATCCAAATGCCACCATGACCAGTTAAAACACCATGACCAGTTAAAAAAACATTCAGATGTGGAGGTGATCGGATTTCGAGGATTTTGCATTCGCAAGATTCTGCATTTTAAAAATATAAATGCATTTTCACTAAAAAGTATTAAGATTACTTTTGACCGCATAGCTTTATGACATTCCAAAATCCAAATAGAATGCTTGAAAGGTAAAACAGAAGTGTGCAATCAGAGATGATAGATACTATTGCATGAGTATATGAAGGCCATGTGTCAACTCTTCGATTGATAATACGCCTCGAAATAAACACCCACTGGCTTGGGAAAGCTATTTTCCCTCTTAATAAATGCCTGTCCCCTTGAAAAAATGTTTTCAATTTCCCTCTTAGTCTTAATAAAAGCCAATGGCATTTATTTTGAGTTCTTTCTAATAAAGGCCCTGTGCAAAATAAATGCTCAGTGGGCCTATATGTTCGTTGAATTTAAAATTTCCCCTTCTACTCAATTTTTATAAATGTTTTATGCATCAGTATGTTGCATTTGGAGACACAAATAAACTCTTAAAAGGAAAATATTTTCTCTTTAGTATGTTAACTTTGTCTACAAATGCATCATATTAATGTGAAAACATTATAAAAAAAATGGAAGGAACTGAAAATCAGGAAAACATTTTTGAAAAAAAATGTTGATGGGGTCTTTGCACCTTCCCTGTCTCAATCTCCAATTTTTTTATCATCTGTATGAGTACTTTTCCTTTAGATAATGCATTGGCCTAACATACACACCTTACATTTTCAGAAAATTTCTGCAATTCAACATATGACCGTCTAAATTCTGTTGCGAAACCTTTAGTATTCTTTCAAGAAATTTCCTGCTTACATGAAAGTCTTTTACAGTTTTACATTCTGTTTTTTTTTTAATGTAACATAATGGCTGATACCAATATTGTTCAAAGTTGTATATGTTTACACTATGGAACTAATCATTCTTTGAATTGAGTTCGATTCCTGAACAACTGGATATTTGACTAAACATTCCTTGGATTTGATTTGGTTTGATGAAGAGAAATCTTGACTGACAAAAATGCAGCTGATAACTAACAGATTTTCCCAAACAGAAAATATAAAAAAAAATTAAAGTGAGCACTTGATTTCAATAGTTTAGTTTCACCTATGCTTTTGAAGCAGGTGATAGCTGATAGGTGTCATGTAAAGGCTTTAAGTACATGGTATAGCAATAATTAAAGGTAAGAAGGTACTGTTTCATTCATATTTCTTGGTTTTAAAAACATTTAATCAAATAAGCTGGAAATTTTTTTGAGAAATGATATGATGGTGAAAGAAATAGATACAAAATTATAAAAAATTTATAATTAGCGAAAATTGATATCCGCAAAATTTCAAAATTGCAAAATTGTGAAAGATAACAGCATCAAATATTAGTGGCAGTACAGTATTTGCATGTGAAATAATTATGATATATTAATATAATAATATAATAATTGATGAAACAATTGCAATGAACTGTTTTGATTAGCCAAGGCCAGAGCATTGGAATTTGAACTAAAGTTGAGTATAATGTTATTGTATAAATTAAAAAAATAATTATAGAGACTTCTTACAAAGTTGATCTTCATTTCAAATAGCTGAGAATATTTCCCAAAATAGATTGACTAGGCCTTCAGATTTTTTTAATTTCAGTATTACTATTACTCATACAGTAAAACCTGTCTAATCCAAATGCCACCGTGCAGTTAAAAACATTCAGATTGGGAGGTGTTCGTTATCACAATAGATTATAATTATATCATTGATAATTTAGAGTTTATTCAAAGATGGCAGCAGCATTCTCAGAACAAAACAATCAGAATCTCATTAATCTTTTGTTCACGTTAGTTATTTAAACTTTATATTCATATATAGATGGCAGTTCTTAAATATATGATAGACACCAATAATTCAACATCATAATTTAACCTTTTCCATTAAATATACCCTGTATCAAGCACAGAAACGTATTTACACCCTTTACTAAAATGGCAACCCCTGTATCACGCACTTGTTATTCATAAAAAAAGATAATACTGGATTCTGTTGGTGCTGCCATCTTTATATCGGCCCAGAATCGATGGTATAGAGCACCTACAACAATCACACCTAACCGGTGTAAAAGGGTAGGTGGTCCTATCATATTTTGGTCCTACTCTCTATTGATTTATAAGGTGACCTAATTACAATTATAATCCCCAAGGGACCATAATTTATTTTACACCGGAATAGCCTGACAACGGTAAAGTCAAATACCGTTGTCACAAATGGCGGACATAACCGTCGCTTCAACTCTTCAATCACTTGGTCCTCGTTTCATGGGACTTTATCGTCGCTAATTCTTTGCATGTATTAAGCTCTTTTGATAATGTATCATATGAAATCCCAATTTCGATCATTGGGTCGTGAATCGCCACAATAGCGTCTTCGATATCGTCAATGACAACGGAATCTGAATTTTAAATAATCTACCATATGTCGTTGTCTTTGTAAATTATCCCAAATTCAGAAAATGCTGCTTTTAATAGAAAATGTTGCTTTTAATATTTTATATTGTAGTCGGTATGTTTAGAAACGCTGTTTTCAAAAGTTAAAGGACTGGCTATGAGAATATTTCTGAGAACCATTTAAATTATCCCAGCGAACAAAGATCGAGGTATACTAGAGTTACTAGAGTAGTATTCAATACGGGTACCATCACATCATCACAAAGCCTAGCATCTGCAAATGATCAAATTTTCCAAGATTTCATTAATTGTCTCGGGTTAACACAATCAGTGTCTTTATTCCACCATCGGTCTATGTCTTCATATACTTTGGGTGTTGTGTTTGTATGGAGTTTCTCACAGAGATCACACCATGAAAGATGGTAACTGTCGCTGTAACTGAACGCAGTGTACTTCTTCTTCCAAGCAAAATATTCTTCATATCTCGCGTCATCTTTGTCTAATTCAGTAAGGAACTTTGCAAGCTCTCCTGCACTATTAAACTTGGTGATGTCAATGTAGGAATGTGGTGGGAGGAGTTCAGAATAGTCGACATCACCGTAGACAATGGGAACCATACCGTATGTCATAGTGTTGAAGAGTTTTTCCGTGACATAGTCTTTACATAGAGAGTTCTCAACCGCAAGGTGGAACTTATACTTATTTCCAAGCATCGTAAAGCAATCATACTGCCGGTCGTGTGCACTTTTGTTTTTTGGACACGTTAATTTTCCATTTGAACATTTGCCATATATGTCAACTGGAACGTATACCTCTATCTGCTTGACTAGCGCCTCTCTTCTCCCTTGCGTTTTACAATTGCTAACCATCCAAGCTAGAAGTTTCGTCTTCTTGGTAACATTTAGACTCATATCATTAGAACTATGATGGTAATACATGTCTTTAATGTCAGAAGTTGGCAAGACAGCACCATATCTTATATGGATGTCAGAATCTCTTCGATAAGTCATCGTCCAATTGAACAGACCATTCCAATTTTTGTACTCAAAATTACGTTGATTAATTGTACTTTCCATTTGGAAAAACACCCAGCGTTGATGTGGGAATCTGAATTTTGGTTTATCACGTTCTAGATCAGCAATGTGAAATACAACTGCGTCACTTGCCTTTATGAGGTTCCGATCATGTGTAATTATACACTTATTGTAACGACACTTTTTTGTTTTGAAAGGTTCAGATCCTATCCCGAATTCCCAGCCTTTTATATCAAAAAATGAGTTATACAGTAAAATAGTTTTCCATTCATATGTCCCGACATTGTTTTCTCGTTTATCCTTTCGAATGAAACTGTACAGACTCAATATTAAAATTATGGTCAATATAGAAAAGATCATTCTATGTTTTCGAAACCTTCTCATTTCCAGTAGGTTCATAAAGTACGTCATCTCCATGACACAGAAATATCAGTTGTGAAATCTATTGCAAATACAAAGCATTTATTTGACACTCATCCATCTGTACATCAATACACCACAGGTTTTTGTACTTACTCCAGGTGTACGACACGGTCATTAAGGCAAAGTATCCCATACCCAATTTCAAAATTGTTAGGAAGGGGTGGTTTTTTGACAATTAGTTTGATAAAAAAAATTCGACTGAAAATGACCACAAAACAACAGCAAGTCAGATGCGACGAGTTCAATGCAATCAAAGTGAGAACTAATACATGTAATACCACCCTCGATCAATCAGAAGAATGGAGAGGTTAAGCTTTGCATATATAATCGAAACTGAACCTGTACGTATCACTCGACCATATACAAATTCATGTAGCCTTCTCATATAAATAGCCGTTCAAATCCAGTGTTTGTTTAGACTACACCATAGCGTGTAATGATTCTATAGTATGTCATTGATGCGGTTTTATAGCTGGTTTTCTAATACATATTTTAAACCAGCTCGTTTCGTAAGATTTTTGGCGCTAAATCATGCATGACATACATCATCGTGTTCAGCAAGAATTCAACTGTACATCGAAATCAAAATTGACAGCATAGTGTTCACGAGTACGAGTTAAATGGTTCCCGTTGACCCAACGTCAAATATTCAAATCTCCCGTTCTAAACCCGAAACTCTGAAGCTGAAAGAGTATCTGAAGTAGACTAAGCGCGCATAAAACTATGAGCGCTCGATACATTCCTTTGTTAATTTTTGTACTTTGCGTTCACGGTTTACTCACTTCGAGAGCCATGTTAGATTTTGAAACTTATGGCTCTCAAACGGAGAAGTGAACAGCTGATCAATAGTGACCTTTGAAATTGAATTAAGTCGATCCGCGGCTTACTTTTGGTCTCTAACTGTGTCTTACATCAGTATCATCAATCCGTGTAAGTATTGGAGCGCTGGAGTACTTCTTTTTCGATCAAGACTTGTAAATTGTTCATCGAGTTAAAGTTTTACAGACCTATTTCCAATATGGCGGTTTGCTAGGTGCGAGATACGCAACGAACGAAATGAATTTTGAGAATTAGTTAGGTTCGGACAACCTCCGGAGATTTACGAAAATGTCCGAGCAGAAACCGCCATATTGGAATTTGGCAGTAAAACGATTCAATCGACTAACAATTACAAGTCTTGATCGAAAAAGAAGTACTCCAGCGCTCCAATACTTACACGGATTGATGATACTGATGAAAGACACAGTTAGAGACCAAAAGTAAGCCGCGGATCGACTTAATTCGATTTCAAAGGTCACGATCATTGAGCTGTCCAAATGCTCCGTGGGAAAGCTATTATATCAAAATCCAAATAGCTTTCGCAGGAAGTAATTCACGGTTACGTTGTGAAAAACATCGTTAGCTTAACCTCTCCACTGACAGGCCAGAACGTGACCCCACGTGATTCAATGAAATATGGATGGTGCTTGTGTGCTCGATTTTAAATTGAGGCTACCACACACTTTCAGTCTTATATAAATAGTACCGTGGGTACTGGGCTCACATTGTGTTGCTCAAAAGTGAATCATGGCTAAAATGGCAGAAAATAAAAAAATGGATGTAATTTTTGCCGATTTGTTGTAACAAAATTATTTCATATAACTACTCTTTACAGTGACATGACTTTTTACAATGCAGGACACCTGAAATTTTTTGTAAAGCTAGAAAATGGGCCACAAGTGAATTTCGCAAGACAAAAATGGCGACTTTTTCGAAAATAGGCAAGCTTTTGAACCAGGAGTCATAGGGGAGTTTTCTGTATTGATGTTGAACAAAAATAACTTAAAACGGGAATCCTATCGACAGAGGTTTTAAGGCGAATGGTCCAAAAGTGGATTTCGCGAGACATATGGACAAATCAATGTTAACTAAAATGGCTGAAAATAAAAAAAACGGACATAACTTTTTGCCGATTTTTTGTAACAAAATTATTTCATGCAACTACTCTTTACAGTGACATGGATTTTTACAATACAGGACACCTGAAATTATTTGTGAAGCTAGGAAATGGGTCAAAAGTGAATTCTGCGAAACAAAAATGGCGACCATTTTAAAAATAGGCGAGCTTTTGATCCAGGAGTCACAGAGGAGTTTTCTACATTGATGTTGAACAAAAATAACTTAAAACGGGAATCCTATTGACAGACGTTTTAAGGCAAATGGTCCAAAAGTGGATTTCGCGAGCTAGATGGCCAAATCAATGTTAACTAAAATGGCTGAAAATTAAAAAACGGATAAATTATTTTGCCGATTCTTTTAAACAAAATTATTTCATACAACTACTCTTAACAGTAACATGGCTTTTTACAATGCAGGACACCTGACCATTTCGAAAACAGGCGAGCTTTTGAACTATGAGTCATAAGGGAGTTTTCTGTATTGATGTTGAACAAATATAACTTAAAACGGGAATCCTATCGACAGAGGTTTTGAAACAAATGGTCAAACAGTGAATTTCGCGAGACAAAAATGGCAGCCATTTTCAAAATAGGCAACAGACAGACAGAGACAGACAGACAGACGAACGGACAAGTGAGTGATTGCAATAGCTCACCATCTGAGCTAACAAGACCATTGTGCTTAAAATCGAACATAGCATCTCTCTCTCTGTTGCATCATCCAGAAGGATAGAGATGGAGAGGGCGTGGCTTACCACGATGCGACATAACTGAAAGGTGGCATGCTTTAATTAACTGGATTGGTGTATTGAGCCTTATAGGATCAAACATTAAATGCAACACTTGTATATATAAGGTAAAAATCAATTGATAGTATATGTAACATATGACAGAAACATGTGTGAACTTTCGCATTATAATCAAAATTGAATCTGATCCATACTATCATGCATGTACAGAATGTGCGTAAAATTTTGATTTGGGAGATTGGTTTTGTTTCAAAATGTCATTCACAATTAGACAGAACCATTGAGCCCTGATTATCTTAGAGCAACATCATTTCAACATCATCACATCACCTGTTTCAGGATACATAGTAATGAAACCTTTTTATATTCAACATCATGGAATCCATGGTAGGATGAGGTCACGTTTTGGGGAAATAAAAATTAAATATTCTACCTTAAAGGTGCAACAAAGTCGAGTTGAGAGCACCCTTCTATAATCTATATAATTTTCACAATAACTAATAATAATATAAGGGTTGCATTGGTTTTGAAATGTGTTTTGAATGAGTGTCTATTCCTTCCTTGAAATATGAATAACAACAGGCCCGTAGCCAGGATTTGCCAAGGGGGGGGGGAGGGGGGTTCACTTTTCGAAAAATTCCAGGAGGGTTCACTTTTGTGACAATTTTGTTCTAAATATGGCCAAAATCACTTAAAAAATGCTCAGAATGGTGAAAAACTGCATGATTTTAAAATATTTTTTGGCCGGGGGGGGGGAGGGGGGGGGGGGTTCGAACCCCCCCTCTGGCTACGGGCCTGAGCAGCCATGTTTGAAAAGATATCTCAATTCGTATTTAGATAATGAAATTAATTCTGTAAGGTTGAAAGAAAATTCAAATAAATAAGAACAATGACAAGGTGTTGAGGAAACACTGGTTAGAAGTATGGATGGACAAGCACCTATAGTACGTCGGCAATATGGCCTCACACTAAATGGTGAGAGGATATAAAAAGTTGATAATTTAATGACTTTATTACAAGCAACATAATAATCATATACATGTAAATTTGATATAATTGGAAAACATATACAACACTAGTCATGTTAAGTTTTCTGTATGCCAACTGGAATTTCATTTGTCTGGTCTAGTTGATAATTGTAATTATAGTGTCTCTGGTGACACATTTCTTTATGGGTTGATGTAGTCCATAAGTTCTGTACATGTATTGTCTCTAGTGACACATTGGCAAAGCCTTGTGACAGAATTTCACTACTTATGTGGTTTAAACGTCATTAATCCTAGTTGTGCTGGCATACTTCATATACATTGTCACTGTAGACACAAACATGAACTCCCAATATATACAGTATAACATGGTACACATTTTCAGGCTTGTCACTATGGTCACCGTGTTACCATGGTTCTTCTTCAAATAACTTCTCTCCTGAGTTACCTGGAACCATACAGAAGCAAAATTGGGCAAATGTCCATGAATAAATTCTAAGAGCTTATAAGTACCAGTTATTCTCATTCTGAATAACCCTGAAATGTTTTTGATTCTCAATGATATGTGATATGTGATATTGCCTAAAATGTTGAAAAACGTAGGCAATAATATTGTTTTGTATTTTTATATATTATATTTGGAATAAATGAGAAATGAAAAAAAGATATGTCTCTTACACAATCAGTAGACTTGAACATAAACCTTTTTCTGAAATAACCAAGTGGAATTTAATTCTCACTAAGTAAGCAGGATAGTAGGTTCCAAACGGAAAAACTATATGCTCATTTTTTAATTTTAAAAGCAATTGATTCACTTTCAACATGAACAATTGAAGTTTCAACAATAAGAGAGAACAAAAAGGTTTATGGCCAAGTCTATTGATTGAGTAGTTTCTCTAAGAATTAAAACTACTTTTTGATGAGAATTCACTATTAATAAGTTACATGATGAACGGAATTCTAACTAAAAATCTATCATTACTGCCTTTACATAACCCAAATAATATCCTCTAAAATGTACTATTCCCGCCAGTTCTAGATTTTCATTCATACTTACTTTTTGTCTTATCTGAAACATTGTTTAGTATTTTGGACCTTTTCAACACAGGTTCACCTGGAATTATAGTTATTCAAACAGGTCATTACTTTGGATGTAACAAATAAATTAATCACCCTACTGTGAAGCATTTTGAATTTTTGATGAATTAAAATTCTCAAAATTATAAATACTTGTATTACTCATATATTACAACAATGGGATGGAATTTAGATGGCATAATAACATACCTAAATCTTCTGGGGAGGAAGGGAATTTTTTACATGTATCACTTTCAGCTAATGACACTTCCTCAGATCCAATGCAGCCCTCTTCTTCCATTATAGGAGTGATTTTCCGAGAGACAAATGGCGAGGCGCTAAAATTGAAAGATTTTCTTGAAGCAACCAAGGCCAGTTGCAAAGGAAGGCATGCCATACATTCAATGGCTTAATATTTAGTTGATAATATCTGTTTTGAATTCTAATACTTATTTGGCATCATTTAACTTTGAAGGCTTTATTTAGAAGGGCTATTTACATATAAACCTCAAATAACAAGTGAGTGATTGCAAAAAGCTCACCATGTGAGCTAATGAGATTTTTATAGAATAAGTCAGACACATTTTCAATATACATAACATAGACCACTTATGCCTAGGCCTGAATCAATTGTCACTCTGTATTATGACTGTAACTAAGTATAATACAAGGCATTAACATGAAAAATGTCACAACCTCAGGCCTGTCAACTGTCCCGCAATTTGCGTATTTGTCACGCATTTGCTGAAGAATTTGAAGTCACGCCAGTTGTTATTTTTGCGTGACAGAAAATGTCACGCAAATACGCATTTTACCTGGTAATTGTCAAGCAAAAATATTTCTGTAGAAATTTTTTTTAAAAAGATCGTCTACACAGCAAAAATAAGAACGCCGGAAAAAAACGTACGCATATCGTTCGGACTTTTCACGCGAATTACGTATATGTCACGCATTCCGTTCGAAATTTTGCATACCTACCCCCCCCTGTTGACGGCTGTTTGAAACGCGAGCGTAGCAAGCGCGAAAAATTTGAGGTGTTCAAAATTTGGCAAGATGTTTAAACCAATTTAAACCAAGGTGTTCAAAATTTGGATCAAGGTGTTCAGATTTGGACCAAGGTGTCCACATTTTGAGGGGAGGTGTTCAACATTTCCAAGTCACTCATGTTAGGTGTTCCCAAGTTGACAGGCCTGCAACCTGAACAAACGCCTAACAACAACAGCCAAACACCATCCACAAAAAGTCAGAGACCATAACAATATGTCACCACTTTTGGTAAGGACAAAATGGGAAAATCCTTTTTTAATTGATTTTCCTTAACATACCCACCTCTCAATTATATGCCTTAGATTCCTTTAGCAATCTCTGTATGGAGTCCTAACACCCCTCTGGTTTTACTGATGACATTAACTTGGACGCGTCCACTATTGAATAAAGTAGTTTGTACACGTGCCAACGTCCTCAATTTCCCTATTCCCCCTAATGAATAGTGGGGAGGTCGGGTGGGACTTTGGTAATTGAGAGGTGGGTATGTTTATAAACAGGAAAATCAATTAAAAAAGGATTTTCCCAGTATTATTACACATCCCACCTCTCAATTATATGCCTGAATGTAGCCGAAAAGGAGGTGGGTGAATTCAGTTAAACCAGAGGGACCCACAAACCAACAAGTAGAACATTCTAAATAATTTACATTATAAAATCATAAGAATGTTTAATGATGATGACTCACCACAAGGCTGTTGAAGATGCTATATGTTGTATAGTGAGCCTGCAACCATCATAGGGCCTAATTTCCGCAGTTCTCCCTCGATCACTGATGTATCTCGTAGGTAGAAGCTGGTGAATGTGTTGTGATTTGCCCATGAGCAGGCTTTGAGAACTGCAGTAACTGACAGATTTGCTTGAACAGCAAGGCTTGCAGATAAGGCCCTGGTTTCGTGGGTTTTAATAGAGTTGATTTGGTAATCTGTTTCTTGTGAATTTTTGTAAGTATACAAGATCAGATTTTTCACCCAAGAAGATATAGTGTTTACGTGTATATCTCCAGTATATCCGGCTTTGTATGGTATAAACAGTCTATTTCGGTTGCCCCTTGTTGAGACTGTGGCTTGAAGGTAGTAACGTAGAGCTCTGAGGGGGCAAAGAGTCCTGTCTGGAGAGTCTCTATTCACCAGTGTGGTGAGAGCTTTAATGAGGATTGGTTGAAAGCGAGATTCTCCTTCTGCAGCTGATAGTGACTTTGGTAGAAATCCTATGAAGGGATACATAGTTACTTGGTCCCTGGATTCTGACCATTTTAAACGTCTGAAGTCGAGTGCATGTATATCACTTCTTCTCTTCCCTGAAGCCATGAGTAAAAGAAAGAGTGTTTTCCATGATGTGAATTTAAGTTCCGCTGTGGCCATAGGTTCGAAGGGTGCTTTGGATAAAGCATTGAGAACAAATACAAGATTCCATTTAGGTACCATGTTCCTTGGTGTCAGGTTTTCCAGTTTAAAAGATCTGATAAGATCGCCTATGAGGGAATTATCAGTCAAGTCGATATCAGATGATTTTTTCAGTACTGTATTAATGGCAGTTCTGTATCCTTCAATGGTAGGAATTGAAAGTTTCTTAGTCTGGTGAAGATATAGTAGAAACTCTGCCACTAGAGGAATATCTGCTTGGCATGGATCTGAATTCCGTTCATAACACCAAACAGTGAAGGTGTTCCACCTGGAATCATAGAGTTTATTTGTGGATTTCCTCCTTGATGATTCTGAGATTCGAAGAGACACTTCTGTAGAAAAGCCTTGTTTTTTGAGGGTGTCGTTGACAATTTGCAGGCGTGAAGGGCAAAAATTTCCGGAGTCTGGTGAAACATGCTTGTCTTTGGCATTTTTAGTAGTTTTTGAGACACTGGAAGCGTTCTTGGGTAGTCCGTTAGAAGTTCCAGAATTTGCGTGAACCAAGGTTGATTTGGCCATTTTGGAGCTATCATTATGGCTTCGCAATTGTGTGTTCTCATTTTTGTTAGAACTTTGTCGATCATGCTTGTTGGTGGGAATATGTAGAAGTTGAGATTGTCCCACGGGATTGACATTGCGTCTGTTCCCCAGCTGTTTTGGTCTGGTACTGGGGATACATATAGTGGTAGTTTGTTGTTGTGACATGTCGCCATCAAATCTAACTGAGGAGTCTCCCATATTTGCCACAGTCGTTTCACTATTTGTGGGAGTAGAGACCATTCTGTGTTCACTATCCTGTCCCGAGATAGTGCGTCTGCCCGTCGGTTTAGGGATCCTGCTATATGTTGAGCTCTTATGTTTATTTGGTGGTTTTTGCACCAGATTAGGATTTCCTGGCTTAGGGTCAGAAGACTTTTCGATTTTGTCCCGCCTTGTTTGTTTATGTAGCTTAGGGCTGTTGTGTTGTCCAGGCAAACTAGAATGTTTGCTTGAGGTACCAGTAGATGATTCAGTTTGTGTAGAACTTTCAATACTGCCGCTAGTTCTAGCCAGTTGATGTGGTTTCTCATTTCTGATGGGGACCAGAATCCATTGATTTCCACAGAGTCCATGTGTGCACCCCACATAGTCTCCGATGCATCCGTGAAGATTGTGTGATCTGGGACAAACATTCCCAGAGGTTGACCCATGAGTAGATTCTGCTCGTCCATCCACCATTTCAGTGTGTTTATTACTTCTTGGTTGATGTAGATTGGTGTCTCTAGTGATTTTGTAGGAGACATCTGGCTGGCTAGGCACTGTTGAATTGGTCTCATGTATAGTCTGCCCCAGGGTATATTTTTCTCTGCTGAGGCTAGTAGGCCTAGTAGTTTCGTCCACTGCCTTGTTGGTTGAGAAAGGGTATTGGTGAATAATTGTGCGATTTCTAAGATTTTCTGGATCCTGTCTTGCGGAGGATATGTTAGGCCTAGTATTAGGTTGTATTGGGTGCCTATGTACTTGAAAATCTGTGTTGGGATCAGTTCGGATTTTTCTCTGTTGATCACAAAACCGAGTTTTTCCGTCACTGATAGTACTGTTTGTGTCCATATTTGGCACTGTTGTGCAGATGGGGCTCGTATTAGCCAATCGTCGAGATATTGGTGTGTTAATATCCCTTGGAAGTGTAGGAAGGCACCGATTGCTAATGTCACTCTTGTGAAAACATAAGGGCTGGTTGACATTCCGAATGGAAGTGTTTTGAATTGGTACACTTTGTTGTTGATCACGAAGCGAAGAAACTTCCTGAATGGTTTGGCTATCGGTATATGGTAGTAAGCATCCCGATAATCGATAGATGTGGCCCATTCGCCCTTTTGTAGAGAGTTTGATATTTTGGCTGAAGTTTCCATTTTGAACTTTGGGCATATTATGTGTTTGTTGAGGAGAGACAGGTCTATTATGGGTCTGTAATCTCCGTTTGGCTTTTGGCGTAAGAATATGATGCTGTAGTGGCCCGGTGTGTTGTAGTCTGTTTCCTCTACAGCTTGTTTTTGAATTAGGAGATCTACTATGTTTTGAAGCAGTAGAGCTTTTGTTTTTGATGCCGATTCGAAGTTGTTGAAGTTTTTTGTCAAAGGTGGATTGTTCACTAGTTGTGGCATGTAGCCATGTTTTATCACATTTAAAATCCATTGGTCCTTTGTGATGAGTTCCCAGTTTTTTAAGTGTAGTTGAATCCTGCCTCCCACTGGTCCCAGCTGGGACATAGGTGAGAACGGGGGGAGGCGGGGCTGGGACATTGATGTTATTGAAGTGTCATTTACGCTTCTTAAAGCCTGATTTGTTGTTATTGTTGTTGGATTTTGTAGAAGTAGAACGGTCAGAGAAGTTTCCTCTGTTGTTGTTTCTGTTGTTGTTTCTGTTGTTGTTGTTGTTGTTGAAGTTGTTCCTGTTAAAGTTGGAATGTTGATTACTACTTCTGTTGGAGTTGTTATTACTGGATTTATCATAATTCTGTTTCCGATTTTTCCAGTTTGAAGCTAAATCTTGTAGCGCTTTTGAGGTTTTAGATTTATCCGACCCTTCACAGATATTTTTTAAATCCTCTTCAGGAAATAAAAATTTGGTGTCGATGGGGAGATTCCTAAGGGCTTCAGCGTCTGACTTCCTGAACTTGGAGCTTACCCTGTCCCTTTGAGTCAGTATGACGTTTGTGACATTTGAAATGGTGTCCCTTGTAGCTTTATTTACCATAGTTGAAGCTGTTGTAATAAGATTGACGAGATCCTCATTTTCAGAGAAATTCTCTGCAATGATTTTCCCTGTTGTCCCTAGAATCCATTCAGTGTGAGACAGATGACGAAGAGGAGCTCTCGCTGATTCTTCCAACAGTTTGTGATGTTTGGCTGGAAGCTGGTAAGAAGTTGAAGCCAAATCTGATAGTTTCATGGAATGTGGAACAAGTTCCTTAGTTGTCCCATTCAAAATGGATTTTTTATAGAAGTGTTCATCTTCTTTGAGGGACGTGAACGATCGTTTTGGTCTTAACAGGAAGTTAGTGTCATTCATGTTTTTCTTGTTGGCTAATTCCTGGTTAATGTTGGCGAAATTCTGTAGCACTGAAGGCCCGATCGGTAAGCCTTTTGTTGTGTCTGAAGAAGTAGATTTCTTACCCAAAGTTTGAAGTCCTAGCGGTCTATTTTCCGTTTGTGTTTCTGTGTTATAGTCTGTAGTTGTTTTAAAATGACTCGGAAAGGCATTTTTAATTAGTTTAACACAGTTCTTCCAACAAATTAAGTCATGATCGTTGTCGGAATTGGAAGAATCCGAGTCTTTCGGGTTATTGCTGTCACGGCGCATGTGCGCAGGAGAGGTCACGGGCGAGTCCACTTCGCTGTAGGGATGATCACTTCTTGCCCGTTTGGGGCTAGATGCCCGGTCCGGGGAAACATACTGTAGACTAGACGGCGAAACAGTTCGCTTTTTCGCTCTTTGTACCTCCCTTCTTTTAGCGGACCTGCTTCTGTTGGTTGTTTCACCTAGAAGTTCAACGTCAAGTTGTTTGTTTGCTACGAGCAATTCAAGAGTTGGAGTCAGTCCTTTGATAATATCTTGGACCATATCTGGCGATATACTTGAGGCTAGCCCTGGTTGTTGATTTTGATAGGTCCGCAGTTCGGAGTGTTGTTGTTGTTGAGATTTCGAAAACCTCTTAGATGGTAAAGTGTTTGTTGCTCTGAATCCTATTGAATTCAGACTATTAGACTGTATGAAGTCTCTCCCTGTTGTAGGGTGCTGATGTTGAAAGTTGGATGTGTCCTGCACCTCAGTCCCGGGTAGGGAGGTGAGCCCAGAATCACGAGTATCCAAAGTAGGGTTGAAATTTGACTGGCAAGTCAAGTCCTTCCCTTGTGAGTTCATATCATGCCCCTCATTTCCTGGTGGAATGAGCCCACGATTCATGAAGTCACTGTTGATGTTGTTGTCAATGTCTATGCCGCTGGTGATGGTGTGGGATGGCATGCTACCCGGAGTTGGATTTTCCTCGCCAGAGAAAATGTTCCCTTGCAGCAAATTTGAACTATCCCTTTGAAGTTGACTTGAAAAGTCAGGAATTTGTCCATCTTCCAGTTGTTCATTGACATTGTAGTTCATTGTTGAATTAAGGTTGATATCCTTTACAACTGACGACTTGTTGTTCTCCATATAAAATTTTTGTTTCAAACAAAAACGGCGTGTTGATTGCACTAATGTATGGGGAAATTGAGGACGTTGGCACGTGTACAAACTACTTTATTCAATAGTGGACGCGTCCAAGTTAATGTCATCAGTAAAACCAGAGGGGTGTTAGGACTCCATACAGAGATTGCTAAAGGAATCTAAGGCATATAATTGAGAGGTGGGATGTGTAATAATACTAACATACTTTAGTAAAATATACACAAAAGTCATTTACACTTACTCAAGGTTGAATTTTGTTATCGTTGGTATTGGGCTTGCCTTCTTCCTGGGAGGGAGGTCCACGTCAGATGTTGGGGGTCGACGTTTACGAGAGGCAGAGGGTGGTGGCATGGTGTGTAGGCCTGCATGATACGCCTCATAGGTCATAACGTAATATTGTTCACCTGGCTTGTTAATCATCTTTAGAACTGTAATATTTTAAACCCTTTATTCTAAACCAATATTACAATGACACCTGTCGAATCTGAACATTGTGACTGGGTAAAAGTATTCAGATTGGCATGTATTCAAATTCCAAGGTTTTTTAACACAGCAGATAAAAAAAGAAAAATTACTGAGAGTTGTTCAGATTAGAGAGGTGTTAGGTTATATACAAGTATTGCTGTATCAGGCCTCCTAGACTTCCATTAATGCGATCATCAGTTCCGACATTGTGGACTATATTCCTTCCACCCCATCCATAGTTCAAACAATGCGAATGTTGATTCTAAGTCGTGAACCACCAGTTCCTCTCTCCCGAACATATTTCCTCGCTCACGAAGCAACTTCCCATATCGCGAACCACAAACACAGTATTGTGGTTCGCGACAAACACAGTATTGTGGTTCGCGATGTGAGAACTCCGTCCGCGAGTGGAGGAATATATTAGGGAGAGAGGAATTGGTGGTTCGCGACTAAAGAATCGATATTCACATTGTGAGAGCCATGGTTAGCGAGGTTCGCGGAACTGATGATTGCATAGTGGAAGTCTATGAGGCCTGTCTATTATCTTTAACAAAGTTATGGACAATACCTGTAATTGATACCAGAAATATATAAAGTAGGAACTTACTTTTCTCTTGATAAGAATCATGAATATATCAAGAATGATATCAAAAACACTTTTAAATCCAAAAATTAAAATTGTAGAAATAATAGCTGCTATAAGTGAAAATTAATTTGCAAAATAGATAAATCTCATGTAGCTTGGGTTTATAAAAAACGAATCGATGCCCAGGGACTTCTACCCAGAGACTATTCAGTGCAATTCAAAATAAAAAGGCTAAATCATACATTTTAAACTATCTAAAAGGTGTATACTGTACTGTATTGTGATCCAACAATAGTATAATATTTCCAATTCAGGTGTCAATGAATGTCCAATCTACATATCCAATCGATTGCGGTGAAAGTGAAGTATTGGAAAAATTGTAACTCAAACACATAGTGTAACAATTTATTTATTTATAAAAGTTTATTTTTTCGAAGATAAAAATATAATTAAAATCCTTTCAGTCAAATTATAAATAAAAAATTATATAATTTGGTCTCCTGTTTTTTTTTTACATTCACACCAAATCAACTTATGTGGATGATGATAAAATTGCCCAGCCACAAAAACAGAGTATGAGAAGACAAATCTAAGCGAATTTCTAATATTTCAGCTTGCGTGAATCTGGATTTCTTACAATTCAAGCCATCTTTGGTACACCATAATACCCTAATATTTTACAATGAATGTTTCAGAACTCGAGAATTTCAAGTGAATTCTACCTGTTTCTCTCAGTTAAGGATTACATTAGAAGTTTATCATAGTGTGCAGAATTATTGCCATTTGATAAATATACATATACACTGTACATTGTATCCCTAAATGGTTGTATAATGAGTTATCATATCCCCAAATATTCCAAATAGTTGTATAGTGGCATATTATATCCCCAAATGATTGCCAAGTGAGTGGATAATAATATATCCCCTACAGTGAGTTAACATATCCCGAAATGGTTGTTCAATGAGTGAATGTATCCCAAAATGATTGCAAAGTGAGTGAATAATAATATATCCCCTACAGTGAGTTAATATATCCCAAAATGGTTGTTCAATGAGTGAATGTTTCCCAAAATGATTGCAAAGAGAGTGAATAATAATATATCCCCTACAGTGAGTTAACATATCCCGAAATGGTTGTTCAATGAGTGAATGTATCCCAAAATGATTGCAAAGTGAGTGAATAATAATATATCCCCTACAGTGAGTTAATATATCCCAAAATGGTTGCACAATGAGTGAATGTTTCCCAAAATGATTGCAAAGAGAGTGAATAATAATATATCCCCTACAGTGAGTTAATATATCCCGAAATGGTTGTTCAATGAGTGAATGTATCCCAAAATGATTGCAAAGTGAGTGAATAATAATATATCCCCTACAGCTGTACAGTGAGTTAATATATCCCAAAATGGTTGCACAATGAGTGAATGTTTCCCAAAATGATTGCAAAGAGAGTGAATAATAATATATCCCCTACAGTGAGTTAACATATCCCAAAATGGTTGTACAATGAGTGAATGTATCCCAAAATGATTGCAAAGTCAGTGAATAATAATACAGGGTGGTCAAAAAAAACGGAAACCCTGGATTTTCCTCATATCTTCGTCATTTTGGGTAATTATTCCCTGAAATTTGACACACATGTACAACATTCAATTTCCTACCAGCTAAACCATATTTCATGACCATCGGATTGATAGTCACAATGGTACAGATCTTTGAACAAGATGCCCCAGTGTGGCCACCATCGCGTTATTGGCAAATCTGAACAAGTTGTCAATGATCTGACTACATTTTTCAGCAGGTAAGGCCTGAATGACATGGATGATCTGCTTTTTGAGGTCTGCATTTGTCCTGGGGTTATTCTCCTACACTCATTTTTGGTGTATCACCACAGGTTGAAGTTAGGTAGGGACATTTTGGATGATAGGTGCAGGTTTGCCGAAAGTGCAATGTTGGCCAATGGAGCATGTTGTTTAAAGTGCTGTAACATTGCGACTATCAATTTGATGGTCATGAAATATGGTAGGCTAGTAGGAAATTGAATGATTTACAAATGTGCTAAATATCAGGGAGTAATTTCCTAAAATGACAAAGATATGAGGAAAATGGCGACAGGGTTTCCAGTTTTTTTGACCACCCTGTATATCCCCTACAGTGATTTATTATATCCCAGAATGGCTGAATGGTTGTACAATGAGTGAATATATCCCAGAATTATTGCAAATTGTAAAGTAAATGAATAATGATATGTTCCAAATGGTTGTGCAGTGAATTAATACATCCTAAAATAATTGAAATTTGAGTTTTAATAATCTGTTCCAAATAAACTAGAACCTGCTGAGTGGAACACCTCTGTAAGTGGAACAAGAGTCCCAAGAGTGTTCCACTTACTGAGGTTCTACTGTAATTGTATAATGAGTGATCAGTGAATATATCTCCAATGGGTTAAACAGTGAATTACATATCTATAAGTTATTGTAATGTGAGAGAATACCTTACCTTGTTCTTAATATTCGTAATATTATGCTTTAACATGTACGGGTATAAACATCAGAAATGATGTCACCTGTTAAACCTTTTATATGTACTGTATTTATTATATTATTAAAAGGAATAAAAATTGAATTGAATTGAAAAATTGAATACACCTCAAAATGTTGCAATAAAAGTTTAATCATAAATATCCATCCTCATTGAGTGAAAATATTCCCAAACAGTTGCAGAGAATAAATTGCCTAAAGGGTCCAAATTTTTGGCAAAGTTATATAACTGAAGTAAATCGGTCACACGATAACACATGCACATCTTGTTCTGCGTTTTATGAATGTTCTATTTGGCAAGTCAGCTTTAAAGTCTTTGTATGATGTTATGTGGCATTTGTTTGTGGACTTGGACTGTAATGAGCTCACCACTGAAACAGGACAAAAAGCCTAGGATTACTCCTATGTTGTTTTCAAGGGTGCTAAGTTTGTGGGCAATCTATTTGTGAACAAATTTATTCTCAAATTTTATTCAATAGGATTTAGTTGTTGAAGTTATGTAGTTACATTATAGTTCCATGTTATAGTTGCTGACTTTTTTCCAGAATTTTTATCAAAATCATAGGGTTAAAACTTATTTTAAAACACATCACATGAGGTTCTTTATTTTGTTTTGAAATTCATGAAAATGGAGTTTAATGAAAACACATGTTATAAGTTATTTTATAAAGGGATGGAGTGGGAGTAGTGTTGTGCTTCAAAGCAGTGATTTACGGCCTTTTACGACTTGGAGTTTCATTTGGATAAAACAGCTTTAAAATTGAGTTGCCAAAATGAGACTCCCAAATTGATTAAAACGTGCATGAATTACTGAAATTTGGATTTATCCTTCCATGACATGCTGAACTTAATGGAAAAAAGAATACCTAGACACTTACCATGGTGCGCTTGGTCTTTTCTATACAAGGCAACAAACGCTGATGTGTCATTCAGCCACACGACTTGCACATTTCCTTCAAAATGAAGCATATGAGGGTTATGATAGGAGCAGGCTTTTTTACAAAACCAGCCCTTGGTTAAAAATGACCAGCAATTTCTATACAAGGTATTAAAATGCGATATGTCACTACCTGCCATTTGTTACAGACAATTTTTGGCTAACATTTTGAATATTACTTTTAAGAAAAATAGAAGCAATTTTGAACTAAGCAGGATATAATATTCCTTTTGAAACAAGGGTTCTATGAATTCAGTTTGTAAAAATCTGCCCAATAGCATTTGAGTTATCAATTGATAGCATCCTGTTTATGAAAAATGGTGGGCATTTGAATTTAGTGGCAGAGCAGAGGTCTGTTTCTCATAAGGCATCAGCCAATAACATTTGAGTGGTATTTAAGTTCTGAACCCAACAAACTACATGTAATAGTAGGACAGACAGAAAGACGAAAGTCTTCTCTATTTCCCTAGTCTAACTTACCCACTGGTGTAAAGAGTGCAGCGATGTCGGCAGTCTTCCATTCCTTAGGAAACCTAATGTGGAATACATGATCTCTGTTCGGCTTTTCTGTAATGGAGTCAAAACATGAGCTTTTACCAAATAAGACGTGAGTCGTATTACTATTGGATTAGTGCATAATGTCGTTGTCCAAAGCCTGGGATGATAATACTTAGTTTGTATGTTAATGTCCGGTATAAATGATGTAAAGATTATGGCCCATATGGCACCCAAAGACTAAGTGAAGATCCTTCAGCATATTTCGGAAAAATACTCTTTAATTTATAATTTCATTGGTTTATTGATGACAAAATATAAATGTTAAGTACTCATTGAATAATTGAGTGACAAAGAAGACTGTGTGGATATAGGCCGGGGGACATACTAGTAATGTAAAACTGCTGTTCAGTTGACATACCTTCCTCCCCACTCATGTTCATATAAGGAATGTCATGCACTCGCATCAAGAATATCCTAAAATCAAAAATCAATATCAAAATTTCAGGAGGATTGAATAATATTTGAAACATATATATTCTTTTTTCCAGGAAAACTGATTTAATACTATAACTGGTACATGTGTACTGAAACATCAGATTTTGGAAATGGATCTTAAATTTTTGATCTCCTCCTGTTACACTCAAAATTCTACTACATACATTAATATGAAATGGTAATTTTCATTCAGTTATTTCATTTTTCAGTTTGTGGTACAAATGTTGACTTTTAAAAATTTCAGTCACTTCAAACTTTCTGCTTTCTCAAAATTGCAAAAACTCTTTTTCCTGATTGTGACAAACTTGTAGAACACTTTGTTCTATACATGTAACAACAAGAGGGTTACCTGTTTGAAAATGGCTGTGTAAGTTCAGGTTTAGTTAGGGCATGCTTCACTGCTGGGGTTAACATGGAACCTGTAACATAAAAGAACATACAATTTAGTATGTTAAATATAATATTGATCAACAGGCCAATAATGCTGAAATCATTTATAAATTAAGATATTGATCAACAGGCCAATAATGCTGAAATCATTTATAATTTAAGATATTGATCAACGGGCCAATAATGCTGAAATCATTTATAATTTAAGATATTGATCAACGGGCCAATAATGCTGAAATCATTTATAATTTAAGATATTGATCAACGGGCCAATAATGCTGAAATCATTTATAATTTAAGATATTGATCAACGGGCCAATAATGCTGAAATCATTTATAATTTAAGATATTGATCAACGGGCCAATAATGCTGAAATCATTTATAATTTAAGATATTGATCAACAGGCCAATAATGCTGAAATCATTTATAATTTAAGATATTGATCAACGGGCCAATAATACTGAAATCATTTATAATTTAAGATATTGATCAACGGGCCAATAATGCTGAAATCATTTATAAATTAAGATATTGATCAACAGGCCAATAATGCTGAAATCATTAATAATTTAAGATCTTGATCAACAGTCCAATACAGTGTATGTTGAAATCATTTTTCAACTGTCAGCATAAGCCATCATTATTTCAAATGTGAGCAGTGTTGATATATTCTTTATATTTCACTAAAAATAAAGAAAATCTGTCCATTGGTATTCAAGTTATTAGCTGGACAGGCGGATGTCATTTGTTGCTGTTTCACTATATCCTAACCAAATTTTGTTCAAAGGGATGATTAGGTTTTGTATCACAGGTTCACATTGTATTGTGGGTACATATTATATCACAGGTACACATTGTATATAAGGATATATAATTACCTAAGTAGTTAGCCATTCCAATGTAACAGAGTCCAGTGACGTAAGCATCGTAACCAGCCTCATGGAGACTATCACTATTATTTTCATAGTTAGGGAAACCATCGACAGCCTCTGTAACATTTCAATAGATTTTTCAAAATACTGTTCAAATACATATCGTACACATAAACAGAAATAACTTTATTCCCTTACTAAAGAATTTAAGCCCAGGCCCAATGATTTGTGGATGATTTTACTAAATAAAGCAAAAATCTCTCGCATCAGGACTTTGAATGAGGGTGGTAGCCAAAATATAAAGACGCGGATTTAAGACATGGGTGAATTGAATCACCCACAAATCATTAGTCATATGCGCTTAAATTATTTTCACACATTGCAAAAGAATTCATACTGTACTCCTCAAAATAATGGAAATCAACCAGAAACCTTTTTGCAAGGGTTTGCAAGGATTGTAAATGAATCTAAAATTAGCCATTCAATATAGAATGTACATTATTTCAAGCAAAGTTGCTGAATTTGATATATCATGGCTAGCTATGTGTCGAAAACATTTAAATAGGGGTCATGATGTGGATTATAACAATCATGAGAATGAATGTTCCTATGTCTGTCATTATTCTCATTCTAGCAAAAAGTTCAGTTCTTCCATAGTTGTACACTAACCTATATGAACCTTAGAGAATGGGGGCATTGTAAGTATGGTCTGCAATTCACCCAGGGCTGATGTGACTATTCTGTCTTTGAATGGCTGTGTGTTTGCCATAAGTTTGGTGTCAATGATTCTTGGCAGAACACAGCTCACCATAGCCTTAAACTCTTCATAATCCTGAAATATTTAAACAACTACATGTAGATAATTGGAACATCAAGGTGTAACAAATCCCATCAAACAGCCATAAAAATTGGTGTGTGCTTAGATTAATAATTTTCAATAGTGTAGTATATACATGTAGTTGGTGCCCATATTTTATAGTTCAATTTATTTTATACTTCTGAGAATGACTATGTCGCATTGCAAAAGTTGAGCCATATTTTTACCAGTTATCTAAAAATAACAGAGCTACATACCTCGGGAAGTGGAGCACAGAAGTGGTGTAGAGTATGTAAGAGATCAAGGAACATATTATGGCCAACCACCAACTTGCCCTATAATACAAAATTTAACACATCATATAATGAATTGTCCTATATATTTAACTGATTAAAAATAACTCTCTTTGTTTCCCTAATCACACAATACCAGGCTTCCTTTTAATAATCTACAATATAATCATACTTTATAAATACATGTACAGTAGGAAATGGAATGAATAAAACATATCACACTCATATCAGAATCAATTTGAACTTGAAATAATAAATGTGCTGTCAACTTAAAAATAGCTGCATTGTGAATTACCCAGCATGCTCAAAACATAACTGGATCTTGGTACTCGTCTGCTTATGCATTCACAAATATTAAACAGATGGACACATTTCTTGCAGTCATGTGCTGCCTGCCTGCTGGCTCATCAGTACAAAATGATGACAATATATAGGGGCTCATATGGTAGCCAAAGGTGGGCCCGTCAGTGAGCAAATTTGAACCACATTATTTATCTCGGGAAGCATGTCAGATTTAATGATTTGGAACTTTGACGCCCAAAAAGTGACCATTATGGATAGCTTTTCTAGGTTTTATACCCCCCGAGGTTATTTTCGAGGGGGTCTCAACTTTTTCTTAACAACTTTAAAAATATTAAAGATATGTGTCTGAAACTTGCAGGGTACCTTCCTGGGGTCAAAACATAGCTGTATTGGAAGTTTAGGATTATTTGGAATAACGGTTGCTATAGCAACCAAGAAAATGTGTTTCCGAACTGGCAAATTACAGCAATTTTGGCCTGTAGCAACCTGGTTGAAGTTAGATATTTTTTCTATTGATGAATTTTCACATTGTTAATTGGTTTCAAAAACACACTACAACTGTATTCTTTCATTTTATTGCAGATTAGAATTGACACCATTAGTTTTAAAGGTCCATAATCGTACGTGAATGAACCCACCCCCAAAGTTTATAAAAAGTGGGCGTGGCACCAGACATGTACCAGTTTGTAATTCATAAGTTTAAACATCCAATAAATAATGTTGATATCTATGTTACCATGTTTCCAGTGGTACTTGAAGAAGTTCTTTTAAAAACTAGATACATTACCATGGAAACCATATATTTATGTTGCCATAGCAACAGAACTATGATAATGAAATAGCCAATAATTTGATCGAAGCCCTCATGCATGTGGTCCCATATATACAAAAATCAAATGTCCTGTATCTCTCAAAGATCTTAAAACCTTCCTGGGGTCAACACAGAGCTGTATTGAAACTTTGGGATTATTTGGAGTAATGGTTGCTATAGCAACCAGGAAAATGTGTTTCCGAGCTGGACAATTTATGGCAATTTTGCCCAACTGCAACTTGGTTGGAGTTTGATGTTTTTTCTAGTAATGAATTTTTACATTGATCATTGGTTTCAAAAACACACTACAACTGTATTCTTTCATTTTATTGCAGATTAGAATGACACCATTAGTATGAAAGGTCCATAATCATACATGAATGAACCCCCCTCCCCAAAGTCTATAAGAAGTGGGCGTGGCACCAGACATGTACCACTTTGTAATTCATGAGTATAAAAACCCAATAAATAATGTTGATATTTATGTTACCATGTCTCCAGTGGTAGTTGAAGAAGTTCTCCTAAAAATATAATCATATAATAAATTATATATATAATATCATATATAAATATATTATCATGGAGACCACACATTTATGTTGCCATAGAAACAACTTTGGTCTGTTAACGCAAGGCTTGATGAAATAATTGTTCATTTGACTATTCATTTGGCCATTTAGAGAGAAAACAACAAATGTATGAGTAAACTATATTGGCTGAATATATATCCTAGTAGTTTACATTCTTTGTAGTTCACATTGGTATGAGCTTCTATTCTAGTATATCTGACACGTCTCTATTCTATAGTGATATTTTTACATTTGCTTGCAGAAAGTGATATGTGATAGGCCCCAGAGTGATGGCACTCAGAAGACTGCATATGATATCAAATGAAGCTTGAAAAAGAGATAAGTAATACAGCATACTATGATTCTGTTATTCAACCAACAGATGAAACGGTAAAGTTCTTAAACCAGTCTATTTCAGTTCTCCTCAGTTTTTTGTGAAAACGTCACCTATATAATTTTGAAGCTCATATGTGGGTTCTGACTCTTCCGGATCTGTCATAGCTGGCCTCATCACATCATCAACAAGATCTTGTCGTAATATATTTGATGTGCACCAGTCTAGTTCTAGTACACAAGATAAATTATTTTTCAACCCATTGCCTCTGGGAGATGAGAGTTCAGGCTTGTGTTGCACACAAACTCTTCAATTACAGCCTGTGTTTCAGTTGTAATATTTGTAGATGACCCAATACATTAATTTAATGCATCTTGGTATTTCTGGCTATTCATTGGCTTTGCTTTCACAGTTTCTCTGATATCATCATTGAAGCTGGCATATATTCTAGTGGATCTTTTGAAGGTGTGCTAACTGGAAACCATTTTAACATATCAATCAGAGTGCCCAAAATCTTCCTGGAATTGCTACAAAGGAATTTGTTAGACAAGTTTATCAGCCAGCCACCAATTCCCATGCTCTCACAAGAGGTTATTGTCATATAATATCACGATTCATCCAAGCTAGCAGAGAATGATTTTGACCTCCACTTACTTTGTCTAGTGTCTACAAGACCTATGTCCTCTATTTTTCGCAATGGACCGGCCCAACTATGCTATATATCTAACAGCACAATATGTCATGCTTGCTAACCTCAAGCATACAAACCAAGAGAAAGAAAGGCTATTGAGAGACCTTGGGTTTAGTGTTAACAGGTCCCAAGTACCTGCACTATATGTGCCAGTTGATCAAACCACTGAACAGACTATCAATCAGAGTGTGAAATCTGAGGGTGTGGGTAATTGGATTTATCACCAATCCAAATGCCTACTACCGTGCAAACATAGCAGGCTTTGAAGGTGTTTCAAAAGCAAGGGCCGCAATAGGTAACTTTTTAGACCCCTTTGAGACAGATGCTATAGTCAACTCTACTGTCTATCATCAGGAATGCAGCCTGTTCCAGATGTAGCTCAAGACCTACTACATGTCAGGTCCAGAGGCAAGGTGGAATTTGGAAAAAAGACTTGATAGTGACACCAAAAGTTTTCAAGATTCAGTGAAAAGAATAAAGATGAAGACATTTGTGACAATTGAGAAGGACATCCTGAAAACATCTGACAAGTTTAAAGAATATTTTTTGACCGTTAGTTCTTATATCTCAAGAGAACAAGAAAGTTTTAGAGTATCCCCTTAGTCCAGTGTCATGGGCGCTAGGGTCTCCTGATGGTCTGCCAGTGAAGGCAGCAAAGGCAACACTCCTAAATGCTCTTGAGAATCTCGAACATCACCCTTCAAGACCAGCAAAAGATGAATCATTCTACATATATGATGGTAATGCTATCTATCACAGCTTGGTGCAGCGTCTATCCCCCTTTGAAGAACTGACAGAGCAAGTGGTTGACATGCTACCACTGAAGTCAGAGAGGGTAGATTTCTTAACTGACAGCTATCAAATACATAGATTCAATAAAAGAACCAGAGAGAGTGAGAAGAGGAACATCAAAACCCTTCATGATCCAAGGACCACATCCCTAAGAATTGGTAAGAATTTTTGAGCAACAGCCAAAACTAGACCCAACTAAACAGTCTTATTCTTTGCAAGTGGCAAACAGATAAGTACTCAGCCAAGTTGAAGAACAGAAAAGTATGCTTTACATGTGGGAATACATGCAAAATTCTCACTAGTGATGGTCTAAATGTCCGATCATATGTTGATAACAATCTACTGTCAACACAAGAAGAAGCAGACACCAAGATGAGTACATGTGAAGACATTTGATCAGTCAAAGAACATTATTGTACATTCCCCAGACACAGATTTTCTAGTCTTGATGATACACCATTCTCACAGGTTGTTATGTGTTAGTGCATTTGTTCAACGAGGAAAAACCAGGCCCCCAACTCTGCTATGAAATAGCCAGAAATACCATTAAATTAAATTAATGTATTGGGTCATCTACAAATATTACAACTGAAACAAAGGCTGTAATTGAAGAGTTTGTGATGAGGCCAGCTATGACAAATCCGGAAGAGTCAGAACCCACATATGAGCTTCAAAATTATATAGGTGACGTTTTCACAAAAAACTGAGGAGAACTGAAATAGACTGGTTTAAGAACTTTACCGTTTCATCTGTTGGTTGAATAACAGAATCATAGTATGCTGTATTACTTATCTCTTTTTCAAGCTTCATTTGATATCATATGCAGTCTTCTGAGTGCCATCGCTCTGGGGCCTATCACATATCACTTTCTGCATGCAAATGTAAAAAGTATCACTATAGAATAGAGACGTGTCAGATATACTAGAATAGAAGCTCATACCAATGTGAACTACAAAGAATGTAAACTACTAGGATATATATTCAGCCAATATAGTTTACTCATACATTTGTTGTTTTCTCTCTAAATGGCCAAATGAATAGTCAAATGAACAATTATTTCATTAAGCCTTGCGTTAACAGACCAAAGTTGTTTCTATGGCAACATAAATGTGTGGTTTCCATGATAATATATTTATATATGATATTATATATATAATTTATTATATGATTATATTTTTAGGAGAACTTCTTCAACTACCACTGGAGACATGGTAACATAAATATCAACATTATTTATTGGGTTTTTATACTCATGAATTACAAAGTGGTACATGTCTGGTGCCACGCCCACTTCTTATAGACTTTGGGGAGGGGGGTTCATTCATGTATGATTATGGACCTTTCATACTAATGGTGTCATTCTAATCTGCAATAAAATGAAAGAATACAGTTATAGTGTGTTTTTGAAACCAATGATCAATGTGAAAATTCATTACTAGAAAAAACATCAAACTCCAACCAAGTTGCAGTTGGGCAAATTTGCCATAAATTGTCCAGGTCGGAAACACATTTTCCTGGTTGCTATAGCAACCATTACTCCAAATAATCCCAAAGTTTCAATACAGCTCTGTGTTGACCCCAGGGAGGTTTTAAGATCTTTGAGAGATACAGGACATTTGATTTTTGTATATATGGGACCACATGCATGAGGGCTTCGATCAAATTATTGGCTATTTCATTACCATAGTTCTGTTGCTATGGCAACATAAATATATGGTTTCCATGGTAATATATCTAGTTTTTAAAAGAACTTTAACTACCACTGGAAACATGGTAACATAGATATCAACATTATTTATTGGATGTTTAAACTTATGAATTACAAACTGGTACATGTCTGGTGCCACGCCCACTTTTTATAGACTTTGGGGGGTGGGTTCATTCATGTACGATTATGGACCTTTAAAACTAATGGTGTCAATTCTAATCTGCAATAAAATGAAAGAATACAGTTGTAGTGTGTTTTTGAAACCAATTAACAATGTGAAAATTCATCAATAGAAAAAATATCTAACTTCAACCAGGTTGCTACAGGCCAAAATTGTTGTAAATTGCCAGTTCGGAAACACATTTTCTTGGTTGCTATAGCAACCGTTATTCCAAATAATCCTAAACTTTCAATACAGCTATGTGTTGACCCCAGGAAGGTACCCTGCAAGTTTCAGACACATATCTTTAATATTTTTAAAGTTGTTAAGAAAGAGTTGAGACCCCCTCGAAAATAACCTCGGGGGGTATAAAACCTAGAAAAGCTATCCATAATGGTCACTTTTTGGGCGTAAAAGTTCCAAATCATTAAATCTGACATGTTTCCCGAGATAAATAATGTGGTTCAAATTTGCTCACTGACGGGCCCACCTTTGGCTACCATATGAGCCCCTAATAGCACTTTTCAAATTTGATAAAAATATTGAGAAGAGTGTGAGTGAACTATAAAACATATTGAAGACTTACTGATTGAGATATATGTCTAATAACTTTAGAAAAGCCAACTGCATCCTCTAACTCTTGCTGCAAATATAACATCAACTCAATAAAATATAAACAACTAAAAAAAACTGAAACCAGAATTTTATCAATGATCTGTATTCTACAATTACTTTAGGAAGGGACAATGTTCATTTTTGGCCCACCCTGTATTTATAACAGTAGATGGCAAACAGGAAATGGTAACACTTTAAGAATATATAAATCCAGACCCCAATATATATGGCCCAAAATGCCTCCATATAATTGTCATTGGCTTACCCATTCAGCTTCTTTCTTCGCTTCTTCTAGCTGCTTGAGATCATTTTCACTTTTACCTCTGGCTACCACTATACACCTTTGTTTATTTTCTAGAGTTTTAGCTTCTAGGTGGACATCATTTTTGAATCTAAAATCAAATTTCTGAAATCAATAATTGTTTTTGCTCCATCTAAATAAGCATTTCACTCAAATATGTGAATAATCAACAATCAATTTTCCCGTTATATTTGACACATGGAGACGGGAGAGCGTGTCCAAACCTTCTCTATTTTACCACTTGACTGAGGTGAAAGGATAAATGTAAGGCAATCCACAGATGTGGTTTTCAAATCATTGAGCACTGTGAAAACATGAATACACAATAACACCAGTGTACTTTATGTGACATACCTGAGCTGTACAGTTTGGTAAATAAGTTTCCTGAGATAGCCATTACATGGGTCTAACTGGATTGATTCCTTGGTTTTATCTTTAGTGAACTCTTCAACCTGTTTGCTGAAAATACACAATGTGCACACAAATGTTTTGCATAATTAGATAACAAGTTTGCATTAGTTTTCACCCTTACATTAAGACCATGTAATCCCATCAACATCTTTGTCTTACATCTATAAAGCATCTATAAAACATCTGATTGTCTATCGATTTATACTCTTTTTGTTATTGAGATTTAAACAAACAACATATCTGATTATTTCTTCATATTTTCTATTATTGATATCTATTCATAGCTCCTCTTCAGGTGATTATGAACACATCCATATATTGTTTGTTCACAAATATATCTAACATAAGAAGACCCATCTACCATATATCACATATTGTTCCTTCACATACATATCTAACACAGAAAGACCCAGCTACCATATATCACTTATTGTTTGTTCACATACAGATCTAACACAGAAAGACCCACTTACCATATATCATCTATAAAAGCTTTGTGCTCTTCTGGGACTGTTGCTGGACTTTTATATGTGCCACTGTCAGGTGTGGTGAAGGCTGGTGAGGAGAACTGTTTGTATGACTTCTGCCTTTTCTCTAAACTATCCCTGAGATCTTGTTCTACTGCTGGTGTTAAATATGAGATTCCTTGAAATAGAAACAATTGTACCCCTGAAATATTCTGCTTGCAATAAAACATATTGATTCTGCAAATTTTTCAATATGACATTCTTTAAAAATCAAAAATGAAAAAAATTAATGATCAATTCAAATGCAACTGTAGTAATAATTTTTAAAATATGCAACTTTTTAATGAGATTCTTTGAATATCTAAGCACAAATGCCAAAGGGAAAGAACCAAAAACTGTAAAAAATAGCAAGAAAAGCAAACTTTAAGTGTAAACCTGTCATTAAGAAAAAAAATAGACCATATATACCCCAAGCCATGATCTAACAAGAAAAGTAAATAATGCAATTAACATCCCCCTTTGCCCCATCCAATTGAGAACAAATTTACAATCCTAACACCAAGGGACATTTCATTCAAACTGAAGTCATGACATTATATGTTGAAGAAAATCTTTTAAATAATTGCTGGCAATACTAACATCAAAAATAGTTGTAGATACTAGTACTCATAAAAGTCTCAAATGATGTGGGATAGATGAGATTCAGTCTCAAATGATGTGGGATAGATGAGATTCAGTCTCAAATGATGTGGGATAGATGAGATTCAGTCTCAAATGATGTGGGATAGATGAAATTCAGTCTCGAAATCCATTGGTCAGCATCCATTTGCAAAGGTGTTGCCATAATCCATAAAACACAACATTGGCTGGATTCGATCCCTATGCCATAGCTGGGATCCACCTCAAAAGGTGCCAAGTGAAAAATTGTGAGTTCATTGCCAATTTCTAGATGAAATGAAATAGAAACAACTGTATCCCTCAAATGTTGTGCTTATGCAGATGTTAATTATGAGATTCCTTGAAATAGAAACAATTGAACCCATAAAATATAACTGGAAATAAAACCTGTTGCAACATTTTATTCTATGAAATAGAAACAGCTGCATCCTTCAAATATTGCGCTGGTTCAGCTGAATATGAGATTTCTTGAAACAGAAACAATGTACCCCTAAAATACTTTGCTTGAAATGAAACATATCGTTTCTGCACATTTTTCAAAATGACATTCTTTAAAAAAAATAAAATCAATTCAAATGCAACTGTAGTAATAATCTTTAAAATATGCTTACCTTCCCTAAAGACTTTGTTGAAATCTAAACCTTGTGATATAAGAAAATCTAAACTGGAACTCTGAAATTGAAAATAAATAGGATTGAAAAAAATATATGTAATATATATAACTAGACTTTGGAAATTGAACGAAGTTCAATTTCAGACTCCAGATTTAGACCATTTTTAGCCGAGTCATCCAGAATAAGCTGAGTCATCCAGAAAAAGATGGATGAATAAAATAGGAAGGTAGGATAGGATGGAATAGGAAGGAACGATAGGATAGAATAAGAAAGAAGGATAGGATAGAACAGAATAGGAAGAAAGGATATGATAGGAGAGGATAGGAAGGAAAAGATACGAAGGAATGATAGATAGGAAGGATAGGATAGGATAAGATCAGATAGGAAGGATGGATAAATTTTTCAATATTTTTCGACTTCTCTACTCTTGACTTTCTATCAGGATACCATCAGATCGATTTTCCGGAATTTCAAAACGCCATAACTTCCGGACCGGAAGTCGGATCGAAATTTGATTTAAAGATTTGGATTCCTGACAAAATTCTACCCTTAATTCATAACTCATACGTTACATTTGGTGAATTTCTATTTTGACCTACTTTTCGGACAAGCCATAACTTCGGAACCGGAAGTCGTATCGAAATTTGGTTTGCAGATTTGGATTCCTGAGAAAATTCTACCCTTAATTCATAACTCAAACGTTAAATTTGGAGAACTTTTTATTTTGACCTACTTTTCGGACACCATATCTCAAAAGTGGGTCAAAATACTTTCTGACGGCAAAAGGCTAACACTATTAGCACACTCGTGGCTACATATATACACAATTTCGAGGAATATAATTAAAGTGTAGTGTCAGAATCGCAAAAATGAGGAAAACCTTTGGATTTGACTTAGATTTTGACCTAGGGAGTTTGGTGTCCAAATTTTGAAGCTAAGTAGCCGTCGAGGTCCCCTTCTTTTATAGACTTTCATTATGTTAAGCTGTACTCAGTCTATATCTCGTATTTTACAGTTCAAAAAAATCTTTTTTGCCATTAACATAATATGGGGCACCAAATTTAGCGATTTTTGAGCTTTCAAAACGTCATAACTTTCGAACCGGAAGTCGGATCGAAATTTGGTTTGCAGATTCGGATTCCTGAGAAAATTCTTCCCCTAATGTATAACTCAAACGTTAAATTTGGAGAACTTTTTATTTTGACCTACTTTTCGGACACCATATCTCAAAAGTGGGTCAAAATACTTTATGACGGCAAAAGGCTAACACTATTAGCACACTCTTGGCTACATGTATACACAATTTCGAAGAATATAATTGAAGTGTAGTGTCAGAATCGCAAAAATAAGGAAAACCTTTGAATTTGACCTAGATTTTGACCTAGGAATTTTGGTGTCCAAATTCTGAAGCTAGATGGCTTGTGAGGTCCCCTTCTTTTGAAGGTTTTCATTAAATTAAGCTGAACTCAGTCTATATTTCGTATTTTTCACTTCAAAAAAATCTTTTTTCCCATTGACTTAACATGGGCATAAAATTTAGAGATTTTTGAGTTTTCAAAACGCCATAACTTCCGAACCAGAAGTCGGATCGAAATTTGGTTTGCAGATTCGGATTCCTGACAAAATTCTACCCCTGATTCATAACTCATACATTGAATTTGGAGCACGTTTTGGTGTGACCTACTTTCTGGACGCCATATCTCAAAATCGGTTTGAGATATCAAAAAACTAAATCGACCCTAGCTTTCCTACTTTTTTATGAGGAACACAATGAAAAAAACCTGGATCGAAAATATTGAATGACGACCGAGAAAATTGAAAAAAGTGACAAAGTACTGGATTTGACCTAGTTCTTGACCTTTGACCTAGATAAAAAATTGATCCAATTTCCGAGAAACTAGATACTGGACCTAAATTGACCATATACAGGACTTGACTCAATGTCTTCTAGTTAAGGAGAAAACGTGGGTAGAAGAATAAAAAGAATAAGAATAATAAAGAATACTGGCAAAAACAATAGACTCCAGATTGACATCTGGAGTCTAATAAAAAATACAAAACAACTGAAATACAATTATGCATGAACATAAAATATTGTTTTAATTGAACATTTCCATAGCTCCGTCTTCTTTTTAACATACTGTTAAACTGTAGTAAAAGGTAACCTAACCTGGCAAAGAAATCTAACATCTGGAGCTTGTCTGCTAAATGGACGGGGGAAGATATAAAAATTGTAAGTCTGTACTGCATATCTGAAATAATAAGAAATTACAATCAAACATTTACCTATCTATATTTCAGTTGTACAAAACTTAGGAATAACATGTTGATGAAGAAATCTTGATATCTCAATAGATCTTAACAACAGAAAACACACTTACTTTTCTGTGTCAGCATCAAAGTGGAATGCTGCAAGGCCATATTGCACAATTTGGAATTCTGAGGCAGCCTGGAAATGGAAAATTTATAATTCATTTATTTCATATATAACCTGTTATGTATTCTTATAAAAACATGTGATATAGTAATGTTATATATTATCATAGTTACATGTAACTATGAATGCAATTGCCACAATATGTACCATGCCAAATACCATTTCCATCATTATCAACATACCAAATATCATTGCCATCATACCATGCCAAATACCACTTCCATCCTATATATAATAATGGAATGGAATAATGGAATAATAATGCAATAATTGGATTTATGAAATTATAAACAATTTGTTGAGGAGAGTAGTACATATGAAAATATAGAAGAAATGAAGAAAGAATGATCCATCCCCTGGACAAAGATCACATGACTGAGGTCAAGATCACATGACTGAGGTCAAGATCACATGACTGAGGTCAAGATCACATGACTGAGGTCAAGATCACATGACTGAGGTCAAGATCACATGACTGAGGTCAAGGTCACGAGGTAACTGGGACTTCATTATTTCACTGACCTTCAAAGAAGTATGACTACTGAAAACAACGCACAACTGACACTTGTTTAAGACAACAATTGAACATAATAAGGTAAGCAAAACAATAAAATATCTTTAGGACGTATGTCCCACCTTAATTTAAGAATCAATAGATAATTAGCCTAATTAAGTTAATTAAGCTAATTAAGGGATGTTTCTAAGTAAATAATGAAGCAGAGGCTTATTAAATTATCATTTAATTGTACTAATTATGCTCCCTGTTTTCATTGGCAGTTCTAGTCTTCAAAACATGAGTAATATTGTTACCAAATTGGTCCACATTAAGCCTGACCCCATACCAACAACAAAACCAACAAGTCAAAGACCAGTTGGCAGGAAATGCTAAGTTAGACCAGTTGCTGGATTGCTGGATGACCAGTCTGAGTCGCTAGATGACCAGTTCGAGTTCAAAATATGTTAGGAAAAGAGTGTTAAATGGGTAAGTGCAAAGGGATTATACCAATCATAGGGTTTGGTGCAAACATATAATGTTCAAAATAGTGAAGTATTCAATAAAATGTGTTTTGTTTGGTGGGATTTGCTACTCCTCTGAGTTGCAGTTTTCTAATTTCACCTGTTTTGCAATTCCTACCATCCCATCGATTTTAAAAATCTGATTCACTTCATCTTAAAACTAAGATAACTTTTGACCAGGGGTAACATAGTAACAATAATCAAGACACACTGACAGGTCAGTCATGAATATTTGATAAGTTTGATATTATATGAAGATGCTTATTTCTATTTCTTTAAGATGGAATATCTAGATAGGATTAAACAGACTGTCAAAGATTATGAGATCCCTAAAGAGCTTGTGTTTAATTGGGATCAGAAGGAGTGAACTTGATTCCTGTTAGTTGGTGGACAATGAATGAAATGGGTGCCAGGCAAGTCTCTGTAAAAGGAGTTGATGATAATCCCATGTTTCTTTGGATGCAATACTCACAGCTCGGCAACACAGTATAATTGTTGCAACCCTACTACCACATTGTACCCACAAAATGCAACCGCTAGACAGGGCGTATTTCAAATTTGTACCAATACAGCAAGAAAATTTGTCTGAGATTTATGGGAAAGCAAGGGAAGCTAGCATTTAGCCAGATATCAGCATGAATGGAATTTGGTGTGCAAGCATATGCTCGAGAAATCCTGATATATTTACAGAGGATGACTACGCAGCAGCTGACAGGTTAGCCTTCAAGGAGGATCCCGTTGGCGATGACACAACGTGTCTGTCAGCATTGGCAGGTGTTCATCAACCTATTAACATACCTCAAGCTAACTCAACGTCTAAACAAACATGTAGTAGGCCAACATCTCAGCCAATGTCTGTTTCAACACAACAGAGAGTTTAGTGCGCATGCGAGAACTAAAGTTAAAATGTGTGAGATCGTTTTTCACCATAAAATAACAACTGTGTGCATTACTATCTCATGATTGTGACTTATTGTCATACAACTTGTTGAGGGACGTGATTCCTTAATCTGTGGGGCAAAAAAAACTTGGAAAACTTACAAAAAATAGCTAGTCTGTATCTTAGGGCATACCAAGCTGATGGGCCTTTAACATTCTTGTGTGTAACTTTTGCTTGTCAAAGATATTCTCGAGCTTCAGTTCAGACTTCAGTCCGCAATGTCTTATTAAAATAAATCTGCTGATTTGACCAACCCAAAAAACAAATTATTGTCACAGAAACATTGCAAGGTTTAACTGCAAGTTAACCCTCTTCGAAAACTCGTTTGCCAATTACGCAGCCTCTTCTCCAAAATTTGATCTTTGCATGCAAGATTAGGTCTAACCAATATGAATCGGTGTTATACTCTGCAATGTACACCACAGCTTTCTACCTTTTGTTGCGAGTTAGTGAATTGGTAAAGGAAAAGGCAGGACACACAATTCTAAGGAAAAATGTACACTATGACGAGGGAAACCAGGTCATAATAAACATCAAATTAGACTCATACAAACATTCCTGTCTGGGAATGAGCCATGTAGTAACTATTTTTCCACAGCTGGGAAGAAGCTTTTCATGCCCAGTGCAAACATAACTGACATATTTGTGTTTGTAGTATATTTTATTTGCTTGAGAACTGAGTATAAAAGACCATTCTGAGTTGTTTTTTATTAACAGCAATTTGACTTTTTTCGGATTGCAAAGGATGGAGAGGATTTTAGTGACAAAAGAAAATTGCTTTACTCTTGACTAAAACCAAAAAAACTTTCCAGATATACAATCTATTCCAGTATGATGCATCACAGGAGGAGAAAAATGACAACAGCTTGTTTTGATTATGAACAATTAGATAAATCTCCATATCTATGTTCAAAGACAGATCCTTTTAAAGTTGGTGTTAACATTTTTCTATGTAAGACGATGCCCAAATCTGTCCAGTGGCATCGATGAGCAACTACCATGGATGATCAATAAATAATGGACACTTTTTTACACAGATGATTTTTATAAATGAATCGCTTTGATTTTTTTGCCAGTGATGCATTATTTAATTATCTATCAACTCGACATGGGAGAGAGTCGAGAGCTTGGAAAAAGACATTCCAAACAAAATTTGAGAACATAGACTTAGCCTCTCTAACAAAGCACATTGATGACCAGGCTGAGGAGCTAATTATACTAAGAGCTCGCTCTATGAGGAATAATCTACTTTTCTTTGGCATCAGCGAGGATGAGGGTGAAACCAGTATTTCTTTGAAGGAAAAGCTTTCTAAATTTCTCTACGAAAAATTAAAACTCCCGTAAGAAGATATTAAATCCATCACCATCGATCGATGGCACAGAATTGGTAAAAAGTAAAACGACAGAATTCATCCCCTTATAGCCCACTTCCCCATCACAACTGACAAGACAAAGGTACAAAGTAGGGGTTACCATTTAAAAGCGACCTGTTTCGGAATGAGTGAGCAGTTTCCCCCTGAAATCGAAGCTAGGCGAAAAGTATTATATCTGGTTATGAAAAGCAAAAAAGCAAAACAAAAAGGCCTTTTTGTCATATGACAAACTGTTCATAGATGGAAAACGGTTCATCCCAAAGTAGCTCAAAAGGAACTTCTCTGAACTTGAACCCCGGACTTGGACTACCCTGACTATTGGATATATCTTACATCAAAGAGAGATTATTCCACATCAAACAGAAGAGTAGTCTGATAGGGCTAATTAACTGATTTGACTTTGCAACACACTGGTTTGTATTGTTGAGCCCAGAGGACAAAATATGTTTGAACATTTCACCTCATTCTGCATTATGCACAGATCTTGTAGCTGACATGTACATTTATGTTCTATCCCTAGTTATTAATCTTGTTGGGACCATATTAGTCAATAGAATAAGTTTCAGTACACTTGTGGGCACATCAAACGCAACTAATTTAAAAAAATTGATAAATGCTATGTTGCCTAACAATTAAATGTTAAATTCTGACTCCATATTATGAAATTAACTGCCTTTTAGGAATTTCTAACCTAGAAACTGAACTTATTATTCAAAAAAAGAGAACACTTTGAATCACTTTTATTTGCTCCTACCAGATATGGCAGGGCGAATAAAAACAATGTCAATGAATATAACATGCAAGAAACCCCATTAGATATACAAGTAAATAGACTTAGCAATCTATTTAAACATTCCGAGCCAGAAAATTTGAAAAACAAAATAGTAACTGGAAATAAATTATTGACCACTTTTTTAGTATAATTGGAGTAACTGAAACATGGTTAAAGAACCATAATGAAAATTTATATCTACTAGAAGGTTATACTTATTTTCATGTCAAGAGAAGGGAAGAAAAAAGATGGGGGTATGCTTCTTCATAAAAAGAAACATAGAATTTATAACTAGGGATAATCTTCTTATAGAAACTGAAGAAGGGGAAAATAGGGTCATTGAAATTATTGTAACAAATATGCCTTTTTGCTTTGCTTTTATCTCCCTCCCTTCAAGTTACAGTGCTATTCTAACACAAGCTAAGCTGCTATCACTAAGTCCTGACTTTAAAATTATGCGGCCATTAAACCTGTCAATTGATCGTTTGCTTCCCAAAAAGGTATAAATTACATTCCTCAACTCTGTGAAGGTACTCCACTCTTATTTTCTGCTGTCAGATCATTTTAATAGAACCATAAATCCATTTGGATATTACTAATTCTACGATTAGGATATATTGGACCATCAAAGAAAACACTATTGTCCCTATTTTGGACCTCAATGTATACCTGGACAAGTTGTCCAGCTTCAGATGCAGTCATAATGTTTTAATTAAGAACGCTTTATGGAGTCACAATGGAGCAGTAAATAATGCTAATTCCAACAGAAGAACCAAAAAATTAACTTTGCTGACATAAGTTCCTGTCTCGTAAACACTATATATATCAACATATAAAAAAATCTACAGTGGGTCCAGTCGTTGATTTAAGTTCTACCTTGATGATATACTTTCATCCCACGAACTCGACA